AACTCTATGTGTCAGCTCGCAACGTGGCACGCACTGGCGTCTTTTCTTCGTCTTTGGATTTTGGACCCAATTCCAAGCATATACTAATCTTGCATCGAGTTTTGTACTTGACCTTCTTGAGTTAGAGCACGACGATAGCGCTCCTAAGCGAACCATCATGTGCTCTTCCTGGAATGTTTTTGACGACACGATAAGTGCTGGCTGGACGATTAATCTAAAGATCCTCCTCCTTCGATCAAAGTTGGAGTCCTTTCTGACATCGATATTTTTTTATCAGTCCTGTTGGCAGGGTATCATGCTGAGATGTCATGGACCATTCCGGTATATACCTGGTTTGTCACAAGATCATATGTTTTGTAAATTACAAGCACCCTGGAATGGGCTGCTACTACGCTTTAAAGCTTCATTTTCAACGAGGAATCGTAATCCGAATACCACATGAAAAATCTTGTCACCCACCCTTTGGGGAATCACATGATGTCCTTAATAGGGCAACAACAGTATTAACAGAAGTGCCTTCTATGGTCTTTGTATTAATAATGTAACTATCCTAACTTTCCAATATCCGTTCTGAGCTGGTAACCATCACTAGGATGTATGATTGAGTTAATTCGATAAACGACCTTGCCTACAACTGCCGTGATAAGTAGCATGGAAGAGCCGGCATGATTTTCACTTTGATTGTAAAATACGTGATATGTCATTCGTGCACATATATACATATGCGGGAACAAGCCAATCCATTCGAAGGTCATTCTGACAAGTAGTATGGTTCTAGAACAATAGAATAGAAACTGTGAGTGCAGGGACTTGTTCGCTTCTGAGTAGGAACCAGGAAATAATCAAGGCCCGCCATCTTTCCCCACAGGGTTGTGACCTATTGATGGCACGTATTCAATATATTTCTTGTTGTTGCTCTGACATAGTAAGTTAGCGCTGGGCATCAAGGATGCGGAAAAGCTTCGAGAACGTTTTTAGCTCCGAGACTCGAAATGAATTGATGTCATTGTCGTAATGCCTGTGAAATGAAGGTGCCGCTAGACAACGCGCGGGAGATTCCCATGTCACGGATCAAGCAACGGTCCATTTCCCTGAACCAATCCAAGGTAAACGTGCCCCCATGCCGAGGGAATGAAGCATGATCACCATAAGATCGAAGATTATCACATTGAAATAAAGAGGGAAGAAGATGCAACATGCCGTGATAATAACTCTGCGACTACCAACGCACTCAAACCCTGTTGTTGGCGTCGTTAGATATGCCTATGTACGCCATCGTTGCACGACGGTTGCGTGAGACAGGCACATAGTAAGTGGGATAGCGCCTTTACTAGGCACCTACGTAGTAATAATAAAAATAATCATGTTGCGTTTCTCGAAATCTTCCAGAATCTTGCCACATTGGGAATAGGGCCAATTTCAAGCCTGTCTAGGAAACTCATGCGCCGGGGTACGTTGGCTGATGAGTCCATGTCCCTTTCCCCACAAGCACCCATCCCATAGGCCCATAGGGCAACGGCAGAAGAGTTGTCGTAGCCCACATGAGAGGACGCACTGTCGAGAACGTGGTTTCGTATCGTTTCGTGTCCTGTTCTGACTGAATAGCTGAGGAACATGTACGACCTCACGAGGCCATGACTTGCGGATGGCTGCATCGACCCTCAGCTGAGTATGCCGCTGTCATATATTCCTCTGAATTGATTCAAGATGGGAACTTGAGCATTGCACGATGCATACCTAAAATACGGGCTTGAGTTACGAGACATCGTTGCGTATGCCATGTAAGTACCTAGGACAGTTAGAAACCTTGAGACCGGGTCAGGGTCTGGCTGCGTCTTTCCGCGAGGAGAAAAGAAAAGAGAGGGATGATCATGTATTATGATCTTTTCATTATTCATCAAATAATACGACGCTGGTGATGTTTGATGCTTTATACGTAAAAGTAAAAATTGATATCTGATAAATAATTAGTAGTATGCAACTTGTAAAACGCATAATACTTGCATGCATATTTCAATACACGGTATGTACGTACCATACCATGGCACTTAGGTAGTTGGTAGGTGATGCCCAGGTCTGCTAGGTGTACTTGCTCACCGGGTCGGGTCCGGTCGTTTGGCGCGCTGTTTCATTCCGGTACCAAATAAAAATCAAAGTTAAACGGACGGCCTAAGCGCGAGGCAGGCACCTGGGCGCACTACATACCTAATGTATCTACTACCTGGTACTTGAATAGCTACTGTCTTATTACATAACCAACCCATCTTTTTCGTTTTCACCTCATCTCTTATGATGGAAATATGCTCGTACAAGCAATTTGGCACTGTCCATAATCGTTATTAAACAGCTATTTATGGAAACGGGGTGCTTCCATAAAGCCGGACTGAAGTAAATAAGGCAAGCAATTGCATCCCATACTGTAAAATCGCATGGATATTCTGTTGTCTCATCAAATCTTACCATGTCTTTGGTACGAGCCAAATCCCAAATCCCACATCCTCCCTTGAACACCTGGACAACTTAAGATGTTGAAAACCACCCAGACCAGCCAGTCCAGTCCCGACGGGAGGTAACTGGAATTTTCGGTATTTCTATTGCTTGCCACTCGTCATCATGCTTCCAATAAGATCTAATAACTGAGAATCTCCCGAGACCCGTACCTCCCGAATGACAAATACGTATACTTACTACGTATGTATGTACATGTTGCATACCTAGGTGTAATGCTTCCAGTAATGTTCCTTCGGCGCTGCATAGTGCATATGCACCTAACGCGTATTATATGCATGGACGGCATTGCCGTCTTGACATCGCCTGCAACAAAAGCGTAGTCGACATTGAAACTCCACGCGTATCTCGACTCTCTAAGTTTTCATAGAAAAGTCACCCTTAATGTCATTCACTCGTTGCAATGGAGTCATTATGCAAGACGGGATGTCTGGGGAGATCATGTCAATATTGCGGATAATATGAGCGGAGCATGCATTGCGGGTCGTTTGCTGGGGTCATATTTGTCCCTTCTACATAGTACATAGTAAATGCCAAGATGAACAGTGCTCAGACAGGTTCTCAACGCTTAAATAGAAACGGCACGATAGAAGTAAGTAACTATGCATACTGTATTTGTTTAATGTTTTGCATAGGTATATTTGCCGGGTAGAAAAAAATAAAAAGAATATTTTAGTATAGAATTTCGAAAATAATCGAATATATTGAACCGGAATAAACGGAAAACTCCCGGTAATTTTCGACAATATGTAGTATAGCGTGATGTCAGAATACCGAAATACTTAGTGCGAAAATAAGAATAGCACTTTCCTTCAAAAAGGAGTCACAGTATAGAGAATGTTACTCGAAATAGCTAGTGCGAACCTAATTTTCCTTTAGCGTGTCGAACGTGCATGCACACAGGATACTTAGATACTTAGGTATGTAGCTGTAGCCCTATGTACTGAGATGCGGTTTCATTGGACCTGACAGTGGCAGGGTTATGAGAAAAAAAACGAAAAAGGAGAAAAGTTTGTTGACATCAATCCTATATTTAAACAGGCGAATTTTTTTTCTACTCACTCCTGACTTTATCACTGACACTTGATCCTATGAGTGCATGGACTGCTGCATCTCAAGTTCGGATACCGTGCGTTTATCTCGAGTCGCATTTTCAGGCGTACTGTACACTACTACGCAAAATACATACATAAGGTACGTAAGGCAGTCACGGACGTATTTTTTCCCTCTACCTCGTTCCTAGTACTTTGTACACGTCCCTACTTAAGGTGGTCCATGCTCCTGTTCCTTACCAACTCGCATGCACAACCCACCCACCTGCACTTTTACGTTACTAGGTTTGTCCACCGCCAAAATCACACCTGCACTTCTCTACCTGCACTCTACCCTCTACTAAAATCCAAGTACCCACGTACCTACCACTCATACGCTTACCTAAATACCATACTTCAATTTGATCATTTCAACACCTTCCATATTATTTTCCTTTCCTTCCCATCGTCACACATACTTTTTTTTCTTTTAATTCTTTCAACAACCTTTCATTCTCTAGATCACCGTACGGAAACCTAATTGCCCTCCGTGAAGGCGTTCTCTATTTTTCCATACATCGTTCTTCGATATTACCATCTCGGACCCTAAATAATTCCTCGAGGTATGTTGGGATCACAAGCTGCCCCCATTCCAGCTCTCTTAATCGGCGAGCTCTAGATCCACACCACACGTTTTCTTTTGTTGCTTCGATATCCACTGCCCGGTTTGCACGACCTGTTGCTGCCACCGCTCTGGGATCTGAGCACTCTTTCACGTCCTTGTCACGCGTCGCATCTTCGTCAACGTCTTTTACTTGATCGATCTGGTATCTTGGGATGGGTTAGTCGTGTTCTTCTACCGGTTACGAGTTCCAAGTATCTTGCATCACAGATGTCTCTGGTACAACTCTGACTCTATGACCAAGCTCGAAGTTTACAAACACTACCCTGCATCCCTTGTGTCCTATGAATATCACAAAGCTGGCCTTGGCTCTTATCTCCTTGCATTTTCATCAGGTCCATTCGCTTGCTTTCGAGAGTGCTGACTCGACTTGGTTTGTCCATAGGATTACGGACATTTTGCCCCAATAGATGATTTAGGATCACGACTTCTGGCCACCGTCTCCCTTTATCATATCTTCCTAACCTCGACTCATACGGCGTACAGCCGCGACACCTCGACCCCGCCCTTGTCATCTTCCTTAACATCCGACCGAGACCTATAAACAAAGACGTCGCAACGTGGACTGTACTGCTGTGCAGATATTTCCTCCATATCCGAAAGAGACGCCTTGGCGCATTACGTTACTCGACTATAATAATACCGGAAGATCTTTGCGCAACCTTTGCCTTGGTACATCGGCAACCAGACAACCTTAGAACAATACATCGGCAGATTTAGGCTCATTGAAGTAGAAGCTGACGCGTATCGAGCTGGGAATATTCCGCAAGACTACCTACTACCAACGACTAGGACGATAGTGTTATATCTGCCTACTCTTAAACGCGACGCAGCATCTTAGCTGTACAGGACAGGATTTTACGAACGGACCTCGTGCTATCGGGTGTTGAACTCTATTGAAAGAGTACCAAGAAAAAGACATACATCTACATAGAACGCGCAGTGCGGTCTTCACGTGGTACCATCGATAATTCGGAACGCGATAGATATCGCTTGTTCGCCCGGGACTTGTCGGCTTGTTCACGTCAACATGTCCAAGTCACCGTCGTCTGAGGTGATGAATATTACGAATATGCTAGGCAAGAAGGACGCAGCAGCAGCTGCTGCCGCCGCCGCCGCAGCATCGGGTCCCTCTCCGGATCACCAGCTCTTACCTCATCCTCAACTCTCCTCAGCCGCCATGGATCGCTCGAACTCACCACATGGATCGGAGAGTTCGTATCACTCAGGCCACCGCGTCGGACAGCCCTTAGAGGCATTGAATGGGATGAGCAATGGACGATCTTATGGTTCCCCTTCGGCAATGCAGACAACGATGCCTCTATCCGACCCAAGCATGCCTCCTGGTATGATGATACCGAACATGCCACCGGTCACTCATGGATCGATGGCCCATGGTCTTCCCATGGCCTACAACAAGCCGCCCGAGATGGCGCAGCGACCCCAGCCTCCGAGCAAGAACTACCCTTGTAGCAACTGTGGCAAGGCGTTTGCTCGACGAAGCGATCTGGCTAGACATGGTACGTTGCTTTCCTACGAGATACAATTATAACGCTAATCCCTGGTCTTAGAACGTATCCACACCGGAATTCGACCTCACGTCTGTGACTATGCAGGTTGTGGTAAGCAGTTTATTCAACGCTCAGCGTTGACGGTTCATCAACGAGTCCACACGGGTGAAAAACCCCACATGTGCGAGCGATGTGGCAAGGTATGAATTAATCTTACCCACCTATATATGTAGGAAATATGCTAACAGCGAGTCAGCCATTCAGTGACAGTAGCTCCTTGGCTCGGCACAGACGCATTCATTCGGGTAAGAGACCGTATAAATGCCCGTATGCCAACTGCCAGAAGACTTTCACTCGAAAGACGACTTTGACCCGCCACCGGAATCAGCACACTGGCACAGTGGAAGAGGCGGCAGCGGCTACAGCCAATGCCCTAGCTGCTGCCCAGGCTAGCAGAACGGCGGCGAACGCAGGTCGGGTAGCCCATAGCGACGGCGAACCTGTTTCGAACCACGGATCTCCGCTGAACACACCGTCGCCAGGCCAGAGACAGCTGTCTATTTCGCCTAGCGCGGAGTTGGCTGCCGCGAATGCGATGCGGAACAGCGACTATTCGTATGTGGGCAATGGGTCGCTCCCAGTTCATATTCGCACGGATATGCAATCTCAGAGCCCTACGTCAGTCCCGGCCTATGCCGCCACCATGCGACCTACTTCGCATCCTACGGTCTATCCGCCTCCACCCACTCTGGAACCTAGCATTGAATCGCATCAGCCAGGAACTGGCAGCACCGGCGGAAGCCCTCATATGGGCAGTGTGGGATGGCAATCGCCCTCACACATGGGCTCACCGACTCACAGCACTGGTGGCAGCAGTTATGTGTACCCGGACCCTGATCAGCAGTCCTTTTTGGGCAGCAACAACATGGGTCAGATGTATTACAATGCAGGCGCTCAGATTCGACGACCGACCAGCACTGATCCTGGCTCAGCTGCTTATGATGTGAAGCCTCGTCCGGATGCGCTATGGGCTAGTCAATAGGATGGCGACCAGAGCGGTTTAGGCGAACCCCTGGACAACATGGCGCTGTCGACTTCGGGATTGTCACCAGAAGCGGCACCAACGACATCACCGTCAGAAGCGCCGTCGCCCTTTGCGGAGACGGCGTGCGAACCGCACCGACAATATGCGACGGACCAGCAGATTTATTCAGGGCTCAGCCAATTTCTATTTGGCCAACCCCAGTTTGGTCAGTCGCAGCACGATCAGTCTCAGCAGGGTCAATTCTTCTACCCACAGCCGGATCAGTCGCAGCAGAATCAGTACGAATACCCGCAGCCGGATCAGTCGCAGCAGGGTCAGTACCAATACCCTCAGTATGATCCATCGTACGGTGCCCGATTTTTCGGAGGCGCCCAATAGATGATTCCATTTGTTCCTTGCATTTTCTTTTGTTACGGAAGGCACAATACCCAACGGCACGGCAAGGAGTGATTATTTGCGATGCGTTCGGGAGGGGGTTCACCAAACGGCGTTTTTTGCTTGTTTTTTTCTTTTTCTTTCTTTTCTTTGCCCCATCGGAGACCACAGATCAGGTATCCAGCTGCCTCGAGGTAGCTTCAGGGCCCGCCCAACTCAGTTCGGGGCGTGCACCTCGCAATTAATCGACCTAAAGTAACCGACCCAAAACACCAGTGGAATTTTATAATATAAAAGGCCTGACTTGCCCCTTGATGGATTCAACTAAAGTTGAAATGGCCCCACTTCGATTCTCCCCTCCTCTTTCAACATACCCTGGTCGGGTTCGGCGATATATCACGACAGCACAGGCGGCATAATCGGAGCAGAAGGAGGGAAAAAAGGAAAATTACCTAGGAATGAGGATAAAGGAACTAGTTGGGTTACGGACGCACGTATACGTTTTCTCTCCTAATGGCTGCAGACTTGCATTTGGGATCACGTTTTGCGGTGAATTTTTTGCAATAAGCAGCCCAATTGCTATGTCCCGATAGTGCGTCAGCAGAAAGATCTGTTGCCGATATGAAGCAATCAAGACTGAATTGAGAAATTTCGGCAACCTTTCTGATGAAAAAGATTCTCATCCTCAATACGCGTTAGAGACGGGCTATTCTCCTGGGTTTCTTGGTGCCTGCTAGACACCGCCAGTCGAGATAAGAGGCCAGAGTCTAGATAGTAAATCAACTTGCGGTTGGATTGAGAACAGAAAACATGGTATTCTTGCAAAACTTGAGAGTGGAGTGTGCTTATAGAAAATTGGTAACTACTAGGAATTCGTGAATGTGTTTGATTACATTGTAGGCCTTACGATATCCACCTGCTCATGTATATCGCCACGGTCTCCCGCTACGGGACGAGATCTTCACGCTAAGAAGCAGCCAGGGGCAAAAAGAGCCACTTATGGATGCGACAAACAATTGGGGTATCATGCTTTATCGCAACGTCACGTAGTATTTATATGAAGGTGCCCCGGCAAGTTTGCATAGCTATTGTTTCCTGCATACCTTACCTCAGCTACCGCACGGGGCTAGGCTAACGACTCCTTCTCCTATACTGTTGATCATGGCCCATAATGCAGTATGTAGAACTGTACAAGGTGACGTCTGCACGAGGCTGGTTTTGGTTCAAGGGAAATAAATGTTTAATCATCAATGACGGATAGTTTCTCGTACGATTGTGACGATTTTGGCGGCGGCTAAGCGATCAAGGGGGATAAAATGTGGATGGTCACCCCGGATTTGACTTTGTCGCGATTTTTTGATTTGTGATCATATGGGGCTACGCACATTTCTTTCTCATTTTTTTTTCTCGACGCTGCCGATACACCTCAGCTAAAACCAAGATACTGCGGTCGCTCCCGTCACCATTGACCATGCGAAATTTCTCGGTAACTTCGAATATATCTCCCCTGTCTCGGGGCAAATATGTTTCTTCACAAGCTCTCGTGGTCCCTTAAAATCTACTTTCATCTCTTGGCGGGAGATCTTCGATCTTTGACAACGAAACGCCATGCAGGCCGTCTAAATAAGCGTGGAACTTAGTTCCGAGCCGCTTGAGGAAACATTTCTGATTATTCGATCATTGCATTGGATTGCTGGTGTGACAAAAGCACCTGCTGCACCTTGTATGGCACCGCACATACGAGCTGAAGAGGACCCTGGAACTAAAAATTTCTCCTACTATTGAACTGATGCCATCTATCCAAATAAAATGTATCTTCCCGGATTCTATTGGACTGATCGCAAACTCACTTCGCTGTCTGAAAGAAGTAGCTGTTTACAAACCCTGGAAGAGCCGAGGACGGTGGGCGTTGATTAATCTTCTACCCCTATTGTTATCGACCTATTCCTTCTCCACCAACTCATCTGCTGTTGAAAACCAAACCATTATTGTTTTAACACATGGTCATAAAAGGCTACTGATGTTGACGGAACTCCGTCGTAACACGGGGAATTAAGGGCCTATATACAACTCTTCTAGGAGCCTTACCCTTTACCCCTTGAAACTTATCTAGGTCACCATCAACCAGATTCGCAGAACATGGCAAGCATACAAGACCTGTTGTCACCCACTGTCGACCAAGGTTCCAAAGAGACGGGAGCGAAGGGACAAGACACATTCTCTGGAATCGAGGATGTGCAAGAGACGACACACTTTGTGGTGGAGTTCATCTTAGATGTGGTTTGCCCGTACTGCTACATCGGCTTCAAGAACCTGACCGCCGCCATCGCGACTTACACGGCAACCCACCCAGAGGCAACCTTCGAAGTGGTTTGCTCGCCGTACCTGCTCGATCCGCTGGCCACTCGAAGCGGTGAGTTCACCCTATCCAACCGTCATACCCAGGTACCTAGTTCTAGCAACGGGGGAGGCCGCAATTTACCTCAGGTCTTGGCGGCCTAGAGCGACTCCACCGTCTCCCCTAGACTTCAAGGTGTATCCCAGAACCGACCTCCTCGAACGTCGAACTTTGTGGGAACCCGCTAGGAACAAGAAAACCCACCCAAAAAGCCCCCGTGGCTAATTACATACTCGTAACTGACCGTAAAATTTTCCACCTCCAGCATACGACAAGTCGACGTACCTCAACAGCCCGAAGCATAGCCCCGAGCACTGGCGCGAGTTGGGCCGGCAGGCCGGCATCGACTTCACCTGGGAGGGGCGCACGGGGAGCACGCGCGACGCGCACAAGCTGCTGCGGTACGCGCTCGAACCGACGCCCACGACGGCGCGGAGCACAGCCTTCGCCTCGCGAAATCGCAATGTGGGACAGAACCAGTCGTCGCCGCCTCCTCCAGCACCGGCGCCGGGAAGCGGGGCCGGGCCCAACGGGATCCACTCGTCCTCTTCCTCTTCAGAACCGCTGCGGCGCGGCCCGGCGCTGCAACTGCGCATGCTCTCCGCGCTCCTGCACGCGCACCACGAGACCAGCGCGGATATATCCTCGCCATCCTTCCTCACCTCTCTCTTCTCCTCCTCCTCCTCTCCCAACTTTCCCAACTTTCCCCTCCCCAACCACGCCAACCACGCCAACCTCGACCTAACCCCCTCCACCGTCCACGCCCTCCTCGAAGACCCATCCTGGGACCGCGCCATAGAAGCGCTGTCCGCGGACGCGCGCGAGCGGCCCGGGCTCTCCGTGCGCGCGGTGCCGACTTTCGTCGTGAACGACCGGTACGTGATCGGCGGGGCGCAGAGCGTGGGGTTTCTGCTTGATGTTTTCGCACGGATAGGTGCTGGGAGGGGGTTTAGGGATGGTGTCGGGGTGGGGGATGCGGAGACGGGGATAGGGGAAGGGGAAGGGGGAGGAACGGCCGGGGAGGGGGGCGTGCGCGCGCGCGAGAGATTTTATGAGGAGGGGGGTGGGCGGGGAGGGTCGTCGGTTGTGTAGGTAGGGATATATAGGGGAGGTGAGGTCTGGGAGGAGAGAATGTTGGCGAGGCGGCGTGGAGGGCTGGTGGGGTGTAATATGTATGTATGGATCTGTGGAGCATATCGTCGACTTCGAAAGATACTGGAGATGGTCTAGCAGGGAGGTTGGATCTCTTGAGAGGGGATGGTCAACATATAGGGTGCCTATCTTGGTAGTCAAGAAACAGGCTTGGGATATCTAGCATCAGGTCATACCTAGCTACCTGCCTAGGGCAAGGAGCGGCTCAGAAACCTTGGGATAAGAGGGTAAAGGGATTGGATCGCTTAGTATGGATACCACAAGTTAGCATATGCAATTCTTCATAATCGGACTTACATTACTTTGTACGAATCTTTTTCGTTCGTTTATTGGTTTTGGGCTATAATTTGAAGTCACCTTTTGCTTCGACCGGACTGCTTAGCCTGGATAACATATGGAACTTTCCTGTGAACAACAGGGAGAGCAAGTCATGAGAGAAGGAGGGATAAAGGAGTAAAACGAAATGACTTGAAAAAGCGTCGCGTTCATCTGCCACGGTAGTAACGGGGTAAATCAGAATCTAAGTCACATCATAATAGTCAACTTTGTTTTGTACTTATACCTTTTATTAAGGTGCAATGCCGAGAGGGTTTTGCTCTCCAGAGCCCCCCTTTGCTTGCCAAAGTTTATAGTAGGGGCATTGACATCTTATAGCCCAATGCCTTTACCTCGTAATTCGAAATGCCACGTTTCTTTTGACCAACCTAAAACGCCGATAATGCTAGTTTTGTCCCCTTGTCTCACAAGAGGAATGTGCCGTGGGAAAATCACTCCTGGCCGGATATCAACGCAACCTTGCTTCCACAGCAATGCCTCGGAACCCCCCATGCTATGCTGGAATGCGATCTCTCAGAAGACGATTAACGCTTGTGCTGTTCGAAGATGCTCCGCATATGTTCGTTCTCGAACTTCTTCTGCACGCGCGAAGCCTTCTTGCGCTTGGGCGGGGCCTTCTGACCGGCATTCGCGTTGGCCTTCGTGCCACCGCTAGTCGCCTTCTGACCAAGCGCCTTAAGCTTTCGGGGCATCTCTTCGACGGACGGCAGCGGCTCCTTAAACCACATCGCGCGGAACTCGTCATCTACCTTATGATGCAGAGCCGGGTTGTCGAGCCAGACGAATCTGTGCGTCTGTTCCTTCTTGGTTCGAACCGTCAGGATCTTGTGCTCGGCCTCGAGCTCCATGAGCGCTTCGTCGCAGTTCGGCCACCCGTCCTTGATCGCCTTGACTTCGGTGGCCGAGGCGTCCGTCTTGCTCTGCAGGTACTCGAGCAGCGTCACCTTGGACGTGACGCCCGGCAGCATCGGCTTGAACTCGTAGGTGCCGGCGCGCCACTGCTCCGACTCGGGCAGCGACTTGGCCTTCGGGTCCGGGCGGTACTGCATGCGCGAGTGGCGCTGCATGGTCGTCGCGAAGAACTTCTGCACGTGTTCCGGATAGTGCTGGAGGGTCAGGTGGTCCATGATCTCCTGCAGCGTCTTCGGCGTGCCCTTCGACTTGAGGAAGTCGACCGCGTACGTGAGCTGCGTGATGATGTGCGAGCCGTAGTCCTGGGAGGCGGCGGCGGCGGCTGCTGCGGCAGGGGTGGCCGAGGCGTTGTTGGCTGCGATTCCGTCGCGCTTCTGACGCTTCGAAGCCGCGCCATCGGACTTGGTCACCTTAGACGGGGATGGCGAAAGGGCCGACGCCTTCGTCGAGCCGCCGGCGGGTTTTTTGGGAGACATGATGGTTGAATGATTGATTCAGTCGGGTGAGTTCCTTAGGTCCTTGTTGTGGGATGGCGAGATGTTTTGTTGTTTGATGCCAACCTCATCAATGGATGGATGGATAAAGAAAGAAAGTGAAAGTATGAATGCGAAACAAGGCTGAGAGGTGTCAATTGATTGCATGTGTTATGTAATCTTTTAAGGTTAGCCCAATAAGTGGAGTACCCCAGGTATTTGGTATCTATGTATCTAAGTACTGTTGTATCTTTGAAGAAGTGTGGCTTATAGTAACATATGGCTTAAAACGCTAAAAATTGAAGGTGTTCGTGGGTCTTTAGCGTGAAATGGGCTAGCGGCCCTTTTAGTGAGGTCCAATTAACTTGACGTTAGGTTCTTTTCAATTGACATACACTCGGGTCCCAGGCTAATACCTAGGTACAATTAGGACAATTGAGGCCAGCTCTAGTTCTGTATTAGGAAGTGTCAGCATTGAACGATGTCTTTCGATGCTTTCTCATTTCCTTTACCTAATTTGGCAATCGAGTGCGGATCGGATGGGGCCGATAACCCAGATGCATCCTTGAGGAACAAGATAAAACTTGCATTTCATAATTGCCTCAGAGGGAAATGGTTTGAAGATGGGTGATACGATTTGATTCTGCGAAGGGCTGCAAGTAATTGAGTGAGTGGGTTGGTTGGTTGGTTGGTTGCGCGTTGATGTTGAGAAACTACTATGTAGAATATGTTGTAACCTTTAAATGGCCATATTGTGACGAAATCGAAGCATGAATCGCATTTTTAATAGAAATAGGATATTAAAGGTAATATGTAATCACTCTGACATTACTGGATGTCGGCAATTCTTGAATTTATCTAGCACCAGATTGACATGAGATCACCATTTCGCAACAAGTACTTCATAGCGTTCATCGGGTTTATTAAAAATGCCTGTACTTAAGTAACCGCCATCCAATCCCTCTAGGCTCTTTGGTCCATCAACTCTGCCAGTAACACAATCATATTCTCATCGGACTCCTGGTAGTCATACACCAAATAGCCTGATAAGACACCACCGAGAAATAGGTAAGAACCAAACCAGATCTATTAAGCATCGAGGATAGATATGCTACCGTAAAGGCATCCATCAACTCGTCGCTCGACCCACTAGTACACACTCCTTACTCCCCCAACAACCTCGTCCAAGAAGAGTCAGCCACTTAGGCCTCCTTTCCTTCTTGGGCCTGTAGGTACTGGTAGGCACCGAAAGCGACCAGTCCACCGATGAAGATGACAGCGTACAGGGCGGTTCCGTAGCCGGCCGAGCTTGTGTTGGCAGCTGGGGCAAGGGAGGGCTGTTGAGCCTTGGGTTGAGGGTCACCAGGCTGGATTAAAGGTCCGTTAGCATACCGGAGTATGATTGGGGAAGGGTAGATTAAAGACATCGGGAGACGGGAATTCTTACCTTTCGCTTTAGGGTACCGACAAGGAGTTGCTCGAGGGTTTCTCGGGCTTCGTCACTGTGGCCGACGTCCTCGAAAGCCTCTGTCGCGTCTTGGCCACCAACATCTAATAGGACTTCTTCACCACCGCTGTGTGGACGAAGGATGTTAGCTGACATTTGTACACGTAGGCACAAAAGCCCGGGCCACACCGCGAAATTGATCCACAAGAACGAACACAATTGCGACGTCGATTGAAATTGAAATCGCATAACGTGGAAAATAGTAATGTAGCACTTACGGATGTTCATCAATGAACTTGGTGGTATCGTAGATCTTGTCGTGCACAACGATATAAAGATCCTTCTTGGTGTTGTGCTCAGCAATATCCTGGTAGGTAAGCTCCTTCAACTCTGCCATTTTGTTGACTTTGTTGTTTTCCTCGAAACAAATCTAAGGGTATCGATCGCTCGAAGTCAAGAAAGATGTACAGGTGTAGATTCGGACACAAGCGCAGTCGGCACGGAGATTGATCGGGGGTTGAGGGAGGAGTAAAGAGGACAGTTGGGGTTAAGGAAGGATAAGTAGGATGGATAAGAAGGTGAGATGGAGCTAGTCAATTGCATTTGGTGATTTGATTTCTTAAACTTCGAATGGCTTCTGTCCCCTAGAAAATTTAGGGAGCTAGCGGTCAGCGGAGGGTACGGTAATCCGAATCCTATGGATGCCATTTGAGCCAATCAGAGACTACCTATATCAATTTATCAAACCGCTGTGGGGATCAACAGTTAGCTCACCTCGTTTTTTTTAGTGTACGTATTTTTATTTTTTTACAGGACAATTCCTCCAATCCGCCCAGTGGACCCTTACATGAACATCTACCCTAGCATTCTCTATACGATTACCTACTTTGGTATTGTGTATAGTCGTAGGTTATGCACGCCTCGGTTGGTCGGTTGTACTTCTCTAAACCCGGATGGTAGGTCGGTACCTGATTCGCTGCTGCCATACGAAAGCACAACTTTATGCAATATGCCATTATACCATTTGATTGGAGACTTCCACTTCCACCTGATACAGGGTTCAGATAAGATCGAGACGTTTTACCTTATGTAAGTCAAGTCCCCGCATTGGCACATAACTGCTTATCTGCTTATGTGCATTTGAAACTAGATATGTAAGTGCTAGGGTCCGGAATCTTGCCGTTCTTCCTCCGCTTCTACCTAATTCTATCTCATCCTTCCGTGCCGCTAATATCTATGGGTTTATCATGGATCTCTAGAGATCAATCAGCAAGGCTGCAAGGTCGAGACCGAACGTTCCGGACTGCCCTTCCACTTATGGCGTACGAGGAATCTTGCCGTCTTGGAGATCCTTTAGTCACTGTCGGCAGGTCGTCGTCATAATGCGGAGATTCGGAGTTTTAATTGGAACCAGCGGTCCGTCCCTATGATCACCAGGGCAATTAATGTTTTAAGATCCTAATTACTCCGTATCGGAGAGCTTGCAGTCCATACCTATGCTATGAATGAGTCTCGCCTGTCATATCGACTAGAAATAGCGGCCCCTTAACCTGGGGTACTGAGTGATGAACAGGTACGCGAGGGCGGCCAAAACTACCGTGCTCAGGGACGTGATACCCCAATTCAAGGCGTTCGGAGACTTATGTAGGATAACGTGCTTGAACGAATACGAAGAGCGGGGACACTGAGCACACACATGTGCCCATGTGCTCAAGTGCCAGTCACAGAAGAGATCAAATGTTACTACACGAGGTTGAAGAATTCCGCCCTGCGCGTACTCTTCTTCCACTGCTCGACTGCTTCCCCGGTCATCAAGCCCGGCACGTAACACTCCCCGATGAACGAATACTTGCCCTCGCCGAGCTCCCTTACCACATACGGGACCTTCCCGCCGAATAAAATAACTATTATATCACTCCTTTCCATCGTTTCAGGGCCTATTCCCATTAAACTCCCTGCTGTGACGAAAAATCGTCTATGCAAACAAGCCCGTGTGAAAGCCTCACGGAACCGGCCTGAACTTGAATAGTTCCAAATGGCAGTTGGCAATCTCCATTTTTTGCCAATGCCCGAGACCGGGATCTGGCCTCCGAACTGTTGAATCAACCAGTCTGCCGCGTCGTCAAGAAATTTTGGATCCTCGTCGATAGGCTGCTTTGTCTCGCTGAGACCTGCGCTAAGCGTTGAGACGAAAGTATGAGGTATGTTTTCGGGCTGGTACATTTCCAGATTATCGTCTCCTGACGTACTACCACTGGCCAGGTGTGCCACCAGGTTCCACGCCGATTTTACAAAATCATGCTCTTCTTTGTATGATGTATGCCGGAACCCATAGCTAATAAGTTTGTCCCCATACGCTCTTATTAAGCCACCGGAAACCCTGATCCCCTCCACAGAAAGACATGATGGGTCTATAGAGGCTCCCATTGATAGAAACTCATCGCCATTGGCGTTATAAGGCGACTCGTTTCGGTTATCGTTGACCAATTCAGTAGATATTTTCGGTTGATTCCAGTCTGGCACCCATGATGGACAACCGGATATTTTCACGCCTTGGATTCCGCCTGCGTGAGATAGTGCTGCGAGATTCCCATGATATATTATTAGGAAGCGTATTACATTCGGATACACCTCGTCAACTCGCTTTGGATCGTACGTTGGCTCGATCAACGGATCAAATTTCTGATTATTGTCACGAATATAGACAGTCTCTTCTGCCAAGCTATAGGCCGCGTATACCTTATCCACTTTGAGCGTCGCTTTTCGTCCTCGAAGCTCCCGCAGCATTCGAAGTAAGGGGCGTCTATTTCCCGTCATGGACCATATCGCGGCAACCTTAGAAACTGGCAGAAGATCTCTCTTATCTCCGTGAAACTGGATGTCAGCGGGTAAGGCGAAGCCGTGCGCCTGGAACCATGTTGCAGCTTTCCCTAAAGCCTCCCACTCGATCTGCCAGTCCCCTAGAATAGCGACAGCTCGCTTGGCGTGGACGACTTCTTGGACAACCCATATGCGCTCGAACCACGGATTAACAAAAAAATCGTGGAGGACTTGCCATTCAGGAGCGTCCGAGCTGGGAAAACCATGTACGAGATTTCGGTATGCTGTGTCCGTATCTGCTCTCGATACCGTAAGGTAATCTCTACCGGCATCAACATTTCTCAATGCTTGGGCGATAAATGCGAGGACGACCGGCGTTTTCCCGTACTGTCCAATGTGAACTTGATGTGTTAGCGCGGGTAACCCCTTCGGTCTTAATGCCCTCAGACGTGTGGAGTCAGCCCTATAGGTGTCGTTTGCCTCTCCCAGCCATATCTTAACCGTAACAGCGTCTGCATAGATCTCGTGCATCCGCTTGACCTGGTTCTCCTTCTCAGCCATGTCCTCTTGATTGATACAAAGAGCATCAATCCAAATAGGCCTTTCTTGCTGGGAGACAGAATGCTCTTGTTCTTCTTGCCGATTGGTAGCGAACGAGCCCCAGGCATTGCGACTCGAGTGGAGTTGATGGTCTTTTGGCCAAGTAATAACCGAATCCCAGTTCGGGAGAGGACGAAGATATCTCATCGCCTTGATCAAGTTTTTTGCGACTGTCACCCCATGTCCATTGCACATGATGGGCTCGTCGGATACTTCGGTGCCCCATACATAAGAGATCGCATCATACTCTGGCGCATTATTCCTATCCTCGACGACGATAAAGGTACAATTGATTGTCTCAGACGCAAAACCCGGCGCAATCAAGAGTAAACGTATAGCCTCTGGTCCTATGGGTTCATAAAGTTGTTGGTTTGGCATGTTGCCCCACGTCTAAGACAGATTGATAGATTTCGTAACAGTAATTGGTCGATTCTGAATGATGCTTACAAGCCGCCGCAACCTGAAAGGACGACGATCATCGCTATGGGCTTCTAGGACTTATAGGCTCCATCCTACAGTCAAGTTTCTTAGCTTGCCTAAAATGTGGCTGCTTACATCTATATCTAGATTCGCCAGCCAACCAGACGACAGATCACTTCCAGGGGGTTTCAGATATGAACGGTTAGCTTCAGCGGCGCAGTCTCAGGTGCGACACAGCCTCAGAATCCTTCAGATGTCCAGTGAATCTCAGCCCTACTTTACGAATCCCAGCTTCTCATCATTCGTCATTGTTAAGAACATATGAGCATATCAAAGAACGGATGTGGTGAATAACTATACCTATTTTCCATTGAGATTTGGGTTGAGCACGACTTATAGTCATGCCGTTGAGTTGGCCTGATTGGCCTGCTAGCGTAAAGACGAACGTGTTTTCCAACATCTGGAAGGATGCCCGATTACTAAACGCAAGTGAGTCTTCCGGCCTACGATGAGCTTTTTATAAGTTGAACCTCGTTACTCACCAAGCATACAGCGGTATACGCGCAATGGTAACTACACCTGATCAAAATGCATAGTATCACCACTCAACTCATCGTCCTAGGCTCTGCGTCCTCTCAGCCATCTCCTTCGTAGTAATAAGGATATGCTGGCTCATTAGCGCCGACACTCCCCCGCACGAAGGGGAGGTGCTGGGCATCCCGTTGATGATAGCAGATATGATGTTCGTCCTCCCCTACTTTCCACCCTACTTACCTACCTTACCTCCTTACTTCCAACATTCGTATTAACACAACCCCCAGCTTCTTCCCCACCATCTCCCTAACCGTAGAGCTCTCGCACATCCTCCGCACCCGCGTGCCCGCCTACATCGGGCTAGTCTACTGCACGCTGCGCATGTTCACAAGCTTCATGTCCAGCGCCGCCGAGGACTCGACCGACGGCATCCCCTCAGGCCCTTACCTCTTCCTCGGCATCGCGCGCGTCCTCGCCACGTACTACATGCTCGTGCTGCCCTACACGCCGGCGAAGACGCGCCTGGACCCGGACCCGCCGCGCGCCATCCGCAACATCGACTCGCTGCCCGTGCGCGCCTGCTTCCAGCTCGCCTGTACCCTGGCCCTGCCGTACTTCTCGCGCCCGCCCCACGGCACCGCCGCGCACCTGTTCGCCCACGTCCGGCCGCCGTGCTGGCGCGTCGAAGCCCTCGCCTATTACGCCCTGCCCTCGTACTTCGAGCCCGCGTTCGCGTTCACGGGCTGCGCGGCCCTCGCGTACTTCGCCGCGCTGATTATCGGCCAGGAGTACGTGTTTAGTCGGACGTTGGGCGGGCCGGGCGTCGAGCGCTTGACGTTTATAAGGCCTGGGCGCGTGCAGTTGGTGGATTCGATTGGGTTGGAGGAGGGGCGGATTAGGTTGCCGTGATTCTTTTTCTTCCTTTTTACGTTTTGTTTGGCTTCCTTTTGGGAGGGAGTTTGTTTAGCGTATACGATGGTAAGGAGGTAGGGTCTCGCCGTGCAACTGTGTGATTTTATGAGGTCTAAGCATGGGCTTTTGGATATCGTGGCATGTTTGGGCTTTGCATACGACGCATGGTAGATTATATATATCAACAAATAAGGCGGTCTTGTATGTGTACATGTACGTGTGTCGACGGAGATGATGACTATAATCCACTAGACTTTCACTAGGCGTAGCAGGCGGTATTTTTCCGATTACGAACTCGCTTGCTATCTCTATTCCTCATTTTACTAGAATCTCGCTCTCCTTGGTGTCTGCTCCTCTAAAATGGCCAAGCAACTGAAACGCCCATATCCGTATCGAAGTCGACTCGGCACCAGGTACATCACGAAACAACGTCTATCAAAGCTCTCCCTCGACCCTATCTTCTCGAGCTACCGCCTCCGATGTCCTGGCCCACCCGGTAGCTGGCGACTTTGTCCCATTCGATCTTCTGCCTCGTCACGGGAAGTTGTCTTCGCAGACCCTTGAACGCACCTTCGCTTAGGCTCGTGAATCCTTTGTTGAGCTCTTCCTGGTACTTCCTCTCCGCCGCGGCGATATCCTTGGCAATTCCCGCACCCGTGCCTGACGAGACGGAGCCGGAGATGGGCTTGTTGGTTAATAACCGCACGTTCCCGTCCTCGTAGTAGTGCACGTCGACCTTGATGCTGCCTCCGAGACTGCTGGAGGCCGGGTCGAAGATGTAGAGGGAACGCCATCGTCCGTTCCTATCTACGGGTTAGTGGGCTCCCCCCCCTTAGTCTATTCCTGGATATCGGATGCTGTTCCTACCAGAAGTTATTCGGGCTATATTTGTTGGCCACGATTATGACGGCCACTTTGGAGTCGTTCTCGATGGGATAGGCGCCGTACGATGCGTTCGGGAAATGCTCCTTGACGTACGTCGACAGGCTCTTCAACGTCGATTTCCTGCGACACTGGTTATCAGCCCGGCTCTTTACGTAGACCATTCCTGTCCCTCCTCTCCCCCCATAATAAAGTCAAGGTGGGTCTTTCATACACCAAGTCTGCCTGAGTGCCTTCCAACGCGTAGCTTTGCACGCCGCTCGCCTTCTGGGTAGCGTGGTCGAAGGCGAAGCTCGAAGAGCTCTCGACGTCGAAGTATCGTCCGCCGCCCAGTGAACTGTGCGAGCTGATGATGACCTGCTGGCTGCTTCCGGGCAGTTTGGCGGTGACGAACTGCTCTTCGTTGTACTTCTCGAAGGCCGGGCCTAGCTGGGAGACGATGTCGGGCTCGTTGATGGTTAGGGCTTTGATGTCTATGAAGGAAACATGATATTAGAATCATCTTCTTCACTTGTATAATGAGTGGTTGGCTGGGCTAGTCTTGTACCGTTGATTACATCTGCTAGCTGTGTTGCATCTATAAGTCAGCTCGCGATCCAACCCCTATAAATTGTTTATAAGGTCTCGTTATACATACCTCGCCAGGCGGTGCGCCTTCCACGAAGGACTCGACGGTTTCTAGAGGAGTTGCCATAATTATACTTATATTTCAATGAAGATATTGGAGTCTAAATAACGAAGGACCTAAGCTTATGAAGATATCGGCGTCGTCAGCTTCCGCCTTACTTTGGACTTTGGGTGTTGATTGTTGAAACATGCAGATGTCCATCCATTATAGAGCGCGGGGCAAAGAGGGCGGACCTACATACCTTGTACCTAGGTACACCTACGTATTACTATCGATAAAGAATGCCAAGACATTTTTTCTCAGCTCTCAGCCATCAGGTCATTGTGCATACGCCTAGAAATATGCTCCACTATATTTTCCATCTGTTCTTGTAAGGTTAAAGTTCTCATCTCACGATTAACATTTTGAAAACTTCATAAAACAACAATATTTTTAGATCTCTTATGCGATTATTTCATCTGGTCTTCATGGATCGACTATATACTTTCTCATACCCTCTTATACCTACTACAGCAAGCATATTCGCAAATCTTACTCTTCCATTGATTTAATATTCTAACAGTTTCTTCACACCATCGTATATTCCTATATTGACGTTAGCATAGACCACACTAGGAACTACTTGGACATCTAATAGTCACAGAATAGGATACTCACTAGCGACATCGGGAATATTGAATGCCTCAAACATCAGTGGGGTGAAAGTGCTCCATCCTGCTATTCGCGACACTGGAGCTGAGAGGTGGTTGAACGTATCCGGATTCTCTTGTATTGCCGCTGCCACTTCGGCCCCTATTCCTGCATTGACCATGGCTTCGTGCACTACCATGCATCTTCCCGTTTTTCGTACGCTCTCGAAGACGCATTCTTTATCCCATGGATATACGGTTCGCAGATCGATGAGTTCTATAGAGACTCCGAAATCTTCCTCCGCCTTCTCGATGGCTGCGTTGCAAATGTAGAGCGGCTGTCCGTACGAGATTATAGTTATGTCTTTGCCCTCCTTGAGTACTTCCGCTTTGGAGAGTGGTAAGGTGTATGGAGCTGTTGGTACCTGTTCGACGGCTGCTCTATACAGAATCTTGGGCTCCATAAAGACACATGGGTCGTTGCTCCGGATTGCTGATAACAGGAGACCCTTTGCCTGTATTGGCGACCTCGGCATTATCACTCTAAGACCAGGAATATGAGTGAAGAGACTCTCAGGTGATTGCGAATGATATAGTGCGCCGTGACCAACACTTCCGCACGGCATTCTCACCGTCAACCCGCCCGCGTTTCTCCCCGTCTTGCCTTCACGGTATCTGTATTTTGCAGCCTCATTTACCAATTGGTCAAACGCAGGATATACATAATCCGCAAACTGAATTTCGGCTACCGGTCGCATTCCCTCGGCGGCCAAGCCAATGGCAAAGCCCATGATACCTTGTTCCGTCAGGGGTGTATTAAATACACGAGCACCCCCGAATCTCTCTGACAGTTTCACCGTGCAACGGAACACACCTCCGAAAGCGACATCTTCGCCAAATACCAGGACATTCTCGTCTTCGGCAAGTGCGGTTGATAGAGCGTCGGTAATGGCTTGACAAAAGTTCATACGTTTCGCTGTGCCATTCCTGGCTTCGGGTGGCAACTCGGGATTGCTGAGTGCTGTTTGCGAACTGTGTGATAATAGTGATGTTGTCGAATAGTCAGTTGGTAGGTTGAGCCGTGCATTCGGCGGATGCGTCGAATAGTTTCGACTTCGAGAAGTGCACACAATCGAACGCTGACATTTATACAAGTTGCTGACAGACTTGGAAGCCAGACCGAGCGATCGAGGTGAAATAAAAGGCTTCATCGTTACAAGTCTACTTGCTACCTGTGTGGATTCATGTCTAACTAGAGATTGATTTCGTTCTAAGAAAGAACGAAAGAACAGAATGCGAGGGATCGGTCAAGTCAGCCGAGAAGCGTCATACGCAGAAGACCCGACGTCGCTTAGTTGCGGCGTTCGGTTTAAGGAGTTCTTATTGAATTATAAAGCGGCAGATCTCACGCAGCGCTAGCTACATGGCTGGTCTTCCCCGCTACTATAAAGATGTACCTTTGTATTGGTGGACCGAGCCGCCGGGTTATGGTGGGGCTTTTGGAGCTTGCACTATCAAGTTTCGAGAGTTTCCAGGGATGTTGACTTAGAAGCGATAGTTGCCCGGTCAACAACATTCTCACCGTCAAATGCTACCTCGTAAACAGGGTTCTAAACAATACTACTAGTATTTTACTAGTACTAGTACTAGTCTGGTACTAGACTAGTATTTTGTTTTGTAAATACTAGCCTAGTATTACTAGTAAATACTAGTGCTAAGCCCGATTGGGGAACTGGACCCATTCTTTTCCGAATTGGAACAATTTTCGAAGAAAAGTGGGTCTATTTTGCCAGTCACGTGACTTTTGAGTGACGTGATTTGGAGTTGAACTTTGAAAATTACGTAACATCTTACGTAATATAGGCATAAATAGTTGATTATATAAGCATATTGTATAATTATTTTTGGAAGCTTTCCATCCAACGCCAAGGAAAGTCACTTGAAAAGCGGGGGCCTTTAACCAGATTAGGTTTAGCTATGTGTCGCTAACCAAATTAGGCCTAGGACTAGTATTTCAAACTAGTACTAGTATTTTGACCATGAATACTAGTACTAGTCTAGTAAGACCCACAATACTCGACTAGTCGAGTATTTTTAATACCCTGCTCGTAAATGAACACGCAAGCTTTCAACAATTCATTTCCCTTGACGCAATCGATAATCATTGCAGATTCCTACCGCAAAGAGTCTATCGGCCTGCATAAGTTTACAGATTCCAGATTTCTTGGCTTTTTGTCAATGTATCTACACATACATTCCTAAAGCCTGGCTTTTCATTGTTCACATTACTCACATCTATGGCTCGCGAAGACTCGGAAACAGACAACCGTCGGCGTAGGGATTCCCAGACACGCCATAAACATCACAAGAAAAAAAGATCTAGAGAACATGGCTCGGCAAGGCCTACGTCGGGCTCTGAAGGAACGTCGCAGGGTACGGCCCAAAGACTATCTATGAATGCTCTCGCCCAGTTGAACGAATATAACACTCGAGGCATTAAGCAAGAACCATCTAGAGAGAAGGAACGCAAACCAAAGCGAGACAGAAGTAGGAAACCCGAATACAAGGCCGTTGATGCAGAATACGATCCCCCGAGGAGGAGCCGGCGTGCGAGTCAGTCGGAAGGAGAACGTAATGCTCCCAGAAAAGAAAGGAGACGAAAAGAGGGATACCGAGATGGAGATGGAGGGTATGAGTCAAGGGGATATGAATCAAGAGGTTACGAATCTAATGACAGGGAGGAGAGGCGACGAAGGCGACGACAACGGGTGGTCGAAACTGAGGACGAAGAAGACATACCAAACGAAAAGGGAAAGAAACATCGCAAGAAAGATCGAAGAGTGGTTAGTGGCGCCATTGTAGAGGAAGGTAGAGCGATTCCAGCAATACGAGGTGGTGCCACAAGCAAACATAGTAGCTATGATAGCTACGACAGCATTGCCAAAGAGAAGGCAAGCACGGGTTTCGAGTTCAAACAATACTGGGGAAACAGAAAGAAGAAAAGATGTAGGTTTGGAATATCCTGTGGTGGATACGATATTGACGTTTTGAATAGGGATCATAGCGGGTGTCGCGCTTGTGGTGCTCATCATTATCATTGTGGTCGCCGTCGTCGTGAGCAAGAAGAACAGCTCCAACAACTCTGACGCAGATAAATCGAACTTAAGCGGCGTCTCGGAAGATAGCATCCCTGTGGCCGCCCGGGGAACATATCTAGATCCTTTCACATGGTATGATACAACGGACCTTAACGTAACGTACACGAACGAAACGGTTGGCGATCTACCCATAATGGGGCTCTTCACGGATTGGGACGACTCCAAGGCTGCTAACGATAAAGTTCCGGCCATCGAGAAGGGCTGGGGAGACTATTCTAAGACCCCAGCACGTGGTGTCAACCTTGGTGGATGGCTCTCATTAGAGCCTTTCATTACACCTTCGCTATTTAATTACGATAGCAAGTTAGGAATCATCGATGAATGGACTCTATGTAACCACTTAGGCGCTAAGACGGCAGCCTCCACCCTCGAGAAACATTATGCGACCTTCGTAACGGAGCAGACCTTTCAGGAGATCCAAGCCGCAGGACTCGACCACGTCCGTATACCATACAGCTACTGGGCTGTGCAGACATACGACGATGACCCTTACGTCTTCCGCACCTCCTGGCGCTACCTCTTGCGTGGCATTGAATGGGCGCGCAAGTACGGGTTACGAGTGAACCTCGATCTTCACGGCCTACCGGGTAGTCAGAACGGATGGAATCACAGTGGAAGGCAAGGCCTCGTCAACTGGCTCAACGGCACTAACGGTGACCTCAATAGCCAGCGGTCGTTAGACGTCCACGATCGCCTAACCAAATTCTTCGCGCAAGACCGCTACAAGAATATCATCACCTTCTACGGGCTCGCCAACGAACCGCGCATGGTCTCCCTCTCCGCGGACGCCGTCATCTCCTGGACGACGCAAGCGTACAACCTCGTGCGAAAGAACGGCATGACCGCCAACATCGTGTTCGGGGACGGCTTCATGGGCCTAGCTAACTGGCAGGGCAAGCTGACGGGCATGGACGGGCTCGTGCTGGACGTGCACCAGTACCTCATCTTCAACAACGACCAGATCATCTACACGCACCAGAAGAAGGTGCAGTACGCCTGCGACGGCTGGACCCAGCAGACCGAGCAGAGCATGAACACGGCGACCGGGTTCGGCCCAACCATGTTCGCCGAGTGGTCGCAGGCCGACACGGACTGCACGCAGTACCTGACGAACGTCGGGTGGGGCAACCGGTGGACGGGCACGTACGACTCGGGCAACGCGTCGACGCAGGCGCTGACGCCGCTGTGCCCGACCAAGGACAGCTCGTGCACGTGCGACGGCGCCAACGCGGACCCGAGCCAGTACAGCGCCGCGTACAAGCAGTTCCTCAAGATGTTCGCCGAGGCCCAGATGGTCTCCTTCGAGAAGGGCTGGGGCTGGTGGTACTGGACCTGGGACACCGAGAGCGCGCCCCAGTGGAGCTACAAGAAGGGCCTCGCCGCCGGCATCCTGCCCGCCACCGCCTACGATAAGGATTTCAACTGCGATAGCGACGTGCCTGATTTCTCGGGGCTTAGCGAGACGTACTGAAGGAGGGGGGTTAGGAGAGGGGTCGAGTTTTGCGGCGGCGGCGGTGGTGGTGGTGGTGGTGCGATTGCTCTCTAGCATTGGCGCTAGACCTTGCTTTTACCCATGGGCTGGCTCGGCTCGTGATTCGTCTCATGCGCGACGCGGTTTTTGCTGACCGCAGACCGAGGGGAAAAGGAAACTAAGGAAACTAGTGTTTCTAAAATTGCATGAACCCGTGGGGGTTGGGGAGACGATCATTTTTCATGCATCCCTCGGATATTGCTATACATATATTCGAACGGCTACTTCCGAGATCAACCGCGTAGCCGGGACGGTGACGCTTGTGTGTGCCTGTGTGGGTGTTTGTGTGTGTAAAGGTTGAGAGCGCCTATGTTTTGCTAAGAACTTAGATGCGACGGCGCTCCGAATTTCGCAGGGGGCGCGGGAAAGGGGGTTTACCGGGACACGGAGATAGAGCGGTAGCCGCTATATCCTACCCGCTTTCATCTAATGTCTGACTACCTACCATGACCGCTCTTCCCCATTCTAGGAGGGAACTAGGGGAAGCTTGCGCGCCGGAGTACTACGCTATCTCATGCGATCTATACATAAAGTTTGGTTGCAATAACGAACGTTTTGCATAGTATATACTGGGATTTCTGGAGTTATCGGGGTTACTGTTTGTCTAATGCTACCATGTATATTGACGATGTACGTGGGGTGGAAGGAAGAGGGATATGGATGATACATGCGAATGTGTTTGGGAATTACTACCTGTATACCTATTGGGTACTCTGTGAGCGAAATATCTACCTAAGCAGCTGCAAGATTAATGAATGCCGACATGCATATGCCGTCCTGAAACTCCTGCCTGCGAAGTTGACGATCAAAGGATGTTAATCTCGACTTATATGTCTAAACAGGGTTGCAGTCTTGTCTCTTTTCGTCTACAAGGCTTTAACGGTTGTGCATATCGATAGATCAGTTTAGGGTTGGGAGGGCTGTGTATTTGAAACCGGTGATATGAGTCATGCTGGCGTCTTTTAGTAGTCGGCGATCTCGGTGTGGCTTTGGAAATATAGCCTTTCGACCTCTAGGAAGCCAGCCATCTCACACCGCATTAAGAACGCGGGGGCCTCCCTCTAGAAGGCTGATGAAACATCGACAAATCTGCAGCCCTTTCTTTACCCAAAAGGGTTTTCATATGATCGTCGCCACGCCACAGCGTCGTATTTGCGGCTGATCATACATATAAATATGTATGCTGTCAGATTGACCGGTTGGAAACCCTAGATGCGGCACCGCAAGTCCGGGGAATTTATGTAGGAAGAGGAGGGAATGGCTTGATATTCTTGCACATCTGTTGATCGTCGTCGAACCAGTTCGGACAGGACAGGGGGCGAGCTTGCATTTATGCAAGTATGGGTGCGGCGCGTATACGAATGGTAAGTTAAATAGGTTCCGGACATCATGAGGCTGAAAAGCCCGGCAATCTGGATAGCTACCTGTCCTGGACCAACCACTCGTCGACTGTCGAGGGAGGGCCGGAAGAGTGACAAGATTGACACGATTGGACCGGCTGGCTGGCTGAAAACTTTCTCGTATGGATTGAGTCGTTCGTAATGGCCACTCGTTGTGTTCCTTCACTAACTGCGTAGACAATAAACTACGCCCGAATCCGAAAGTGGTCTGATCGATGTGGATATCTTGTTGCGCGTCCTAGAGGTATTGTATCGAGAAACCTGGTTAGCACACATATTTTTCTGTTTGATTCGGCACATTTAGATGTTAATCGAGATAAGAAGTAATCTTATCACGCCTCTGCCGTCTGAAACCGTACCAAGGCAATGGCTGGGCGGTGGCGGTTCGCAAATTGCTTCCTTGCTGGGTCTATTTTAAACGCCATGTGCCGTATGTAGCCAACTCCCGAGAAGGAAAGGTTTTGACGGATCTTGAGGAGGAATCAAGAACCGGGATTTGAAAGCAACGCAAGACGCGGCTCGTGCCCAGGCCGCTTTTCCGTTTTCCTGTGGTGGACGTATACGGCTTATGACGAAGAGTCAGCCTTAGTGAAAATCCCAGAAGAACCATGACTAGGGGTACCGGTAATAGAGTAAGTGGTGTATGTAGCTACGACGCAAGACGGAAGACAGGACCTGCCTTAGCGCGGTCTGTTTCTGCGGCCGTAAGGAGGATTCCACAACCGACGCCGAGTGCTCATGCCAAGGAAACACGTCGCTTGATGCCGCAAGAATAACATGTTGCTGTCGTCGTGGTCGGAAGCAACGCCTAATCTCCTGAGAGTGCGTACCTGCTATAGACATTAAACGCTCTCCTCGTCTTTCGTTGTTCTAGGCCTGGATTCTATCGAACGCCACCTCATTTCCGAGTGATGTCAAGCTTTGTGGCTACCGGTAAACCATTGGTTCGTCCAAGCTCGTCTGATATGCAATGTACGGCGCCACCCATATAACGAATGCTTCTGCCCGGGTATGCCAGTCATAGAACCCTCCCCTTAATCATCCTTTCCACCTTGTCGGGACCAATCATAGATTATCTTATAGCGGTTCATAAACACTTGGCCATGCGTGTGTTAATTAATTGCTAGAAGCCTCAGCGGCGGCTCTGTAACCTCGTATCAAGTTTTCAATATATGCCCACAACCGATGTACGAGGATAGCTAATGAGTGTATCGTTCATGTAAGATGAAGTATCTCATCCTAAGGTGGACAGCCCGCTTTACGTTCGTCTCACGATCATAGGGGATGACACAACGCCTACCTCCTGATCTCTGGGTATCCTGGGTATCACCCAGCTGACGTTTGAAATTTTAGCAGTGACAATGACTATGTTCTTACATAGTACCGTGGGGTCGGCTTTTGCATTACGTGCAAACTAAACCGGGTCGAAAGTGGTTCGAATAGAGATGGCATGATACTGGCTAGCCGGAAGTCCGATTATATTCCACAATGACCAGACCAGGGGTTCTCCTATTTTTGGAGGGGTTTGCCTGTGTAACAAAATAGCATTCAACTTCGTTGTCCCTAAGCAATTGCCAAGGTCTTGTCTGATCTAGAGGAGCATTTGGGATCGTCTAAATGCTGCCAAGGAAGCTAAGACTTGAGGCCCAACGTAAATCATGATGTTGACTACCGGTGCGAGCAATCCTTGTATAAGAACCGTGAGGATTGGTCGGTGGAACAAGCACAAAGTACCTAGTTGGAACCAGTTGGAAGAACGTCCTCCAAATGCTTGTTTGTAATCGCTTTGTCAGGGCTCTGCGAACAACTATGATCTTGTATCTCCGAAGCAGTTTTTTTCAAGCTAATATCCTGTACTATTGGTTCAAGTTAGTGGTAGGATATTGATTATGGGTAACGCGATCATCATGTGCGGGCATGCTTGGAACCGTGACATCATGTGTGATACCACCACGGGCAGCCATAATATGTTGGTAAAATAGGAATCCATGGTCTGGACAGTCGGCAGTACCTAGGACTGCTTATGCTGCGTTGAGCCGGACCGCATTCGGAGGAGCGCTTCCTTTCCAGAGTTGCACCAAGCCTGTAGCCGTTCAGCTGGCTGTATGGAGAGTTCGTTGGTCCTCATCGAGTGCCGTGTGTTCGAGCATCTACCCCAGTTAGTAGTCAACAGCTGGTTGGAAGACCTTATTAGCCACTTGAGTCACAATGTGCCTCCCACCGTACCTCCCTCACATCTTCTTTACCATCCCGCTCTCCACGATTCGCGTAACACATAGCATATTGCAACGCGCGAGGGTCGTATGCAGGTGGGACACGTGACTTTAATTATGAATTCGCGGCTTTTAAAAGACAGGTCCTGGGCCATTGAAATGCCACGGTTCTTGGAGCTTGAGTATAGCTGGCTTGCACTATTGCATGGTACTCCAAAGGATTGACATGCTGTGTTGCCCAAGTTCATTTGGCCAAGAGCAGGGCTGATGTGCCCTATGATATGCCATGATGACAGCAGTACCCGGCGTTAAAAAAAGACGCGAGTGGACAAGCGCCGAAAGGGACCGCGTCCACTATCCATGACGGGTATACAGGGGAATAACAAGCCTTGGGTGAGGTTGCATCCCGCAGGAATAGTTGTGCGCTATTCATGCAGATGCACGACATTGCAGCAGCGGACGGTTGGCGCCGTGGGCTACATAGAGTTGGGTAAGCGATCTCAGATGGACGAGACTATATTGAACCTGTATATGCGGATAACCTGCGTTGAGGTGCGTTGGAAGTAGTTTCATCGAGACAACGACGGGTAAAGCCAACGGTATACAGATTAGATGCAACCTGTCTGTTGAGAATAGTGGCGAAAGGTCGACCAAAAAGGTCGGATGCGGCCTCCCTTGGTCGCACCGAGGGTGATCGCTCGTGATTGCTTCTAGATAGTGGCCACAATGGAAGATTGAAGGTCTCTTGCAGTCTCTTGCAGTGGAGATCTTCAGGCACCCCGGAGAATTCGGGAAGGTTGGCGATAGGAGGGCGAAGAGGGCGCGGACAACACAGCAGACGAGATAGATAGACTCACCTGGAGCAAGATTCAAGATTCTAGATCAACACGGCGACCTGCCTGTTTCATTAAGATTTGGCGAGTGGCCGACGTAGCAACGGGCTGGAGAACGAAATCCGAAATCTGCAAATAATGTTCACGACCCTTGAGGAACCTTTGCGTGTGTGTAGCATGTAGTAACAGTTCATGATCAACGTCCCTTCGATTTGAATGCTCCAGTACGGCAGTACTTCAGTGACGCGTCAATAGAAGCTTCGACTGGTTCTTGGCTGATCACTGAATGGACCTTAACTGGTCCGTTGGACATTGATTGGGCCCATCCAATTTTGACTGCATGCCGCATGTGGTTTGACCCACGATGGGGTCGACTCCTCGGCACTGCATCTTGCATCTTCCTTCTCAGTTAGGCTCGGCACAACGGATACGTGGACCATGATTCGACGAGAGGATGCCTCGCTTGCGCTGATGTATTCAGCCATGCTATGCACGTATGTATAGAGCGCCATTCGTTTTGACGGGGGGTTAATTTGGGGGTGCTGTTTTTGTTATTGGATATACTCACATATCGATGGCCCGTTAATGGTCCATCCGCAGTGGCTCCGTGTAAATTTTCTGCTTTCTTTAAGAAGAGGTGCGTATACGTGTTCTGTATTTGAGATGACCGGCGTAGTAACCTACTAGAATTGGAAGAAATGAGTGTACGGAGTGTGGTCCGTGATGAAGTATTGTGTATGCAATATGTATGCAGTATGTAGTATATAGTATGTAGTGTGTAGCAGTATATAGCAACGTTGAAGACGGAGAATTAAAAGGGCTGGCTGGACTTGAACTCGAATATGAATATGAATACGAATATGAATGAATATGGAGAAATTGTTGGAGACATTATGATCGATGGAGTAATCGGTATTCGATTTGAAGCTGGTTCCTGCCTGCTGACGACTCCTAGGTAATTTGTATATATGGATGTACGTACCTATATGAACTTTGATATTGATGGAAAGAACGTTGATATTGTACCGTTGTATCGTTGTATCTGACACTGTCTCTTTCCTCTCATAATTGATGGGAGCAGCTGAGGGGAAATAGGGGGAAGAGCCAGTGCGAGACGCACGATGTGTTGTACCTGCCGCTCCAAATGCGTAAGGGACAACAATATCCATTCAACTTGAATCCCTAGAACATAGAGGAGGATAAGCGCCTCGCTTATTACATACGTACACCCAACTATGAGTGACGGAGGTATGTATGTACATGTCTACAAAGATATCGACGTATCACTGATGCTCGATATGTTGGTGACTGTGATCGCCAAGCTAACCATTTGTGCTTGTCTGGGGAAAGGGTGCATCAAACGATCAAACAGCACAGAGCCCTGTCGGCTGTCGGGGCTTAAGGCTGGCGTTGGCAATTGCTTAATGATGATGGTAAGGAGGGATGGTGGATGGGAGAAAGCAACCTCAGAAATGATGTCGTGCAAGGTTCTCACGTTTTTTTGTTAGTAATCCGAGTTTGTATCGTGGTTCGAATCGATATCCTTGGCAAAAATCTTGGCGCTGGTTGGTCTGTGCCTGACTGGTCGATTTGGCCTTATGGGTCCTTCTAACCGCATTAACTGCATTAGCACTTGCAAATTTAGGTCTAGCGTGGACTTGGCTTTCTCCCTTTCGTTGCTATTCCTGATAAATTCTAGTCCTGCTTTCTTAGGCAGTCCACGCGCAACACTACGCAACACCAGCCCTATTTCGGCTTAGGAATTTTATCATGCTCACGTGCGATGAGACGAATACGATGAAAGAAAGAACGGGAACATTGAAAATTGAAAATGGAATTGAAGGATGGAAGGAATGAGCATACAGTAAATTGAAAATAATGAAAGTACAAAAAGAGAAGTATATAAAAATTGGAGAAGCGAAAAAGTAAAATCAGGGAAAAAATAAGAAATAGGAAATAATAAAAACAGAGTTCGATGGAACCCCGCAATTCGGGTGAAGGATTAGCAGGCAAGGAAGGTAGGGAAGGCGATTATTCGAGAATGCGGTACACCATCTGCCAATCAGAACGATCGATTCCATCTTTTCTCGGTTCACCTCTCTACCGACCGATATCGTCAATCTCTAGCTTTTTTCTCTCTGGTCGGCTGGCTCACCAAGCTTGAAGGGTCCGTGTCATTGGTGTCGACATCAGCGTCTCTCACTACCTCATCCTTTGATGGGGATCTTTTTTAACCTTACCTTTTTTTGCTTTTGCGCCACCACCGTTAGACACCAATTGGTTGGCGCTCCCACTTGACGAGTTTAAAGTAAAACTTGACAACCGACAATCTTCATTATTGTTGTTGCCAACTTCATCAATATTTGGTCATTTACCGTATTTGCGCCTGCGATTTTATCTCTCGCTCCGCTTTCAGGGCTACCTATTTTTTCCCTTCTCCCTCCCTGGCTTAGCTTCATTAGGTAGCTTCACTCGTCCACATTAACCCTCCCTCTCCCTCTCTCTTTCAGATTACTCGCGCCGATCATCTTTGCGTCGCTAGATGCATCCATATCAGATAGCCCGCGCCATAGTCGATCATCCTCGAAACGCCGCGCAACAATAACGAATTACGCACACTACATGCCGCATAACCTACTCCGTAGCCTCTCGTCAACTACGTGCGTATACGTTACCTTAGTTACATAGACCCGCCGATCCAGAATACTTTCAGAATACATTACATACATCCATGATTAGACATACATACGTACATACGTACATACAAATCCACATTTGATCTCTTCCACCTCCCCCCCCTCATAAGCCCCTAGGGCTATCTTCATATCCGAATCGCCGACGACAAAACAAAACTTTGTGCGCCCCAGTACCAAATGCGAACAGGCTCAGACATCGCGGGTAGCTGCATAACCATCGAGCATCCCGCATATCATCCCAGCCAAACTCCTCAGTGCCTTATCCGCCGCCGCGTGACTCCATGAGCGAAGACCTGTCCCCCCGCGTTGCCCGGTCCGTTATAATTCTTGTTGGAAACAAATAACACCCCCCGCGATCTGTACGAACAGAGCGGATAGACCCGTCGAACGGGACCCAGCAAGCCTTGTCCCCGTTGCACAAGGAACGCCTCTTTGTAACGGGGAACGAGCCCATTGGCGTCCTCCCTTCTTCAACGCGCTGAATACGAGTTGCGCCGTGCTTGTGCAAGGCCTCTTGGGGGTACCGGCCCCCAGACACGGCTGTCGCACCGCGGCAGCGTACAGCGCCATAATACCTAAGCCCGCGTCTTACATACAATATCTCGAGCACCTAGCTATTCTCCAGCTTCGATATACACCTTCTTTGGCAACTTTATTGGCCTGCATACGCCACAAACTCATTGTTACTGGTCCACGATTCAAGCTAAGGGTCAGTGCTCAAAGTCGAAGCTAAGAGGCGGTGGGAAGTTTGTGCCAGTGTTTTGAAATAGAAAATATTGATTTTTATTTTTATTATTTTTTTGGAGAAAAAAAAAATAAGAATAAGATCCCCCTGGTTGACGGTGATACTCCCACGGCATTTGGAAAGATCAGCTACAGTCATCGTCCAAAGAGGTGTGGTTGCGCCAGACTCACCCACCCCAGAACTTGCATTGGCACACACATCCTTGAGCGTGGAGAGCTGAAAATAAGCTGTTTTATATATAACTAAGACAAGATGCCGGAAGACGTTGAGGCAAATGGGACAGAGGTCTCAGATGCTATGTCCGAGAATGAGAACGAGTACGACGATATGGAACAACCTATCAAGGACGAAGATATCAAACTGGCTGACCAAAACACTTCTCCTGAGCCTGGAACTGAGCAGTCAGGAGAAGTCAAGAAGAAGTACGATCCTAAAGATCCACATCGTCCAAGGAGAAAGAAAGCTAGACGTGCCTGTTATGCTTGCCAGAGGGCTCATTTAACATGCGGTGAGTCTCAGCCTTATACTTATGTGTTGAGATTTTCATCTAAGCACATCTATTTCAATAACCCCACAGCCAAGCTCCAGCTAGCTTATATGTTTCAGTGTGAATTGCGCTGAGACCCTAAACATTAAGCATAAGTAACTATACTGACAATTTGACAGGAGATGAACGTCCTTGCCAAAGATGTATCAAGCGTGGTCTTGCTGATGCTTGCCAAGATGGTGTACGGAAAAAGGCCAAATATCTTCACGATGCTCCTCCGGAAGCGCTCAGACCCGTTCTTGGGCCGACTTATAATCCAGCTGCTCACGCAAAATCAACCAATGGAAGACATCTTTCTAACGGGAATGCCGAAACTTCACCGTATTATTCGGAGGCTTCCAACTCTTCAACCTACTCTATATATGGTGGTAATCCTCAAGGCCAGATGGCATCTTTGCCAGAGAATATGACTTTCGGTGGACAGCAATCTCCGGTAACTCCTGGGTATCAGCCGTCGAGTACGTCTAGGGCAGCGCAAATAGGTTCCATGCATGTTCCTCAGGTGTCTAGTGAGATGAATAATAGCTTTTCTACGGCTTTATTCGATCCAAGCAACCCGGCAATTTTCAACTTCGACCTTGAAGGCCTTAACTTTGGAAGTCACTATGGCGCTCTCGAATTTGGAATGCTTGGCCATATGTCTTCCGGAGCTGCGGAAACACCACCTAGAGACGCCATAGCCCAACCTCCTGGGACGGATGTCAACTATGGACCCACGGCAGTATACCGAAATGGGGTCAACCAATATAACCAGGTATACGAAAACGGCATGGCTGAAAACTTCATGAATGTTGACCCGAGCAACGGCGGTGCATATCCAGGTAACTTGCAGCATGGTCTGCCTCACGCGTATGCCGTAGCGGCTGCTGGGCCCACGCCAAATAGCTTGGCTAGTCCCAGCACAGATAATACATCTAGTCCGCAACCTACAGGTTATTCCTTCGATAAATCACCAACGGCAAGCACATACACGCCTGCAAGCTCTCAACCAATCGTTCAACCTACGAGGCCGAAACCGAAGTCTTCGAACTCAACTAGCCGGTTTGGACCCCAATCTGTCCTAGGTAAACGACATCGCGATCCGTCTGCGATCTACGATACTGTCACGGAGCCTTATCCATACCTTACTGGGTTTCACAATTTGATCGCGTTCGTCCAGCGAAGATTTTCCGCCAACAAAACTCTACGCATCGCCAAATCACTTGCCAGTATCCGACCTTCGTTTATTTCCTGTACGCGGAACCTCAATAGGCAAGATCTTATTTTCATGGAAAAATGCTTGCAACGGACGCTATTCGAGTATGAAGACTTCATGGGGCACTGCTCAGCGCCAACCATTGTTTGCCGAAGGACAGGGGAGGTGGCGGCCGTCAACAAGGAATTTGTTGCGCTGACTGGGTGGACCAAGAACATTCTACTGGGTAAAGAGCCCAACATGAACGCCAATATTGGTCGATCGGGATCCGAGTTGAGTAGCCTCGGCAGCACAGGCAAGCCAGAATACGCCACCCCGCGATTAAGAACAGTCCAACCCGACCTAGGAAAAGCCTCGGAAGGCAAGACACAACCGGTTTTCATTGCCGAGTTCATGGACGACGACAGCGTTATTCAATTCTACGAGGATTTCGCTCAGTTGGCATTTAACGATAGCCGCGGCCACGTGACAAGGAAGTGCCGACTACTCAAATATCGAACAAAGGAAATGAGCGAATGCTTGAGCAGTGATGAGTCATCTCCCCACAAGGACCGAAGAGCCAACAATAGTATCCTGAGCAATAGAGTTGCTAGGATAGATGGGGAGCATGGGATATCTAAGCTGGAGAAGGACGGCAAGATTGACTGCACGTTCTGCTGGACTATTAAACGTGACGTTTTCGATATACCAATGTTGATTGTTATGAATGTGAGTTCTTTTCCAACACACTACACTCTTAATATTCCAAGAGTAGTTGCTAATAATATTTCAGTTCCTACCATGTTACTACCGCAACCAGGACCAATTGGCTGTATAGGGGTTATAGGGGGTTGCCGATTCAGTTGGATGCACGATATAGACGCATGCATGATTTTGGGTTCTTTTTATTCTCTTAGCACACACGGAGCCTATTGTCAGCATGGGCGGCGTTTTGGACGGGGCTCGCATTTTAGAGCTCCTCTCCCCTTACCGGGAGCTGGTCACATCATGCATGTATCTCACGGACTTATACAAGGTAGATAGACAAGGGATAGAGCATGGGCCTTAAAGTATAGGTTCTACGACCGAGTACCATGAATTTCATTTATTCTAAAAGATGCTGCCTTCGAATAACATTTGATTTGGTGTATTATTCTATAAGGTGAGCGCTCAACCACCAATGAGCAAAGTCAGAACGACTATAGAGCGATTGTATCGTGTTATGACGTCGCACGTGTCCCGCGGGCTTTCGGAAGTTTGCGCATTGGATGCCTCGGGCCGCCTCGGGTAACTTCGCTTACGTTACCCCTCCTAATCCCGACTTTACCCTTACCCACGCTCGAGACATCTTGCCTCGTACCGCTGCTCATGCTAGATACGATACATATATATGTATAGTTACATACATAGGTATTGTACCTATATCACCAAAGGCTGGTAAAAAAAAAACAAGCCAGACTTAACTCGAGTAGGTAATATGTAATCCTTAGATCTATCTTAACGTTAGATCACACCCTCCCTCCCTTCTGTTCTGTTCTGTTCTGTTTCCCCCGCTCCCAATCACTCCTCCCGCACAAGCCAGGAACCGTCGAATTCCCCGCCCGGCCCGTCCACGACGCCCTGGCGCGGGGTCCAGGCCGGGCGCGCGAGGCTCTGCCGCGCAACCTCGCAGTCGACGTTTATGTCGACGACGAGGGCGTCGAGCGACGGGTAGTCGCGCTCCTCGCGCACGAAGCCCAGGATCAGCAGGCGCATAGGCGCGTCGTAGAAGTCGGCCGCGAACTTGTGCAGCACGTGCACCTCCGCCGACCGCACCGAGTTCTTGTAGAACGGGTTGTACCCGATCGACATGACCATCGGGTAGATCTGCCACCGCGACGGCGGCTCGGGCTCGGACGAGGGAGACTCTGCCGCGGTGTCGTTGGAGGACGGGGGAAGAGGGGCGGGAGGCGCCGAGGCGGGCGCGCGCGGGTTACCCCTGTGCCGGCGGTGGTGTTGCGCGTGGTCCGGATGCGTGTCCGGGAGCGCGAGCGACGCGTACCCGAAGTACACGCCCGACTTCGCGGTCGCGATCCACGGCGCGGCCGCCTCGTCGACGGGCAGGTTCGCCGTCGGGATCCCGAGCTCCTTCGACCCGCGCCCGAAGCCGGATATCACGGTGCCTTCCATGCGCAGCGGGTACGGCGGCTCCGGGCCCGCGTCGCCGTAGAGGATTCGCGGGCGCTCTGCCTCCGCTGCCATTGAGGTTCTAAGGTTTTTGTATGGACGGACAGATTGTGGCGGGTTGGGTGTGGTTGGTTGGTTGGGATTGGGTGGCGCGAAGCTGGTGGTTGATCGGCTGGGGGATGGCGGGGTTAGAGTTTCTATGGAGAGGTTTGCTGATCGGTGCCTTTATTATTTCCGGAAAAAGGTTAGGAAGTCCACTGTAGGTCTATTAAGGGACAAGGGAGTCTGCTGTCTAGCTGGGTATTATATTGCGAGTCTATTAGAAAGAGCGAAAGTTATTAGAAGTTGAAGGGCAACGGAATGCTGAGTAGAAAGTCTGATGGCTACTCGTGGACGTCTATGGAATTGATGCGTAGCGGGGACTGCGATGTAGGCACTGCCATGTACCTCTAGGCACGTAATTGTAGATTAGATAATGAGTGATCCTTATCGATAAATGCTTCTGGAAAATGTCTCAGTAAAAACCTTGTTCCCAGGTACATGCCTACTTTCGTGTGTCTCATTGCATTACCCTTTTGAACAAGCGCCTTGATTCTTATTGGCCAGTATTTCGCAGCTTGTTCTACATAGACAGATAGGTTGTACACACTCAGTTCTCTTAACAGGATTAATTACAATAATTACAACCCGACTCGTGAATAAATACATTGCCCTTTATCAATATCATTATTGCGAAGGTAAACACTAACGTCCTACCCAGACAGTCCCTATAGAGAATAAATAGTCACTTGAAGTTTTCCAATATCATCGGGTCTGGTTCGTCAAAGTATAAAATAGCCACCAAATCCCACCTTGGCGCGATGGTGAATATTGAGTTTAATTGAGGTAGTCATGTTTCTATTTTTAGTGAGATAAGAAATAGGTAGGTAGGTACGGGTCGGTAATGCAAACCTAGTTTAAACTCTGGGATGAGAATATGCTCATGTGTATTATTGACTCGGTGCTATAACCACAGGATATGGCATCTGAGCATTAGAATGATATCTATAAATAACTACTAGTGACTCATCCCATCTCAAGTTTGCAGCCGTTATGAGTAAATAATCTTGACCCCTCTTAACTCAATTCGAGCTCAAACGGCAACATCTATCTTCTACCAGAAAAATAACTTTCTAAGCGCTGCGGTAATCTTGGTACAGATAACCAGCAATAGTCCTTCCGTATAGGTATCTTGTAGTAATATTTTCGTTGATGGTAGCTTCTTTGGGTACCTGGCTATGGAAGGTTATTTTATTTCGAGAACTATTCATAATCCCTCGTATCCGTCAGCCAGCTCTCCTCAAATACCCAACTATCTATATTAACATCCATATCGACCTATATTTCTTTAGGACGATGTTCAGCCATTGACCATGCTTATGGCGCCTTACATCGAACTTAAAACAGTCTTTTCATGCCCGGAAAATCCATAATTATCTAGGCACTTACCTAGTATGCTTCGAGTCGTCAACGTTAACGCCGGGTCTCTGGACTCAGGAGTCTGACTTGATCAGATGGACTTCAGCTACAAACTTAGGCGCCACGAAGGGGGCAATAATTTGGGTATAAATACCTGGCCGTAACCCGCCCTTCGTCAAAATTTCTTCTCTTCTTTCTATTTTCTATATAAAGCATTCATCCTCGCTGCTCATCTTGTCTAGCTTAACAGCTTCCCAAAAATCGTTCGAAATAACAGCATCTTGTCGATCACCTGCCAAACCCTACAATTCATAAACATAAAAAACACCAATTAAATTAACATAAATATGGCACGACACACAAAATATACGAAGCTCTCCTGCTACTACGAACAGAAAAAACAACAAACAACAACACACCACTGGCAAGATGGAGACATCGCCTTCCTTAAAGGGGTAGATGAATTCTCAATAGAAGAATACGACGCATTAATAGAAAGCGGATACCTACACACGAAAGCAACAAAGCACCCAGTTATCATTCTAGAGCACTCGAATGATTACAAATACTTCCTTATCACCACCGTCTCAGCTTATAGCTCTAGCTGGGAAAACAATTATCTTCCACCATGGAAGCAATTTAACCACAAGTGCAAGCGTCGTGAATTCTTCCGCGCATTTGCTGGTTCGGAGAAACCTTTCTACGACCAGCAACACCTCCAGCTCGCCGACGGAGGGCGTTTCCCAAAGCCGGAGACATCTTGGGTATACATCCCCGGAACGTTTGTTGTCCCCTCGTCGACACTTAAGGAGTTCGACAAGACCCCCAGACGACTGCGGATGACACAGGAGAGCCTGAAAGGTCTCCTTTACGACATGGCGAAATGTACACGCTTCGCTACGCGCTGGACGAACCCTGCTGTTGTTCGAATGCTTAAGCCCAAAGAGTCGAAGATGCAAAATTGTTGGCAAAACTACAACAGATGGGGCATTTACCAATAAAATTCAGACCCTATTCTACGCTACGACCAACACCATTGTTACTCTCTACAAACTCGAACTATAACAGCAAGAGAACCACTTACGATTGGATTGCCGCCACGTCGACCGACGCTACCTCATCCATTAATCCATTATCTAAGTGTCGACCTAAATTTAATTATACAACCTGATTAATACGACCTCTTTGCGTTGACGCTTCCGCAATCATCATGGTCACACGGCATAGCACACCAGCAGGAAAAGGGATACCGTTTCAGCCTATTATACGAAGCGAATAATACAACATCAATAACGACTATGATGAAGCTCACCACTAGGCTTCGTGGATTCGCAGTGTCGAACAGATGCGGGCCAATGGTCTGAAAAACGACCTAGATGCATCTAGACGGGAAGCCGCGGTACAAATGAAAGAATTGGCCGCTTCAAAGGATGAGACAAAGGCTGCTCGCAACCAAGTTGACACCTATCACGATACGAACCTAGCAGATAGGGGGAAAAAAACGACGGAATTATGCAAGAAGCTACAAGTTTCATCTACGTAGCACCTCTCCGTTTAACGGGCACGATTCGGATCATCTACTACTATCACTCGCCCACCCAATGGGGAACGGCAAGAAAGGCGCTCGATTACGCGACGCCCGAGGACGGTTTATCAAAGCAAACCCTCCAGGACGCTCCGATCAAGGATATACCGAGCCGGAGCTCGAACTACAATAGTTAAGCGGACCAGCGCCGGAGCACGAGGGCTTGTCACCAGCTCAGCCGACAGCCCGCCCAGACAGAGCGCCTCTTCCTGGTAACACTATGCACCAGCGTCCAGTCAAGGCCGCAGTGTCCTTTGGGCTAAGAACCTGGGACTCATTACGTCAGAAGGACACATAAAATAATAGGCACAAACAACGACAACAACGACAACAACGACACACGAAAAAAAAAAAAAAAAAAGACGTCAACCACTAGACTGGCCACGACCTTATTCAAATCAACATGACTTTCAAGCCACCCGGAAGAAGATCAGTACTTGGACCAAATCGATCGAAAATACGTTGCGGTATAGAGGAGGAACAGGGGAGGAACAGGGGAGGAACAGAGGAGGAAGAGATATGGGATATTCCAGAATATTTTACAGGTTTTGTCCTTGTGGGAGGTTTCCCTGTATTCAGCAAAATAGCTGGCAAATGCGTATTCAGATGGAATTTTGGTTGAAAACCAGAAGTGCGACTCTAGTTATAAACCACAGTTTATTCTACAGCGTACGGATAGGTACCTATGGTTTAGTTAATTATAACACCTAAAGTTTACCCCCTAATCTTTGCATTGACCTTAGTGTCTACCTGGTAGCCAAAATACCTATCCCAAGGTTCGTCTAGTTTGTATATTCACCTTGCCTTATAACATGTAGCAGGTCGAGCGGGTTATCTTACTTAGGTACCTGATTTCTAAGCTTGACATACTGATGGTGTTGACGTATTCGAATTTGATTTAACTGCCAAATTTCAAGTTAGGACCTTTATTTACGGATGACGGACATCTTATTTGAACACGCTTTTATATATTTACGCGAATAGTCGCAGATTACCCTTGAAGAGGCCGTCTCGGCTTAAATGGCTGAAAGGGGTTACTTAATGCCATTCAAGCTGAATGTGCTACCAAGTCGTGGCGCTAAGATGCCGATTCTATTCGAAAAAAGCTATAGTTTCTATCGATGACATAGCTTTATCCAAGATAAGAAGCTCAAATGCTCTTTGTCTACATGCGAGGAGAGCAAGGGTCCCTGATCCGGGCAGAGAGCGGGACATCTACATCATTTCCCCTCATTCCAAGATCCATACCCATGACAACCCGTAGCATCCGCCATCATACAAAGAGACTATATCGGACCGCCCTGGAGCTGTATAAATGATAATTGCGTTCTCCGCCCACGATGGCTTGTTACACCGTTCGTTGCACGGCATATTATGTCCCGAACATGCTTATCAGGTATTATAAAAGTCAACGGGGCCCTGGTTAGGTCGAAAAGTGGTGCTTGTTAGGTTAGACCTGTCTCGGTAACAACAATAGTCAACATGTATCTTGCCCTTCTTGTCGCCGTGGCATCTTTAATTGTCGATGCCATTGGCGTCAACATCGTCGATTTGTCCGACGCAAATTGGACGCTTCAGAATGGTGGCATGAATATATCGGTCCCTGGAAAAGTCCCGTCTCATGTGCACCTGGATCTATATGCGTCAAATGTGATAGACGACCCGTATTACGGACTTAACGATTTCGATTTGCGATGGATCGCCTTGTCAAATTGGACTTATACCTCTAAGCTTCTGGTACCATCGTCGGCGGAGGATACTAGCACGATTCTTCTCTTCAACGGACTCGATACTTTTGCTGATATCCGACTCTGCTCTCAGCCTGTGGCAAATACGAACAATCAATTCCGTCAATACTTTTTTAACGTCACCGATATTCTATCTGGCTGCGCGTCAAGCCCCCCAGAGCTCCGAGTTCATTTTGGCAGCGCCCCAAGAATTGCCGAACAGATTGCGAATGAACCTGGTCAGGAGACCTGGCCGTGGGGGATCGAAGGGTTGTTCGAATTCACTCACAGGCAATTTATTCGGAAGGAACAGTCGGACTTTGGTTGGGATTGGGGACCAGCATTTGCTCCAGCGGGAATTTGGCAGAAGGCATGGGCTCTTCAACTTGGCGGGGACGAGATCTATTCTCGCAATTCATTGTTGGACATATATCGTGAAGGCCAATTGAACAATCTTCCACCTGACCAGACTGCCAACTGGGTACTGAATGCCAGCGTCGACGTGATCGGTACCGTGCCGGAAGGCTCTGGTATGAATTTCAAGATTGTTGACCTTGACACTCAGGAAGAAGTGAGCAGCGGAGCTTTGTCTAACATTACGAACGATGGAGATGTTATTACTGGTTTGGCTGTCCTTGCCGCAGATGATTACAAGCTCTGGTGGCCAAATGGACTAGGATCGCAGGATCTTTACAACATTACGATTGAAATAGTGTCGGGACCAGGCAAGATTCTAACCTCGGTAACGAAGAGAACCGGATTTCGAACGATTGTTCTAAATATGGGTGCCATTTCAGAAGAAGAGCTGTCTAAGGGAATAGCTCCAGGGAACAACTGGCATTTTGAAATAAATGGCCAGCCATTCTACGCCAAAGGGAGCAACTTCATTCCGCCAGATGCCTTCTGGCCGCGGGTGACGCCTGATAGAATCCGTCAATTATTCAACTCCGCCGTTGCCGGGAATCAAAACATGCTTCGCGTCTGGGCAAGTGGTGCATACTCTCCCGATTTCATGTATGACATTGCGGATGAGTTGGGTATTCTGCTCTGGTCAGAATTCGAGTACAGCGATTCCCTGTATCCCGTCGATCCGGATTTCCTCGAGAATTGCCGTTTAGAGGCTGTCTACCAAGTCCGGCGTGTTAACCATCACCCGTCGCTAGCTCTCTGGGCTGGTGGAAACGAGCTTGAATCTGTCGAACTTGGAGCCCTTACACCAAATACACCTGAATATTATCGCTACCAGCAGGAGTATGAGACCTTGTTCTTACGTACACTTCTGCCAGCTGTTTATGGCAACAGCCATAGTATCTCGTACACCCCCAGTAGCACATCGAATGGGTACCTGTCGCTCGATTTCAACAACTCGATCCCAATGGCCGAGCGCTACAATAACGCTACGCCTGGAGAGATCTACGGTGATTCTGATCACTACAATTACCACGCGGACCAGGCATTCAACACGTCTAGCTATCCGGTGGGGCGGTTCGCAAACGAATTCGGCTTCCACAGCATGCCAAGCATCAACTCGTGGAAACAGGCCGTCTCGAAAGAAGATCTACACTTCAACAGTTCGACGATCGTTCTCCGAAACCACCACTACCCCGCCGGCGGGCTCAACACGTCGAACTTCGCCAACTCGAGCAAGGGCATGGGGGAGATGACCGTCGCGGCACAGCTGTACTATCCCGTGCCGGCGAAGACGGATCCCCTGGCCAACTTCTCGGCCTGGATCCACACGACGCAGATCTTCCAGGCCGATTACTATAAGAGCCAGATCCAGTTCTACCGCATCGGGTCCGGGAGGCCGGAGCACCAGCTCGGCAGCCTGTACTGGCAGCTCGAGGATATCTGGCAGGCGCCGACGTGGGCGGGGATTGAGTACGACGGCAGGTGGAAGGTGCTGCATAGCGTTGCCAAGGATATTTACCAAGATGTTATCATCGCGCCGTTGTGGAATCTTACGACTGGCATCTTGGAAGTGTATGCGGTAAGCGACCTATGGGATGAAGTGAAAGGCACGGCGAATCTTGGATGGGTTAGTTGGGACGGCACAGCAGCCAATATTGGTACGGAGGCAAAAGAGGTGAACTTTATTGTCGGAGGGTTGAATGCCACATTATTGGCAACACTGAATATTGGCGAGCTTAAATCGAACTCAACTCTCAACGCGAGAGACGTCGTGTTTGTGGCGAATCTAACGGCGTCGGGGACACCACCGAACTCTGAGGCGACTAAGACTTATACGCATAGCAATTGGTGGACACCCACTCCCCTGGCCTCCGCTGCGCTGGTAGACCCTGGACTCACCGTCGAACACGACAATAGCACCGAGGAATTTGTGATCAGGGCTGAAAAAGGGACGAGTATCTGGACTTGGGTGAGTTTGGAGGAGGACGACGCCGACGAGGTCATTGTCGCCTTTGAGGAGAATGGGTTCTTGTTGAGAAAGGGGGAGGAGAAGCGTATCAAGCATAACGTGATGAAGGATAGTGGGAAGAAAGTAGGATGGGAGAGTAGGGTCGGTGCAAGCAGTATTTGGGACAATACCTTGCCGTGAGGCATGTGTTAACTTTTAATATCTAACTCATTGTAGCTACATGTTTAGGTATCAACGTGAGTCCTTGTTCGGAGTTAAGCAGTTACTAAGCAGACACTTACCTACATATTCCCCTTTAACCCCACCAAATCCAGTTCTAGTCGGCAATTCATTGGTGATAACTTGCAAAGTCTCATGTATTCCAGTCATTCCGAAGCAATAGCAAGAAGATATGGATAGGATTGGACTGTTATGAAGTTCAAAAGACGACGGAGTTAGATACTAGCAGCTATTAAGCCCTTGCATCGGTCCGGTCTTAGTGTACAGAATATTAGTAGGGTTGTATTTATGGGTATTATGGGTCTAGCTAGTTCACCAACATCGAATCACACCGCTAACACTGTTCAAATCTATCTTCGTGTCATTTCGAAAATTAACTTAATGAGAAACAGTACAATTATCAAGCTTTTAGCTCTTCTAGTCTTCATATGGACCGTTATGCGCCGCAATGCTGCCCCTAAACCCGCTATCGAGCCCGAGCGCGTGGCTGCTGTCATGTTATCTTGGCATTCTCTTGAGGTAGTCTCCTTGAACAAGGTGCAAACACTTTGGGCTGGTTACGGCGATATTTACGAACTCATAGCTCGAGACCAAGATGAGACGAGAGCGGAATTATATCCACTGATACTGAAATATATTGCGCCTCCGCAGGCGCATCTGGATTCTATGGATGAAGGCCATTTGCGAAAACTCATGAGCTATGAGGTAGAACAGTATTTTTACAGCTCCGTGGCACCGCTTCTGGAAGATGAAACTCCTGTGGCTGATTGTGTCGCTACTACGCGCGAGGCAAGCGGGAAACCTGGTGCTGAGCTTCTCGGGGGTATCACTGCGACGAGTATGTAACCCCCCCTTTCCCGGGAATTTTAATCGAAGCTCCTTTCTTTACTACTCGTCCCTCCTAGAAGGGAAAAGAAAAGAGTTAAGAGTTTCACGGATAATATTACCATGAAACTCACGGCTCAGATCCACTGTTGATGCGTCAATATGCCTTGAACTTTTCGACACTAACTCATTACTGTAGTCATCTCTGACCTAAGACCCCTTTTCCCAATTGCCGGAGAAAAGCGATCAGAACTCAATGTGAAGCAGGTCTTTGCTGCATTGGATTGGCTATCTAGTTTTCATAGAACGACTCGGAAGTTGGTACCCGATACACTTGAAGAATTCCTCCTTCCGCCGCTCAAGGAGGCAGAGAGAAGAACCAGGGGCACTTCTCCTGGGAAGACGTTGTGGCTTAATGGAGGCTATACATATCTTGCCACTCGGCGAAAAGAGTACGCATCGCTTGCCGAAGGCGATTCGGAGTGGTCTAGTCTCCTCACTAAGCCGACTACTCCCGGAGGTCAATCGATCTCCGAGCTGGTAGCCAACTTTCTGACTCCGCGTGGCCGAGAGTATGAGACACTCATTCACGGAGACGTCAAATCCGAGAACTTGTTTACTACCGTCTCCGGTGACAAGGTTGCGTTTTACGATTTCCAATATGTCGGTCTCGGACTCGGTGCTTGTGACTTGGCTAAATTATTTACGTGTTCGGTGCCCCTAAGGTTACTCATGGACGGGGGCTACATCCCAAACGAGCTTCTGATGGGTGAGGGTGAGAAGGAACTCTTGAAGTACTACCACTCGAGACTGGTCAGTGACTTCAAAGACTCTCGAGGACGCACTCAAATATATGAGTGGGATGTCTTCGTTCGGCATTGGGAGACGGCGCTGGTGGACTGGCTGAGATTCCAGGCTTCTTGGGGGTTTTGGGGTAACACTAAATGGCTCAAAGCCAGGGTTCGTTCGATTTTGAGAGATCAGCAATGGAAAGACTGGCTTCAGGAGAACCAGAGATCAACTTGAATCTATCTAAGTTTCGTATTGCATATACCAAGAACGGTGGGTAGGAATATTAATTTACATGACCCTTCAAGATACCTCTTGGAGAATGGAAGCACAATAGTAAATCTATTGAATGCGGTGTATAGTCTAGTATTCGGTGTAAAATGCGAGGTTTCAAACAGGTAATCGCCTTTACCTAGGGTCGCTGGGTAAGTCTCGTGATTACCGAATTGGGGTCGGACCAGGTTTTCGTGAGGAGAGCTCGGCAATGCTACTCCCTAGGAACTACGTCTTGCTTCTCCAATCATCGTCGGATGAGAGCTGCCGATGTGGTTCAATGTTCCCCCCTCGGATCGTCGATATTGCAGCTTCGTGTGGGGTTATCTAAGATCAAGTAGCATCCATGAATCCATGTGGGAGTAGACGGCTACATACCAGGTAGGTACCGAATGAATTTCCCGGACGGATACCTTATGGAATCTGGTGTTACCCCGTTTGAACACCTAGGTGCCTTGACTTGAACCGTAAAATGCTACCGGTAGGCGAATTAACGATCTTGGGATAATCAACTGGGTCTGTAAACAGGCCAGCGTCGACTATTTCCAGTGCTATCATCGCTTCAAACTCATCAGGCACGCCTCGAAATCCCAATTGAGTCGTAGATGTTAATTATTGATATAAGAAAGAGAAATGTCTTTTCCGTACAAAAACGTGCTCCTAATCGGCGCCACGGCGGGCATCGGCCAGGCATTAGCCGAGCGCATGATCGAGAATGGCATCTTCGTCATTGGCGTCGGCCGCCGAAAGGAGAGGCTCGACGCATTCGTAGCCAAGCACGGCCCCGAAAAGGCGGCGGCATCGCAATTCGACATTACCGACTTCGACAAGATCGAGGCGTGGGTCCAACAGTGAGTGTACGCCCCTACAACCGTACAACCGAGGAAACGCCCAAAGAGCTTCCAAACTGACTGCCGCACTCAGAATCACCACCGCGTACCCCCTCATCGACGCCGTGATCCTCAACTCGGGTATCCAACGCACCCTCGACTTCACCAAGCCTACGGCCATCGACCTGCCCCGCACCATGCAGGAGCTGGGCACGAACTACACCTCTTACCTATACCTGATCACGTACCTACTCCCACACCTACAATCGCTGGCCCCCAAGCCGGCGGCCCTAGTCGGCGTGACATCGGGCCTAGCCCTCGTCCCGCTGCCGCGGTGCGGCAACTACTGCGCGACGAAGGCGGCGCTGCACTCGCTGCTCTGGTCGATCCGGGCGCAGCTCAGCTACGACGCGAAAAGCCAGCACATCGAGGTCATAGAGATCCTGCCGCCGGCCGTGCAGACGGAGCTGCACTCGCAGCAGAAGGAGCTGGTGGCTATCGGGGAGGGGAATATCGGGATTCCCCTTGAGCAGTTCTTGGACGAGGCGTGGGCGGGGCTGACGAGGGGGGATGAGGAGATTCCGGTGGGTATTGTGAAGGATAGGTTCGATGTGACGGAGGAGCCGCGGCGTGCGCAGTTTAGGAGGATTGTGGAGGCGTTTATGGGGAAGAAGAAGTGACTATCGCGTGGATCGAGATTATGAGGCTTGAGGAATACTAGTGTCGTGACTGAGAGGTGCTCCGAATAGACAAATGAAGAAGCTCTAGATCTAACGTGATACGTACTATAGCGAAGGGTTAAATCTCGAGATTTTTTAATAAATTGACCGCGGCTTGACTGAAGTGACTGTAAGTGTAAAATAACTGGAATCCATCATGATAGGTCGTTGCTTACCAGACAACGATATTGCCAAGAACCAGTGCACAAAACCCTTAGCGCATCTGCACGTAAACCCTTCCGAAAAAAGAGCAAGAAACACCAAGTCGAATAAAAGGGAATTCGTTCCTGTATTTAACGGTTGGTAGTACTGATCTGGTGAAAGAGTCCGACAGTGGGGACACGATCTACCCAAGACTCCTTACGTCGTATAAACCAGCCAATAGCGAGCCATATATCCAGAAAGTAAGTAGGCAAGGGCAGTCACATCGTCCCAATACCCAAAACCTACCTAGCCTTAGAGGGCGAAGCTTTTAGAGCCGCATGACGACCATCGTCGCGTCGGTTTTACAGCATCTGAATTGCTCTCGAACTTCCCTTCCCCTCCTTCTTCTCACTCTCTTTACCCCCATTATCGACGCATACGAAAGCCCAAGAACCAAACGCCAAGCTCACCCAAGGAAAAAGCAATTCGCGACCGCGAGAAAGAGCAGAAGCCTTAATCCTCTGGCTCTCTCTCTCTCTCCCCATCTCCAACTCCTCTCCTAAACCTACCTACCTGAGCATAACTAAGCCTTATACTCATCCCTCCCAAGCCTAACAATATCCCCCTGCTCCAGCACCCAAACCTTCCCCGGCGCCTTCCCCTCCGCCGCCAGCACAGCAGCCCGCACGGCCGCGCGCGCAATGACCTCGGACTCCTGGCCGAACGCGTCCTGCGCGGCCTGGCTGACCCTGCCGAGGGAGCGCACGAGCGTATTCATCAGCGGGCCCCCCGCGTGCTCGACCTCGCGCTTGCCCATGATCAAGCCCGGGCGCAGGATGATGGCCTGCTCGAAGCCGGCGGCCTGGATGGCGTCTTCGACGCCGATTTTCATCTTCGAGTAGGGGATGTAGGCGCTCAGGAGCCCGCGCGTGCCGGCGCTGGATACGAAGATGAAGGTCTTGACGCCGGCGGTGCGGGAGGCTTTTATGAGCTCGATGTTGACTGTGGATGATGGATGTGGTCAGTTTTATTTTATCTCGTTCTATTTATGTTGTGTTTTCTTGTTATGTTTCATGGCAATTGCGCGAGGGGTAGGTAGGTTGCGACGTACGGTCATGATCGATCTTCCATTGGTTCGCGAGGCCGCCGGCTTGAGCTCGCGTGGTTCCCAGAGCGGAGAATACTACGGACGGCGGTGGCGTGACGGAGAATAGGCTGGATGCCCACTTGGTTGTGTCGGGTTCGACGGTAGCGGTCAATTTAGGCGACTCTGCTGCGGGAGCTCGGCGAGAGATGGTGTAGACGGTCTTGAAGGCATCGAGACCGAGAAGTGTCGACAAGATGTGAGACCCGGTGAGGCCTGTGCTACCGATCACTGCAGCCGTGGACGCCATGTTTCAGAAGTAATATTCGTGTGATGCGGTACAGAAGAGATCGTGAATTGCACAAGTTGCGCGAGCTTGAGATGAGTTTTTATAAGAGGCAAGTACGGAACATTCAGGCAAACTAGGAAACGTATCTAGCTTCAAATTGCTTTCTCTAACCAAGCAGCCAAGGCAAATGTCGGGTCAATTATCATGCCGCAAATGACGTTATCAGTTATTAGTGAATTCTGACTGGGGACTTAAGGAATTCGGATATCGCCATGTCCGAATATCATACTCAAATAGAGCATATATATTTGTCTAGGAGTTAAACTATGACCGGCTAAAATCATGTCCGATGCGCCAAAGCCCTAGTGTAGCGGAGTTATATGCCGTTATGCTTTAATCCCCAAACGAACATAATCTTCGAAATCCACCCATCTTCAAAAACAAAAAGCAATTGAATGCCCGTAGTAAGTATGGATCCTAACTGTCTATATATCTTTCCCGACGTGGACTTCTGCTTCGAATTCTTTGATTTCCATCAGGAACTTCGAGGCGGACAGGGTCGGGCTTTAACTGCAGGGAGCCTGAATCCTCGCTACCGCTGTCAGTATCAACCGTATCAGCTAGGCTCTCTAGCTCCATCTCTTCGTCGGGAATACGCCTTGCATCGTGTCCACTGGGCAAGTCGACCGGTTTGTTCTCATGTTGGTTGATTTTCATATTCACGAACATGGCGTAAAGACCAAAGTCGTATGACAGTCGGAAACATCCGGCTGCGACAAATGCAATCCAAAAACGCTCACTCGCGGCCAGAAGGCCCGTGACCGTAGGCCCGGTCGTAGCGGCTAATGTCCTAACCGTAGCTGTGATGCCCATTACTGCTGTTCGCTCCTCCGGCTTGACTACTGCGGCGATGAATGCTGCCCGTGGCGCCTGGTCCATATTATTCAATCCTGCACGAACGAGCAGCAATCCCGCCGTCATCCAAAGGTAAGGAGGAAACGGGAAGAGCAAAACGGCAGTCGAGGATGGAGTATGCGTGAACACCATCGTGTTGATTAATCCAATCTTTCGGGCCAGGGGGCCGGCGAATGACGCTGAAATCGCTCCAAGAAAGTAACTGAACGAGGTAACATCGCCGAGAGTCGACTTTCGAGGGTGGAACTTTTCATTCATGTAGTAATTCGTCAAAGAATATGGCACCATACCATCAGCCAGCGAATCGACAGCCAGTAAGAACCATAGTTTATACATCACCGATCGAGTTGTTGGCGATATTTGAGCTAGTTGGTTTGAAAACCACTTGAGACTCCGAATGATCCAATTCTGAGGGTTTCGATCTGTGGCCGAATCCTCAGGAGGTGGTTCTGCAGGGCTCTCAGTGCCATCGTTGGTATTCCGTACGGTATCTTCCTGTGGGACTTGTGTATAAGTTTTCTTCGCCTGTGAGAGCTCACACGCATCGGACAACAGCAAAACCAGTCCAAGATTCACTACACCCATTATCGCGTATACCCAGAACAAGGTATGGTATGCATCGACATCTGACCATCCATCTTTATTCTGTAGGAAGTGAAGAATTCGTCCTGATAACTCGCTTCCTAAAGAAGATCCAAACAGGGCTATGGTGACATGCCACGATAGTACGTCCGCTCTTGTTGCCGGAGTGGTGAGTTGCGAAATCATTGACCTAAGGATTGTTAATGACATGTAACGCCGTGGGGAGGATATAACCAACTCCTCTATACTTCTGAAGGGACCAAAATCGCCGCCGGTGACACTAATAACACCGATCACTGCAGCGAGTAGCAAAATCCAGAAGTTTTCAAAAAGCGCAAATATTACGCCGCTTAGTATCATCATCAAAGAACCCCCAATCATGATTCTTCGTCTTCCAAGGCGATCTGCAACGAGCGTAAGAAGAGTTCCCAATATTACATCGCCCAGTAACGTAAATGTCATGAACAGGCCAATCTGATGATCGGATATCCCCAGGGAGGAGAAAAATATGCCTACAAAGTTTGTTAAAATCACAGAAACGGTACAGATGAAGCCATCGTCTACCCCAAGCTCATACCTAAGATAAGCGCGTTGGTTCCGTAGGCGAACATGCGACAAGTTCGCGCCAGAATAATGAGGTAGGCATCAAGGCCAGTCTCATGGATAGCAGCGAGTCCGAATTCATGGTAAAACCACTTCAGGGACTTTTGAAATTTCTCAAACATTTAGCTTAACCTTCTTTCCAGACAGGGTTCGGTTTGCTAATATATCCAATAAGCAATTAGTTTTTTTTTGTATTCTTCACAGGAGATAAAGTTAGGAAGAAGAAAGCCGGTGTGGCAATGGCCGGCTGGGCACGGAGTTCGCGGGGCAACGGTCGAGAGCCGACTTCGGCATTACGCGATTTGTCACTCTACCCCCGGTTCAAGTGACTACGGTACCGGAAAGTCGGAAGGATTCGGCAGGGTACCTATGTAGATATCTTATCTCTATGTCACAATCACATCAATTGGGACGTGTAATTTGAAGCGAGTGCCGTTGTTATTTACGCAAATTGTCTATTCTTATATTATATTATCCCACGCAGGCCCCCGACTTAAGGTCGAGTCCTGAACAAACTTTCCTGAGCTAGCCACGTACCAAAATCCTTGAGATCGGGATTCATCTTCTTTAAAGATGCAATATCCGCACCATATCCAACATTGCGAAACCATCTGAACATATATCCGAGCTCCTTGACCATCCAGTTGATAAAAGCCGCAATGAAATGAAACGTCGTTGGTAGTTCATCACCGGTCTTCTCCTTGAAGACAGCCGCAAATTGGTCGTAAGTGAGTTCGTCACCTGCCAGACTGATCTTCTTATTCTTATACTCCTCCGGTTTCAGGAAAGCCTGGGCGGCGAAAAACCCAATGTCGCTGGTGGCGATCAGCTGCAGTTTCTGGTTCTTCTCCAAAGTGATCTTCCAGCTCGTGGCGAAGACTTTGCCCATGAAGCCCGGCACGAGGTTCTCGAAAAAGGCGACGGGTCGAAGAACAGTCCATTGCATCTCTCCACCCTTTGTCTTCTCATAGAGGTACTGTTCGATGTTGTGCTTGCTGCTGAAGTGTGGGACATCCGTCGGGCTATCATCCGACTTGTCGCCGCCCCTGTCAACTGAAGAGTAGACCATATACTTGACGCCATTCTTGAGCGATGCATCAATCAGGGCCTTCCCTTGCACCTCCTCAGTTTTGTGGGTAGCACCACCGCCAATTGCCTGCTGTACACTGAAGACTCCCCAGATAGGTGCCTTGGTTAACTCCTTGGCTTTGGCGAAGATATCGTCGGGTGCATCCATATTTCCCGTCACGAGCTTGATCTTAGGGAATTTTCGTTGGAGTCGTTGAGCGGATGCCGATTGAGAATCTCTCGTGAGAGCTAGGATTTCGAAATCGGCATTCGCATTGTTTAGTGCGTTCACAACAGCGCCGCCCTGTTTTCCAGTGGCCCCGGTAATTAGGAGTGCGCGAGACATGATGATAGATGCTGAAAATCGCTGAAAGTTGCTGATAATTGCTGAATGGTTGCTGGATAGTACTGGATTATGATGTAAGATCGAAACTTGAAAAGATAGGTAGTTAAGTGATTATGATGAACAATGAATATCTTGTGAGATACAACAAAGAAAACAAAAACGAAAGAGGAGCAACATGATATTTATCGTAATTCATTAGAAGCGACATTCCGACCATTGCCAGGTCTCAACGTCAATATGATACGAACATAGCAATTCAATGGCCATGATGACCAATAATGGTCCATGTCGGCGCTCTTCCGTACCGGCAACCCCCTGCCCGGGGGCTACAGCGACCGACTAAACACACACCCCGCGTTTACACCCCGCGTTTTTCGGTGCTATGAAAATGACGTAACGTCGCTTCTTCTGACTAATCTTAGCGCCTTCGCCTTGGAAATATCAAGATCTCGGTGCCAACTGGGCCCAACTACATTTTTGAATCATACCTATTATCTTGCACAGCTCACATCTTACAAATGTCGTTCTTTTGATGATCAACCTTAATCTGACACTCGATGCTTCTACTTGGACCTAGAAAGCAATTTAAAGGCAATCGTTTTCCAATGATTTGTAATACTTGCGGAAAGCCGTAGTATGAACATAAGCGATATTGAGGTATTCGTCTAACACGATTTTGTTTTAAATGGAATATATTACCCCTATTCGTACAGGTAGGTACCTACGTACCTGACAAGCATGAGGTATCGTTGAAGGGAGCTTGGGTTGACACACGTCACGGAGCTTTAGAGCCGCATAGCAATCTTTTTCAAATCATCAGCACTGCTGTCATGTCACTAATTCTTGCTCTTAGAAAACTCGATACCCCATACTTTACATACCTACCTGGGAACGTGTGCTTCAAGCCTTACCTCCAAAACTTTGGCGTCGGCGTTAGATGATAGAACCGTCAAAATTTGGGATACAGAAACATGGTCCCTCCATCAAATTTTCACTGTTAAAATACAGCCATATCGATTGCACTCTCATGATTTAAAGCTTCTAGCCTCGGGACAAGGCTACTATGGTATCAAAATTTGGAATGTGGAAATACAATCTCTCCAACGAACACTTGAGACCCATGAGTAGCGTGTTTACTCAGTGATGTTTTCTCACAACTTGGAACTTTTAGCTTCAAGCACAGAAAGCCAGACCAGAATTTGGGATGTGGAAACGGACAAGCTGCAAGGATCGTTCGGAATCCCATATAAATCTAGCGAGTGCCTTCTCACATGATTCAATGTTGTTGGCCTTGGCGTTAAGCAAGGGTGCCGTCAAGATTTTAGCTGCGGCGGTGATATTAACGCCTTCCCAACAAACGCCGAATATAGCCTACTCGAAGATTTTGGGCGGAGCATGGGGTTCTGACTTTTATATTTGGGATGTATCGACTGGATGCCCCCAAATGAAGTTGTGTAGAGAAACTCAGGGGTTGACTCAATCGATGATATACTATAATGACCCGCAATTTTTGGCCGTGGTGTCTGATAATATCATTGAGACTTGGAGTATAGAGACTAGGGCCCTCAAACAAACAGGTAAATACAATGTTGTTTGATGATACCGGCTTATACCTGGATACAGAAATCGACCGCCTTGAAATAACTAATGGGACTTTAGATACGAGGAGAATCCTAGCTTCGACTCAAACCCCTGAATCAGGCCGTAACCAAGTAGAAAAAGGGCACGACAATGACCTTAGCTACGATCAATCCTGGATCACTTGCAAAGGGTATCCCTTTCATTGGCATACGACTACAGTCTCCACAAAACCGGTAACTGTACATCGGCGATAGCACAGGCCCTTTAAACCCGTGAGCGTTGAGGCTCCCACAGTGGTCTTCAGAGGCGTCTAACCAACTAGAAGTAAGCCTTTGTGGGTGCCAATGGAGCTTAGGGGTTGTTGGAAGTACAGTTGTTAATCGTGGTGGAGCTGTAGTCTTATGCCAACTAAAGGGATAACGTGGTACGGATTTCCTCTCGGTTATCGACCATACTCATTCACGATTGGCACCTAGGTATACCATTTCGTCCTTGGCCTCGATGCAGCCGTCGGTTGTGGTGATTGCCATTGGAGGCATGCGGAGGAGGGTTGTAACGATTGGGCTCTCGAGTTCAAGGCTATTCCCTGTATGTGAAATGGAAGACAATGAAGAGAAGCTAGGTTCGTGGCACTGGTATGCGTTCTTACCTATGCAGTACGCGGCTTGAAGAGTCACGTGAGATATGGCATGAGTGTTCCAACTTCCTGGGCCTCCTGGGCCTCCTCCTGGCTGGTAATGAACTGGGTCTGTCTGAAACTTAATTGTAATTGGTTACCTGGTATCGGCGTGGTGGCTGAACATGGCCCACAACAGCCCTAGGCGATCAACGCGATCAAGCTTGGCACAAGTCACAGCATGGATCATGTAAGGGACTTTTCGATGACTTCCTGAGTACGAACAATGTATCGTGAAATTACCTAGGAAGCTGTTGGCTAGACTCTAATGACGCCTTCGTCTTTAGTTGATAGTAGAGAGAGCAGCTGATATGTAAGCATAGGCGCGTACATGTGAGTTATACCTCGGATTTAATGGAGCATTTCTTGAATAGGCATGGCTTACAATTCCCAACTTTGGCATTGGTACTTATATCTAGATGCCCCATCTACACTAGCGAGTGTTCGCTTCGCGATCCTTGCCAGTTCACTTCCCCGTAAGCTCTAATGCACGGAAAACTGCCTTGGTCTCATACTAGCCTGTGTCAGGGCTGAGCTTTGAAGCCTGTTTTCAGAGTCTGGTCGAAATGCGGCTGTGACTGTGGGGTCAACTAGTATGGAGGTGATTATAGTCGAATCCTTCGTGATTAATAATTAGGTAGGAAACAAGATTAATCTGTACGGCGCATGGTAATTGGCTGGCGTCAAATGTTAACGATTTTAAAATCATCTGCATCGATCGTCTGTGCTGAGCCACTCTCCAACACACCAACTCGGCTTTTGACTGAGCCGTGTTCCACTGCAGCGTCCCTTATTGATTCAATGGGACCCTGGTATTACCGCTCGGCTCGTCTCGAAGCTAGACTAATTGGAGTGGAAAACCAAACAATACCCTACTTTTCACCATTCACCTAAAGGAAATCGAATTTACCCACATGGGGCAAGTCAAGCCAACGAGCTTGTCAGGTAAGGTAGGCGGGGATCATCCACGAAGCAACCATTTTAGTCGCAGAGAAAAGTACTGCCGAATGGATCCTCTCTGTTTCCCTAAGAATTCGGCCTCGGTGGGGACACCCTCTTCGACCCGAGAAATTTCCATGTCAGGGATGAAGCAAGGGGCCTACCTACATAATACCCTTCTTTTTGCTGACTGGGTTGATTCCGTCGCTCTAGACTCACCTGGAGTTTCGATACTTCTGATTTCTATTCGTTTTCGTATTTGAACGTACTATGTATCTTCTTCGTTGGATTCGTTCCCTTGTAGTACATACGGCACAGAAGACGTATTAGATAACATACCATTGGACAAGCAGAGACTACATATGTCACACCGCCCACGAACTTTTGGATCTTCTCTTGTTGTCCTAGAAAAGTTGCTTCTACATACTTAGCTGCATACCTAGATTTCGGTAGCAGTAGCAAACTACGATGGATATCACGATGGATGTCATCGCAAAAGTAGTCGAGGAGCGAGGACCCGTCCTAGCGTCCGTCGCTGCGATACTCGTCGCCGCATTCGTCGCGTCTCTACTGGTCGGAGATAGCGATAATGTGAATATACCGCTGGTAGGCAAAGAGGTCGGAAACGCCGAGAAGCGTAGGAAGGCATTCATCACCAACGGCTACGAATTCTACAAGAAAGGATACGATCTATTCAAATCCAAGGCGTTCATGTTAACCGGACTCGATGGTACGAATACAGCGGTTTTTTTCCGGCGGAGATAGCTCGGACGGACGAAGAAGATGCTAACATGTTACATAGGCGACCGTATCGTCTTGCCGCGGAATCTCATGGAGGAAGTCAGGCGGCTTCCGGATGATGTTATCGACATCAACAAGGCCTTCGACGTTGTACGAATTAGAGCGGTTCCCCATGATGGTTTTAGATGGGATGCACTAATGCAAAATATAGATGAACGAGCAAAAGCATCTCGGCATGGGAGACATTCGGCAGACTGAATTTCTCATTCACGTTATCCGCGGCGACTTGACCCGTAGCTTGGGTAAGACACTTTCCCACAATCTGTTTGTTTTAGGTCGATTTGGAAATGTAACTAAGAGGTCCTAAAAGTGCGCATCAACCCGCGCCTCTCGGAGGAGACTGCTCGCACAATCCGCGAGAACCTGCCGGAGTCTGCCGACGAGTGGACGCCAGTAGTAGCATACCAGACGATGCTGACCATAGTGGCTACCATCTCGGGGGCTATCTTCATCGGACCGGAGCTATGTCGATCGGAGGACTACCTGAAGGCTAGCATTGGGTACACCCTGGACTTCATCAACGCCGTGACCAAGCTAAAGCAGTGGAGCCGGCGGTGGCGCTGGCTCGGCCGATACTTCACCCCCGAAGTCGACCAGCTGTTCACCGATCGCAAGAAGGCGCACACCTTCCTCCGACCCGTCATTGAGAAGCGGCGCGCGGCCATGGCTGCCGGCCAGGAGTTGCCTGATGACACCCTGCAATGGATGTTGAATAAGGTTGACGAGTTCGGTCTATCCGACGACAACCTCGCCGAGACGCAGTTGAACTTGAGCATGGCTGCTATTCACACCACGACGTTGACGGTTACCATGATGTAAGCTACTTCATTTCCTTCCCCTCCAAACCCCTCCCTAACTTAGTGATACCTATATTAACCCTATCGTGATAGCCTTTACGACCTTGTGGTTAGACCCGACGTCATCGAGGAAATACGGAAAGAAATCAGGACCGTCCTCGCGGCCAACAACGGCGTCATGACGAGCCACGCGCTTTTCGAGATGAAGTTCCTAGACAGCGTCATGAAGGAGTCGCAGCGCATGAACCCGGGAAGCATGATCCGATTCCAGCGCTACGTCGCCAAGCCCGTGACCCTAAGCGACGGCACTCACCTACCGGCGGGCTACATGATCGAGAGTCCGCATGCCCTTACCGTGCATGACCCCGAAGTGTACCGGAACCCAGAGGTAAGAATCCTCTTTAACTACCTATCTACCTAAGAATCGTGCAGGTTCAATAACTAACACCGAACAGGTATTCGACCCCGCCCGATTCCTCAACCTACGCAACGGCACGGCGGAGGACCTGCTAGGATATAAGAACAAGGAGCAGCACCAGTTCGTGACGGTGACCAAGGACTTCATGCACTTCGGATACGGGCGGCACTCGTGCCCGGGCAGATTCTTCGCCGCCAACGAGATCAAGCTGATCCTGGCGCGCCTCCTGCTCGACTACGACATGAAGATGCCCGACGGCCTGACCGAGCGCTACGCTAACTTGAAGATGGGTACCGACGCTTTCCCCGACCCGACGAAGGAGATACTGTTTAAGAGGGTGAAGACGACCTCGTAAAGAAAGTGGGTCGGGGTAGGGAGTTTATTGTGTCAGATGTGTTGTACATTCACCTTATTACATACTAGGTACTGTTTATAGATAGCGAAACCTTTTGTATATGAAAGATAGACGATAGATATCTCGTGATATTAAACCCATAACCCCCAATCCGATTTTAGACGCTCGCTTGATTAGGACCACATACACGTTCCTACGTATAGAGAAATCCGCCCACAATCTAAACAGATGATAACCAACGACAGGCACGAAAAATATATAACCTCGCCGCACCCCCCCATTCAAGGCTTCCACCTCCAACCGGGGTGTTTCCACTCCAAGCTCTCAATCTGCTCGCGCGTCAAGCCCTCCAGCTCCTTGCCCACATCGAGCTTCTCGCGCCTCTTATTATCCGCCTTCATCCAGAACAGCGTCGCCGTCGCAATAATCAGCAACATGCTCGACGCCGCCAAATTCAACCCATTACCAATCGGATAATCGGGGCCGTCCCAAGACAAATAACTCCAGGTCGCGATGAGGCCGCCGATATTCCCCAACATCATGTTCGTGGCCAGACTCATGCTGCGCGCCGAGTCGCTGATGACCTGGGCCGAGACCTGCGCGTTGGCCAGGGGCCCCGCGGCGAAGGTGCTGATGGCCGTGAAGAAGGTCGCCGCGTACCGCACCTTGGGGTCCTTGGACGCCAGGAACATGATGTAGCCCATGATGGTGAGGGGCGCGGTCGCGATGAGGAAGATCTGGCGCCGGTCGGTGCGCCAGCTGAGCAGCGGGATGGCGACCTCGAAGGCGGCGCCGACGACGTAGGGCGGCACCGTGTACAGCTGCTTCTGCACCGTCGTGTAGCTGGGGTAGATGCTGGCGACGATGGTGGGCGCGAAGACGGACAGGCCTTGCACGGTGATGCTGGGGATTCGGGTTAGTGCTTGTGGCTCAAGAAGGGGTGGATGGTACTCGACATAAACACTCGTTATAATCGAAAGAGTTCTTAAAAGTCAAGGGGGTTACATACTTGTTGAACAAGAAGATGAAGGCCGTCGCTATTACGACAGGGTTCCAGAATCCTAACCAGACCTTATTACGGTCCGTCTTATCGAGCACCTTGGTCTGCCCTAGCATTTCCGATTTAACACGGGCGATGGCCAAGGTCTTTTCTGCCTCCGAGAGCCAGCGTGCTGTTTCGGGGCGATCGGTTAGCGTGACGAAGGCGATTAGGGCTAATCCCATTGTAATAATTCCTTCGACGAGGAAAATCATGCGCCAACTTGTGACGCTGCCGATGTTAGATAGACTGAGGATGCTATAAGATTATGAGTTAGTTGTGATTGGTTATAAACGTCGACAAAATTCCAAATCTCGTTTATGATCTCATCTCTTCCTCATAATTGCGAGAGAAGTACGTTTGCTTTCAGTTGTCCTTCGAAAGAATTGACTAATAAACCAAAAGAAAAAAAAATCACTTACGCCGAAGCGAGCAGCCCTCCAAATGCGCCAGCTAGCGGAGCCATAACGATGAACAGCGAAATCCGGAAGACCAATTCGGAACGGCGATACCATCGCGAAAGGTAATACGAGATGCCAGGCATCATTCCAGCCTCGAAGGTACCAAGGAGGAAGCGGACGCCGCAAGCCGACGATAAATTGCGAACGAACGCCATCCCCATAGAACAGACGCCAAAGCCGAAACATAGGAATGGGATGAACCAGCCCGGACCGATCGCCTTGCAAGCTAAATTGGACGGAATCTCGAAGACGATATAAGCGATAAAGAAGATAGAAAGAAGCATATTATAGTCGTTTCCCGACATGCCTAGATCTTCTTCTAGTCCGGCTAATCTCGCGTTGCCTTGAGCTAGTTAGAGTGAGTGGATTGGGAGATCCGGGGGCGGCGGCGTACCGATATTCGCGCGGTCGATAAAGCAAAAGAGATATAAGAATGAGACTGTAGGCACGACCATTAGGTCTATCTTATTCCGAAGCTTTCTCTCGGCTAGTCTGTCAAATTGGACGATGGACTCGCCAAGGCTGTGATGAGGTTTAGTGTATGCACATTTTATATCTAGTGAGCTTTATCATTCACCTGTCCGTCGCCGCGATGCCTTCCTCAGCAGCAAGGTGAGCATCTTTTTCGTCGCGTCGCTCATAAGTTGCAGACATTGGCCGAGCCTCGTCGGAAGAGTGTTTTATGTCGTCTGTCGCCGTCATGTTGACCTATGTTTCCATCTACTAGAAATAAGAGGCGTACGCGTGAAAGTAGATCCTTCAAGAAGTGAAAACGCCACTAGAATACTAGGGGCCAAGGCTCAAGGGACGAGAGGACGTTAAAAATTGCGTTGGCGGGTAGCTGCAGGGTTATTTATCTAAAGCTTAACTCGGCGACGGCGACATATATTTTATATGAATTATGCATGGAGATCCTAGGTTCCGTACGTAGGGCGACTTTAAGGGATGGGTCCGACATGCATAATCGGTAGCAATCAACACAAGGCCGCATCTTGTTTAACCCCAGAAGCAAAATGATAGGACGCGTAATTACTTCTGCAGTTGTCTTTTGTAAGTAATTACATAAGGACGTGCTGACAGGGAGCCACGGATAGCGCAACTAGTACGCGGGGAAAGGTGGCAGCCGGAGCTATCGCGGGCTAAGGTAGGAGATCATTTGGAGGTGAGATGCCCGTCACCGTCGAATCAGTGGAGGTCGTTGGAGGTAATCTTGCGGAGTAACACAGCAGCTCAGCATTGGTGCGGGTTGGTGTACGGTACGCTACAGAGCCTTGACAGCGGCCAGGGATACATCGTGCAGTCTAGCGTCAAGTAGTCGATGCAGGGTTGAGTAATACCGGAACGCTTAAGCGTAGCATTGGACCAGGTTACTTCGTGGGTAGCTATCCCGTATGCCGTTGATGAGAGGTCTATGTGCTGTGTGTCAAACAGTCCAGACCGACGAGGTAGGTATGTACTACGTTAGTAGTTATTCCGAACGTGAGGGACGAAGACAAATATCACACGTAAATAGCTACCTCCTACATAATCAGCAAAAGAGAAGCATTCGATACAACCTTCTCATAAAAATTGATTGCGAGATCTCATTTCTTGCATTTGAGGTCCCTTTAGCCCAACGGCCCGCAGATGCCAAGCTTCAAATCTCAGGGGTCTCTGATTTAGGTCTGATTCCCCACAATCCACTAACGATTAGTGTTTAATAGTGATGCCATCTCGAACTTCTAGAAACAGAACAATATCTTGGTTTGTTCGAAGGAGGTCATGATCATTTAACCCCCTAGTCTCCTGCGGGAAATATGCATTCGGACAACAAGATCTAACCGCTCGGTACATGGTCATCGGCGGGGACACTTTTCTCCCTCCCTTGACAGCGTGGGATTTGCCGTAGCTGTGCATATCCGCATAACCGGAGCTAGCCCTGTTTATCGGGGGCAGGCAGCTTAAGTTCAACCATGTTCGTATCCCTTTCTTTAACAGTCACTTTTATTTAGATCGATTTACGTCGCTCCCACGTGCTTTTTTCTTGGGCAAGTAAATAAGTCCAGACTCAACCAAACACCCTCAAACCGGGAATCCTTCCGAAACTGAAGTCGGACCTAATTCTGACTGGATGGTGGGGAAATAATTCCCCCTGTTTGCCCAAATTCGACACCGGTCGTAGAAATACTCCCGTAGCTTGATATCTATGCTGAAAACTTGTTCATATTTTAATCGTATTATCAGGCCATGAACATGATCTCTGGGTTTGAAATAGATGTAATGTCAGTGAGTCCGAGACAAGGTGAAGTGGCGAGTCCGCAATGGTCCGTAATACCGCCGGTGTCATTATGGCCTTTCCACGACATTTCCCTCAACTCCTTTTGGACTGTTAGGCGAAATGACTGCGATACGAGCATCATCCGTCGGATATCATAAACGCCCCTATAACGCTGATTTCAAAATCATGAGTACCCCCATACTCAGCACTCCAACACCACTTCCAGGAACGCAATTCGAATCCGTGGACAGTGGTACGCTCAACCGATGACACTATCCTCAATCATGCGACTCCAGTACTATAGCAGAAATCATTAAGTGCCATAACGGGCCCAAGGCCACTCATCGGATATGCCATCGCCGCATGCGCACGCGGGTCTGGCTCTGCGTCCGCGTCCGCGTCCGCGTGTCCCATCATATCCACGCCTTCCGCCTCACCAGCTCTCTGTCTTGTTTTCTCCTTTGCCCCCTTTGCCCCCTTCGCCTTCGCCTTCTCCTTCTCCTTCTCTTTTTCCTTTTCCTTCTCCTTATCCTCCTCCTTCTCCCACTCCAAGACCTCAATACTCGGATACCTCCTCATCCAATGCACAATCCACTGCTTGCCCAGTCTCCTATCCGCCGTCTGCCTAAGGACCCGCTCCGCCAACCGAAAAAGCTCATTCTTCGACGGCGGCACGCCCAAAGCGCACTGCGCCCTCGCCCAATCCGCCAACAAGCTCTCCTGCCGTAATGTCAGCCGCGAGAGCTCGCCCCGCAGGTCCCTAGGCGCCCTGCCGCGCGTGCGCGAGTTGAGCTGGCTGGGGGGCACCCCGAACTTCCTCGCCGCGTCGCCGACCTTGTCGCCGCCGACCCGCACGGCCTCGACCGCGCGAGCCATGTCCTGCTCCGTCCACTGGTACCGCGTGCGCTGCCGGTTGTCGTCGTCGGACTTGCGCGGCGTGGGGCGCGGCCTTCGCTCGCCCATCCGGTCCGCGAGCGTCGTCTTCGGCACCCGGAACCGGATCGACGCTTGTCGCAGCGACATGCCTTCGACTGTGATGGCGTGCGCAGCCTGCTCCATGTCCTCCTCCGTGTACACGCGGTACTTGGAGCCGCTGCGCGCGGTGGTGGTGGTGGTGGTGGTGGCTGGGGGTGGGTGTGCCGGCGGGATGAACAGCGGCATTTGCATGCCTGAGGGCTCTGGTAATTCCATGGTGGGTAAGGTGTTTCTTAGCTCAGTAGCAAGTATCTAGGCGGGTAAGTATTGTAACCCCCTTTTGGTCTTGTAAGCTTGCGAGATCAACGTTATGGTGGATGTTGTGAAGTGTCCCAATTTTAGGATTCTGTTTGTCAGGTGTAAATTAAAGATGCGGGGATCATTTTGCCCATTTTGTTGCCTGGGAGAAGTCCGGACACGTGCATTCCGCAGGTACCTAAGTACTTCAAACCCCTAAATTAAGTTATTCTTTTGCTTGTGACAAGAGCAAACACATAGATTGAAAACTGCAGCATTTGTTAAGTCTTTCATCATATTATTCATTCACTGCTATACACCTTTATGCTTAATGGATGACGGGACATTAATTCCGATTAATATCAACACCGTCCGCTAAACCTTTTACAACGCCCTTCCCTAGGACTTCTCCTAACTCCCATAGGGGAATAACAAGCCACCCAGAGTTCTCTAAGTTTGTCGGCCTATTTGATGTAGGGCAAAATCTCTCGTCGCAGTCGAACCAGACTGTGGATACTTCCCTCTGCTATCATCGGCTTTCGACAGACTAAGTGTTCAGTATGTTCAACGATCCGACTAGCAATTCATGACACGCCTGCCGCTTTGCCCAGGCTACCAGATCCTCTGCTGCTGAAAATGCTCATAAGACCAAAGCCGACATAAAACAACATTAGCGGGTACGCCACCAGAGCCCTCATCTGCATCATCCGTCCCACAGCGCAGAACATGCCGCTCGCGCTTGTTGTGCACCACACGATAGCCGCACTTGTCAAGATATAGCCGAGCGGTCCATCCATTGGCACAACAATGCCAACCAAACTCGTCATGACTAGTGGAAGTAGACAATATCCAAGAACGCTCGCGCTCCTTGCGAATGTTAGGTTGTTGCTCGAATGTACCTTGTTATCATCTCTGCCGCCCGCGCTGGGATCGCCCGGATAGCCTGGGGTAGCTGAGTATGCCGGTACCGCAGACGAAGTAGAACTAGCGTCATCGGGAGACATGAGGGATAGAATTGTGTGTAGCGCGACTGATCCCATCAGCGCTAGTCCGTAAATATATCCAAAATGCACCTTGCCGCTGAAGAGTAAAAACGTGCCGAATAGAAGGAAGAAGAGGATAGGGCCGCCGAGGTCTGAATCGTCCATGATGTGTTGATCTATACGTCCGAAGGGGTTGAGGACTGCTAAGGTCTAGATGATGTTTAGCATTGCTGTTAGAGAGCTGGAAAAAAAAAGCTAGCTAGCAAGAAAGCTCACCTTCATCTGTATGTGATCAAAGTTGACACCTAGCTCTTCTAGTAAAGGCGGCTCTCCATCGTATCCTTCCGTCGAGAAGGCAGCTAGCCAACCTGTTCGTAAGCCGCCCTGCTCACCCATCCTTCCGCTCACGCCCGGCGCGGCACCGAAACCGCCATATCCACTAGGTCCAGGTGTAGGGGCGCCGTATCCATATGATTGCGCCGCGGTTGCTTGGCCCGGAACGCCTGGCGAATATGAAGAAGGGTAAAACTGAAGATTTTGCGCTGCTGCTGCACCACCGACAAACTGGTTTGGAGGAGGCGCGCCGTAGTATTGCGACATGTTTGGTGGGCCAGGAGTCGAAGCACTTCTCACCTTGCACGACAGGGATCGTGTAGGAAAATAGAAGGAAAAAAGATGGTGTGAAATAATTTAGTTCTCTTTTTTGTGTTATGTAGAAAACATAAAGACTCCGGAAGCGAATGTAGTAGTTGACCAGTTGCGTCGTGTATGGCGCGAGAGAAGTTGTAGTAGACAAGATTTGTTTTGCAGGTAACAAGTAATTTAGGTTAGAGAAACCGCCAAAATGAATCTGTCTTCACAAGGTCAATACGTAACCTTCTTTTGCTTGCAGCTTCCCCTGTATTGTGTGGCTGGTGACGTGGCTACCGTTACATCCATCCATGGATAGAGTTGTGGCGGTGGCTTAAAATTCGACTTGAAAGACCCACTTCCGACTTAGGTCCAACCCCGCCGCCTTTACAATGCCGGAATGCCGGAGCACCAGTTCCGATATGGCCTTCTAATCGAACCGTTATCGCGACAATTTTCTAGTTGTGACGACTTCCTTTTCTCTCAACACACTACGCAAGAGAACCCCTCCTCGCCTTTAGTTCCCAGTCCTGATATACTGCTCTACGCCTTCATTGAGCGTGCAGCTTTCTGTGTCACGGCTTTGTTTCACTACATAACAAAGATGGTATGTCGGCAAACAAGATTTTCCTGCAGCCGAGTGAATCAGTCGATGCGCCAAAGTCACTCCGGCTAACCATTTACCTAGGCGCACCGCATCATAACCCAGATCGTCCTGGTGGGCAGCCGAGTTCTCGGCCGTGCCTTCGCTGAAGCCTACAAGCAAGCACAAGCTTCCTCCAATTACGCTCGCGCGCAAGCGAAAATCAATCCGAATGCGCCGTCAGCTCGAGCGAGCCTCTCCAGTGGTATGACCTTAGATGAGGCCTGCAGGATCCTGAACGTCAAACCGCCTCAGGGAGGCAAAGCAGATATGGAGGAGGTCATGTCTCGGTTCAAGAAACTTTTCGACCAGAACGATCCGGAGAAGGGTGGCAGTTTCTACCTACAGAGCAAAATCCTAAGGGCGAGGGAACGAATAGAAGCCGAGGTTAGACCTGCTATGGAGAAGGCCGCGCAGGAGGCGGAAATAAAAGAAGGATTCAAGCCGAAGGTGTACAAGGACCGATAGCGACTCCGATTCTCGCCAAATGAAATAATCAAAATCAAGCATGGGATGAGTGTTATCGGAGACACTGTTCACCCACTATACCCAAGAACATTAGGGGAAAAGCATCTTCACTCGAATGGCATGGCCTGGCGTTATTGAGGAGTTTCGATGCATTTATGGGCCCGTTAGTCCCCAGTCAGGTTAGGAAGAGACGGGGCTGCTTATACTTCTGTAATCATTGTATACTACCAGGCAAAAAGGGGCGAGGATATCAGCATTTCGTCGCGAACTGATCAGGAGCTTGCTAGGTTCGGTTATCGGCCAGGACAAAAATACATCCATTTTATATCGATCTGACTCTCGGAAGTTAACTGTCAGGAAGAATCACAGCGAATGCATCTGAACGATTACATGTGCGGAACTCTATCATAGAGGAGTCATGTTTACCTATCTATCCAACTAGGGCATTGGTCAGCCAACACTTGGCCCGAATATGTATCCTTGATCATCAACGTGTTCTACCATATGGTCATCAATTAAAGGTAGTCTAGGTTTGAGTGTTCTAAGGCTCTGGAAGGACAGCTAATGTGAACTTTTCAGCTAATACGTTGAAGTTCCCGGCCCCAAAACAATTTCAGATGCGTTGGGGGCTATTGTTTTATCTTTAGCGGTTCAATGAACGAACAGCAAGAATATTCCAATGCCTAATTTTAGTCACCAATTAGAGTATCCGACTAGGAAGAGGCTGTGAATTCTGTGCGACATCTCAATGACGCCTCCTGCGATGGCGGTCCGCGATTGGCCCGAACATAACAAAGTCCTAGGCACAACACTGCTCTAGTGACTTCTCTATGCAGGTTTCTGTCAGATTGTGCGACGGAAAGGCGGGAAATAACTCTACCATTATTGGTGAGCCCCTTGAGGTAGTTACGCAAAGCTCTAGGCATATTCTCGATCTTCTTAACTAGCCTAAGCAGTCCGCCTTGTAATCGAAGAGATACAGAAGATACCTATAATTTGTGTGACAACCCGGTTCGCATATGTAAGTAGCTTGTATGAGATCTATCCAGGTCCTTCTATCGCTCCGCAACTCTTACATCACTCGACTGAATATAGTGTAAGACTTGACGCTATGGATCCGAGACACTTATATCGATCTGTATCTACAGTATCGACGGCCACTGTCTGGACCCAAAGGACACTTTCAGGGATGGGACTAACAACTTCGAATAATACTCTAGCTAATACGGAGGATGATGTCGAAAATATCGATTTACAACCTTTGTCGACTCCTGAACAGGAGTTGGATGTGAACCCAACTGACGTTCCACAAAATACAGCAACTCAGGTTCAAGAAGGCGAGGATAATCGAGGTAGTGGCCCTGACAACAGGGACACAATATCAAATTCTAAATCTTCAACGGCCAAGAGCATGAGACTAACAAATATCTGGTGGCTGGAGATTGTTTCATGCTTACTCGTGGTTGCGATGATCGCTGCACTTGTGGGCACGATTCAACCTTACCAGGGTCAGCCGCTATCCCGATGGCCTTATTCCCTCCCCATCAATACCATCGTTTCCTTCTACTCCGAGGTGATGAGGGCGGCAATGGTCCTAGTTCTTGGTGATTGTAAGAGGTCTTCCAGCTTTCATATAATTACTGAAATATTAATCACTAACAGTTATCCCTAACTAGGCCTGAGTCAGTTGAAGTGGAGTTGGTTTACATCTCCACGTCCTCTACATCACTTAGAACATTATGATAACGCGTCCCGTGGCCCATGGGGATCTCTAGGGTTCTTATGGGCTATACGTCTAAGGTAGGCTTTAGACTCGACGCAATTGTTGCTAAATGGTAACTAGTAGTTATCTAATAGGGAGCTCTTAGGGCGATATTACCATCGATAGGTGGAATCATGATGGTTCTTTCAGTACTATTAGTTCCCTTCACGTCTGTTTAAGCCCCCTTCCCCTTCTCTCATAATATACTAATCGGTTATATAGGCAGCAGATTGTCCAGTTTTATTCATGTACTATCCTAGATGCGACGCTTAGTGCGTCTATTCCGAAAACGAATTTCGCCTCTGCCGGATATAACGGAGCTGCAGTTAGTATAGTCCCCAGTGCACAAGCTGTGATAAACAGCGGGGTGTACGACAGCGAAATTAAACAAGTGCCATTCACATGCCCGACTGGAAATTGTACTTTTGCTCGGGTATATCGCTCAATGGGGTGGTGTAGCCACTGCGAAGATGTTTCCGATCAGATAGAAGTTCGCTCTTCGAAAGAGGGTGCAGTCAATTTTACTCTGCCTTCGAATCTATCTGCAATACCAGGCAGTAGTACGTTCGTAATGGGCGCTTCTGACTACACAATCCAAGCCATACTGGGATGGAACAAGAATGGAACGGCGCACCCGCTATCAGATACGCCTTGGGGAAAACGAGGGTTCGGAGCCGCTGAATGCTCCGTCGATCCCTGTGTTAGGAGCTATACCGGCATAGTAAAAGACGGTACATTCACGGAAACTCTTATATCTACATCCGTTACTTGGGATTGGAAAGATTACGAGGACGATTCCATTGATGTCGCGTGTTTAAATGCCTCTGAGATCCAAGCCCTACAGAATGCCGGCTGCAATTTTGACCCCAAGAAAACGGTGTGGGTGGAGTGTGACGGAGCCCGTGCAACTGCGATGCCACGTTCGGAATGCATTTACCAAGCAGTCGGGCCCCAAGTTTCCCACCTTTTCGGATACCTCTCAACTATGTTCAACGGCGAGCTCGGCTATGCACCAGGCGCCCTTTACGGCCCAGCAATTCTACAGACAATCTTCCAGGGAGGTAACGTCACCTATTCCACCATCGACGACATGTTCAATCGGATCGCGCAATCCTTGACAGTGTGGGCGCGCGAGCAAGGTACTAGGAATGTTACAGGGCAGGTATACATGAGCAACACGTGCGTTAATGCTCGATGGGGATGGTTGGCATGTCCCCTTTCCCTGATGCTAGGAACAGTGATCTTCCTTGCGTGGACGATGGACCACACAAGGAGGAATGAAGGGAGCCGTCAAGACTACAAATCTTCGCCTCTTGCGCTATTGTTCCATCGACTGGGAGAAGTAGGTAACGAGGGTCCCATCTCTGATATCGCAAGTAGCGGCGAGCTGCAAAAGAAGGCAAAGGCGATGAGGGTGGTGTTCCAGGGTACCGATGATGTATGGCGCTTTACTGAAGTTGAACAACTAGATACTTCAGGGGCTAAGAAACCACGCGTCTAACTCTAGAACTATTTATTGATAAAACACTACTTCTAGTGTGGATAATATCTCTGTTATCTGGTGACGAAAAACCATGTTGCAACAATAGGGTCCAAGTTCAAGTCTTCAAATGAATCTTTCATTTTGCCAATTAGATGACTTGCAACTCCCTACCTTAGGAAGCCAGACTGGGTTCCATCTGGTAATATGGAGTCCTGGGGGAGATTTTATCATGCCCGATGGACGTTTCGCGCAAAGCCCCTGAGGCTTGATAGGAACGAAGTCATAATACAACTTGAATAAGGTAAGTAGGTTAAAGTTAGGCTAGCTGATGACGTTCCGGGAACTCTCAACACGGATTGGAATAATCTTGTTCTAATCATTGGTAGGGTTCCGGATGATGACTAAGCGACGTCCCTTGTCGCGTCATGTGACATTATTAGATTAACTAGTAGGTTCTTAGTAATCCCTCATCTTAGAACTTACATCAATCAACCAATTATTGGACTCATCGTAGCCTTCACGCCACATGCCAGATATTCCAGCTACCTAGAACATCTTCAGTCGTGTTTTCTTAAACATGAAAGACTATTCGACTGCAGATGTCCGAGAATTTCACATCTTCGTTAATCACCAGGACCACTTGTCCTCATGCGACCCTACAAGGCTGTCAGAGATGCGCTTCACTTACACCACCACTGATTTTGTTCAGAAACAATATGAAACAAAGATGCACTCAGGGGCTTAATAAGCATCCATCTATTACCTTTGTGAGTTGGAGAGTCGAAGATCGGTGCCAAATGCCGTAATATACACGCATATATGTGCATTCAGCTCGGAACTCTGCATGAATTATTGATTTACAGCGGCTGAAAGTGGAGCCTGGAATAAAGGGGCAAGGTAGCAGCGACATCACGACATAACAAATCAACATTGCAGCGTATGAATTCATACTAGGACAACATTGACTCAGACAACTAACAACTTCACGTATTGGCGGATTCGTGTGAACATTTACACGCGCAGAGGTAGGCTATCGCGGAGAGCATTGACAACTAGGACAAGCTTTCACGGAAGATCCACGTCCTTCTACTGCTGCATATTCATTAAGTACCTAATCTATCTAGGATACATGGCGTCGTCGAACAACATCAACCCGCTCATCAATCCAGCCAAAATGATGAAGGAAACACGATTAAACATTATGAGTCATCCCTTGTGCCATTCCGCCATCTCCACCAACATCAGTTAAGCGGTTAAGCCAGAACCATCATTCCAATGTAGAACGCGACCCCGAACAAGCCGGCGAAGCTCATCGAGTTAGACGAAGCGGCGCTAGTGGTTGCCACTGCCGGCGTGGGGGTCAGAACCTACATTATCAGAAATGTTAGCGTCGGAGTAAAGGGAAAGCAAGTTTTAACATAGTTGCTGAAGCCTTACCTTATTGACGACGTGCGCAACGCCATTCTCGAGGATTAGGTTGGCTTGGGTGATCAGCCCACCGTTGACGTAGTATCGCCCAGCGCGGACACTGATGGCGAGGGTCTCGCCCTGCTGCGTCTTCAGGACGTCGCCATCTTTCAGGTCGGGTAGGTAAGCGACGCTGCCGGCGACGACATGGTTCGAAACCAACTGCGCGGCAGGAAGACTCGAGTTGGAGGCGGAGAATGCCGCGTTGGATGGCAGGAATACAGTGACGGACTGAGTGTTCTGTAGCGTACTCGTCGTGTTACTACGGGAAAGAAGACTGGCGAAGGCTGTCTGACCGGTAAACTGGGCTGTCGACGAGAGCGACTCAGGCTCAGTGAAGTAGCTGCATGTCGTGTTAGACAACCCCTCATGTTCGCGAAGAAGGAAGACGTGACCTACCTATCCGTTATATGGATTAAGCCACCACTGTATGGAATATCGCCTTTGATGACATTGGTGATCTTTCCCAGACCAGAGGAGATTCTGAGCAATGATGGGGTTGTTCCGTTGGATTGACGGCGGAGGAAAGATGGTTGCATCCATCGTTTGGTAGGTGAAGTGAGGTTGAGTGGTCTTGTGTCGATGACTATTCGTTGACCTTGGCCTCCAAGCAACGGAGTCTGAGCGTTTGTCTCGAGGATCGAACCGGGAATCGAACGACTAGAACTCTCTAAGGTGGTTGTCGCTCGAGATGACTGGAATGCTGCTGCTCGTCGATCTGTGGCGGAGAGATCTCGTCCAAGCAGGGTCTCGATGTCATATCCTACGTCCGAAGGCGCAAAGACCGTCCCGACTTGTCCGGAAAGGAATAGTTGTAGAACTTCCGGATCTGACTGGATGAAGGTTGCGAACTTAGAAGCGCCGGACGCCACAAGGGCCTCAACAAGAGTAGGCAGTGATTGGGACGCCGCTGTGGCGGCGATTCCCATCAGGAGGAGCACGGCAGTCCGGGCTTGTGGCAACATCTTGTGACTGGTCCCCGATTTCTATGATTCTATAAGATCAGAAAGTTTCGGTACTATAATCAAGACCTCTTTGTGTTCTAAAGACGAAATATGCCTAGAAGCGAGTGTTGGGAGAGGTAAGGAGGGGTTGGTTATTATTATGGCGGGTCTCCGTGGGCTCTTTATTTAAATTTGATAATGGGAGAAAGCTTGGATGTACCATACCTTCTCAGGTACGGTAGATGCCATCCTCGCGGCCTTGGAGGTTACAATATTCTGGAGGCTTAAAATCATAATTAATCAACCTCTTCGACACGCAGCTTTATGCATGTGGGTGCTGCCGAACAAGGTCAAGCGTCTACCTGAGATGCAAGGTTTGTACAGCCGTGACAATATTGGATTTACGCACTTGATTCGGTAGGGCACCGATGCATTGACACAGAAATCGTAGTTGTGCGCCAACTTCCTATTCTATTCGTTATTCAAATATGGGAGTCTAGGACTTAGGTGATATCAACCACTCGATATAGGTCTTGGCACCGAGAAACATTGCAGCTGAATTATCCCTTTCCTTTCACTGCCTGCCACGCCTTTTTCCATTCTCGTCTGGTCAGGCTACTGCTGTTAGGTCGCCGTGTAGTCCTACTCCGACGCGTACAATTTGGACAGTCGGTTATGCATGTTTTCGGGGATCTGAAGCGAGAGCTGATCCTATTGTCGAGAATCCTGTAAGTCGCCGTTCCCAGGACCATGTCAAACGCCGAAAATGCATCTGTGATGCGTCGTATGATTTGATCTAACTTAGCTACAGCGCTGAAAGACACGGATACGAGCTGGTAGGGCTATTCGGTGACTTGTCTGAATTTGTATGTACATGACTCTCGCGATCTCGATGCACCGTAGCTGACAAGCAGGCTCCCTAATCAACAAACCAACTGCCGCACCTGCCGGCGGCGAAAGAATAGAGAGGACCAACGTCAAGAGGGGGGTGGTCCATGATTTAATTAAGCCCACATCTTACTAGGGCGTGCTGAGCCGATCGTCTTTTGACAGTTTCCTGCAACTATACGCATCTCGGAGACTAGACACATACTCTTCAAAAATGGTCGTCTCAACAGCTAATCAACTCAGTTCGACATACAATCTTTGGCAAAGATTCAAATTCCCCAGCGAAAATGGCCCCAGAGATGCTGTTGCCGTACCAAACTTGGTGGCCGATCAGCTCAACTCCGCCTATACCCTCATCATAGATATGGCACTGGTACAATTATTGACTATACTCTTTGGCATCAGCCTCTATCTTTACATGCGGAGATACGACCCTAGAGATCGAGTGACGAAGCTCAGTCCTCTGGCTCCTACTATCTGGAACAAAAGATCCGATCTTGCGGATCTGATCTTGGAAACGGGCACCACGAAGGAAAACTGGATGAAACCAAACGTCGTCTTGTTGCTGCTCCTGTTCCTTGTTCTTTGGGTTGGCATAAAGGCGACGGGAGTTCTCGTTCCACCTCTCCTCACTCTCGGTACTGCGGCACCTGTAAACCCGGATGCTATATATTCACCTGATCGTACTAACGACAACGACGCCTCTTCGGCTGCTCTGTTTCCTCTGGAAGTGCCGCGGTTTATTCGCGCCTTAGGAAGTACAGTGAACGAAGAAATTCGCCACAAAGTCAATGTCAGTGATGCAAAGCAAGTGGGACAAACCAGCGACGGTGAGAAAATACTGCAGATCGACTACTCGTACAATGCGACGGGAGCCGACTTCGGATTGCAGAAATTCCCGGAGTTGACTCTAAACGTCTTGGGCTCATGCACCACGAACTACAGTTGGTTCAACCAGACCGTCCCCGTAGTATACAATGACCAAATAATCGCCGTGGACTGGTACAATCTCTTTGGCAACACAACATATCAATGGAGTGCGTCCCTGTTCGATGGAAGAGAGCCGATGGCGTCGTTCTTCACGGGGAACTACACCCAAGGTATACTTCCCACCAGCAATGCTACTTGGGGGGTGGTCGTCTCGTCCGTGAATAGATCCAGCTTTAGTCCTGGAACCGACCCATGGTATCTTACAGGGCCTGGTACAAGTGATACGGGTGCCGCGTACTCGGTATTGACAGCGCGACCGGCTCTGTCATGCTGGGAGGATAACGTATGGTCTTATAAAGGCCATAATAGCACCATCGACGACTTGACAAGCACTGCGCTACCCGGCCTTGAACTCTCGGACGACCTTCAAAGCATTCTCTTGGACATCCTCGGCAGCCCCATGATACAATCTGTCGGCCAACACCTTCAGTCCTCAGCTCTTCTATCGTCGACCACAGCTAGCAATCAGATATTCGACGCTAAGTCAAGCAGTGTTCATGATGACCTTGAGCGTCTGGTACAAGCTGCATACGTAGCTACTGTAAATATCTTGACCGACTTAACCTTGTATCCTGTTGGGGCGAGCAGAGATGTGCGCAACGTGGCAGTGGGAGCTTCTGGCCAGACGAAAGATGGAGTCGCCGACTTCGTTGTCTGGAGCTCGGAAATCAAAACCTTATCGACATTAGTAGTCATCGTCATTCCTAGCGTGTTCGTCGGCCTTTGGCTAATAGCCATTGTGTTGATGTACTACACTCCGGTTGGAATCGTTACTGCTCTCGATTCGAGCGACTTGCAAGGGAAGCTTGCGGCCGGTGGATCGCACGAGACGACTACGGTATTAGCAAATCCACCGAGATCTGTTGAGAACCAGTAAGCATCAACTCTTCACATTTCCTTTATCTCTTCCTACCCATGTACGGGCTTAGTGCTAATCATTCAGACCTGGAATCGACTCGAAACCGGCTGTGACGACCTCTACGGGCAACGAGGCCTTAGGAGCGACCACAAATGTCGTATCTTCATACAATGTGTCGCCAGTCACTGAGTCGGGGATGGGTGCCGAGAAAAAAGAATAAGAATACTGGTTGAGCGCTTGGTGACCATATGAGTTCGGATTATGACTTTCATAACCTGGCAGCTCTCAGCGTTATCCTATCTAGGTACTCTCTTCCTACCATTTTTGAAGTGGAAATGAGGTCATGTAGGAGGTCCGGTTTTACGATTGAATGTGGAATCCAGCATCGCAAGGCGGACCGGCGGGACCAAAGTGGGGAGATGGATTGGTGTAGGGCCAGGATGAGTCGGTAGACTGTTATGCCCCTTAATGATTTCAAGCTTCATGTACCGTAATGTTATATTCTCATCAGTTAATTTTTAGGTAGAATAATGATAGGGCCGCTCATTCACACACTAGATATAGAGGTTGAAGGTGTTTTTAGCCAAAAAAAAACTTACAAATCTCGATCATCGCTTCATGGTAGTAAGAATATCATGACAATTTTGATTGAGTCGATAGCCAACTTGAGTAGACGTAAGTCATCATTCGTGGTTAAAAGCCAAAACTCATGGGACAACCACCTCCTATCGCCTCATCTTTCTCCCCCATTGCGAACTCCTTCATAGCCTCCGCCTGTTTCAACACCTCCTCCCTGCCCATTTTCTCGAACTCAGCCGGCCCAAGCTCCTCCGGCACGTAACCCCTTCCTTGAAACTTTCCACCGGGCGTAACCTTGCCACCCGAACTAAGCCATAGCATTACTCGGTTATACAACGTATCGGCCACGTACCACGGCTCGAACCCGACGAAACGCGCGCTCCGATACAAACGCCCGTCCTTCGCAGGCCGAGCCAGAGGATCCATAGGCACAGCGCGCGGCAAGAAAAAATACCGCACCACGAACCCACGCAAGCGAAAGAACCCCTTCGTCAGCGCCGTCGCCCAGATCGGCGGCTCCGGGAAGCCCAGCGCAACGCGAACAGGCTTCTCATCAATAAACGAGATGAAAAGACTCCTCATAACACCATGCAAGAAGGTCGGCACGCCCCTCAGGAACAAGTTGACCGTCGCCTCCGCCACCATCTTGTTCTGCGGGATGAAGTACATGTGCTTAGCCTCGTACTCGAGCTTCCACCGCTCGAGCGCCTCCAGCGTCTCCGGCACCAGCTCCAAAAACCCCATGCGCCGCGCGAGCTCGCGCCAGTACACCAGGTACGCGACCTTCTCGAGGCGCGTCAGCGCCCGCCACTCGTAGCGGTCGATCCAGCGCGCGGGCTCGAGCACGAACAGCGCTAGCGTGTGCACGTAATCGGCGCGCACGATGTGGCTCTCGTAGCGGCCGTGCATCCAGTTCAGCCGCGCCGTGGCCCGGCGGCCCCTCTCCGAGTCCAGGTCGCCGCACAGCAGCTCCATGAGCAGGATAGCCGTGTCCTCGGCGCGGCGGCCGACGCGGGCCGGGTCGCACAGCTGCCGCGTCTTGACGAGCAGCGGCGTCCCCGTCGCCATGCCGTAGCTCTTCACTAACGCCCACTGCGTGCCGAAGTAGAACAGGAACGGCGTGTCGCGCAGCTGGTGCAGCCGCATCACCTCCGCCGCCTGCCGGTAGTCGAGCGCGTACGGGTCCGCGGCGTAGGCGCTGTACTTGCGCTCGAGGGCGCGGAGGGCGCGGAAGCGCAGGACTTGGACTAGGGTGAGGTAGCACACGATGACGGTCGGCGCGATGATGCGCCACCCGGCGGGCGATGCCGGATCGCCCGGATCTGCGGCGCCGCTGAGGCCATTGATGGGGTTGGGCTGCGGGAGGGTAGCGTTGTGAAGTGTGTCCATTAGATCCGATCTCTTTTATAAACTGCCCAGGATACCTTAAACCACCTACTAATACACCTGAGAAATATCTAGGAGGAAGTCTAGAGAGGACAATGGGAACCCGGGAAATACGGAAAGAAAGGAAAAGATAGGAAAAAAAAAAGATAACGTAAGGCGTGTTTCGTCCCTTGCATGCCTGGCACTGCCTGGCTGAATGATTGCTACCATACCGAGGAGTGGGGGTTCTAGACTGCGCATATCATGGATATGAGTGGCCCCTGTCGAAGGAAGGATTCTGATTTACGGATCCGTATCGATTTCGTACGAGAGGAAAACCTCGGGATCGCCCGGCCGCCAAGATACTACCTTGGTGAAACTTCTATAAGCTAAAGCAAATGCGGTATAATACCCGAAAACGAGTACTGGGATCAACCTTAGAGAGCTGCCTATGTCTTACTGGATTTGGCTAAGGGGAGGATCATGGTTGGCTGAACCTTTGCGACGGGAAGACGGGAACGCATTTGCCCCTGAATGACATAACCGTCGTGCTTATAGGTGGAAACCGTTGAGCTTACCAATAAATCACAAAGCCACTAACATCTGATTATTTGGTTAACATTATGGTAATATTATTCTATCATAATCTCATGTTTCCAAAGGGTCGCGCGTCCAAGAATTAAATGCCAGATCAGACCATAATCGAATCTGGCTAACTGCCTTTAACACATCGACTCTTCTTTTTAAACATTACGGAGGGGAGAGAATTAACTCGACGATTTTAGATTGTCAAGGTGCCCGTCAAAGGTAAGTTACGGCTGCTTGCTCCGACGTAGATCTTGTATCCGCCCTTCTGCAGGAGCCACTTCTGCGCAGTGACATCCCAGGTGCTCAGATCTCGCCTGGTCAAGCTGAAGTTGACGGTAGCCGACTGGCCGGGCTTGAGCACGGGCTTCTCGAAGCCACGGAGCTGCTTGACGGGGCCGTTGGGGATTCCGACGTATAGCTGAGCAGCCTCAGCGCCCGCCACCTTACCGGTATTCGTGACCGTCGCGGAGACCGTGGCAATGATGTCCCAAAGATCCTCCTGGCCGCCCTCGACGACCGCCTTGGACGGGTAAGAGGATGTGTCAGCGCCCTTGGTCTTGGACACTTTAAGGCCGGAGTAACCAAAGGTGGTGTAACTTAGGCCGAAACCAAATTCATAGCGGGGGGATATGTTCTTGGCGTCGAAGGCGCGGTAGTCGATGTAGACACCCTCGGTGAAGTCGGATTGCGGGAAGAGCGAGTAGATGCCGTCGGGATAGGTCTGGTTCTTGAGGTTGCCATAGTCGGACTCGTTGCGTGGGACGGAATATGGTAATTTGCCCGAAGGGTTGACGTCGCCGTACAGGATCGAGGTTAGGGCACGGCCGGAGTCTTGGCCGGGGAGATGCGCGAATATGAGTGCTGTTACGTTAGGGTGGTCGATGAACTGGTCGACCAGTCTGACACCGGCATTATGGAAGACCACGATTGTGTTGCTACAGTTCGCGGCAACGTTCTGGATTAGAGCATCGGTGTAATCATCGTGTAGGCCAGGCCTATCCCAACTTTCCGAAGCATACGCGTTACCCACAACGATGCAAGCGTCGGAGGCCTGGTCTACTTCAGGATTGCTGTCGTGGAAGTCCCACCACAGACTAGTACCGTCATCGTAGGCGCGTTGGCTCAACGCATCATAGGGAGAGCTGACATATGCTGGCATGTTTGCTCCCGATCCACCGCCAGTAACCAACGTGCCGTTCAGGGCAATCTGGGTGTGAATAACGTTACCATCGCTGTCGGCGAGCACATCCTGCGGCGCCAGGGGCTGCTGTCCGCCATTCCAGCCGCCAGATCCAGGCGTATACTGATCGAATGGCTTCGCAGAGTATCCGAACAAGGAGATTAGCTTAGGGGACTTAAGAGGGAGTGCGTTGTTGGTGTTCTTCAGCAGGACGTGGCTTTCAATCGCTCCCTGCAAGAGGATTGGCTTGGCGTCCGGCGACTTTGCGATGACTCGCTGGTGAGGTTCCGAGAGGTCGCCTGGCATGCCAACGCCGATAGTCGGGTAGCCCTTGTCCTGGCCCATCTTATACCACGTTGCGACAATTCTACGCTTGTTAACAGGTGTTTGATTCGCCTCAATGCGATTTTGGAGTTATTACCTCGTGGCCATATCATCTAGCCTAGTCTCCGCAACCGATCCGTTGGTGACGGCTTGGACTAGATTGGCAGCCCAGAATTCGGTGCCATACGGCATCACCATGTCCAACCCAGCCAATGCTGTAGCAACGCCGGCATGTTGGGCGCCCCAATCAGATACGACGAATCCCTGTCGATTTTGTTAATAACTCGTTTAAAGAGTTCATGAGGGTTCAAGTACCTGGAAACCTAGTTCGGTTTTCAAAAGCCCGTTTAGGTTCTTACTGTTGGAACAGCCGAAACTGTTGTTCACTCGGTTGTATGAGCACATGACGTTTACCGTACCAGCCTTTACAGCATCTTGGAAGGGCCTGCATTTGGGGTTAGCCAAGCATGACTTGAGATTATGCCTCTATACGCACCAAAGATACATTTCATGGATTGTCTTGTCGTCAATGTTGGAAGACACTGACGAGACATTTCCTTCCGGGACTCGGTTTGTCTCTTGCTCATTGCCGATGAAATGCTACAATGGTATTAGATGCTTTCTTAGTAGAGATATCGCTTGAGCTTACCTTGGTGCTCGTTGATACTCCCACGGATTGAATACCTTTGATGGTGTCGGCTGCTAGAGCTCCACACAGATAGGGATCATTTGAGAAGCCTAAAGAGGTATTAGTATGTCGGTACCTAGTCAAGAATAGGGGTAATTCGATATTTTACCTTCCCAGTTTCTTCCACTAACAGTAATGCGGCCCAAAGGTCCTACCACCGGTCCTAGAGCCATATGAACACCTTTGGCACGGAATTCTTTCGCCATCCCGACGGCCCTCTTGCTAGCTAGGTCTCGGTTCCAGCTACATTAAAGGTCAGTTGGAAACCACTACTTAAGACAAAGGACGCCAATCTTACCTGGCGCCAACAGAGATACCGGCAGCCCAACTCGATGCGAAGTCGGTAGTACGTACTCCATTGCCAGCGTCGCTAAGACAAAGGCCAGTGAAGCCGACTCTCTCAATAGGAGGAATGATGCCGGAGCACAAGCTATCTGCTACAATACCTCCCGTAAGGTTGACCTTCTCTTCCAAGGTCAACTTGGCTACGAGAGCTCGGGCCTTAGAGTAAGAATCAGCCCAGTCTCCGGAGCCCGTGCCATTGGCTATGCTGTCATTAGTATTCCCGTGAAGCATAAGTGGCTTAATACTTAGGTAGTTCACTTACGTGACGGGTATACAGGCGGTGATTGGCCGTAGAAATAGGTGTCATCGGTGATGATAGACTGAGCAGCGGTGCCGCCAGCTAGGCCGGCTAAGACATATAGTAATGTCGACAACATCGTGTGTAGGATTGGCAACGCCGGATTAGTCGTTAAGGCAGGATCGACATCGATAGGAAAGGCATGCCATAAATACGAAATATTCATTCTATGTAAGCCAACTCTATTGCCCCCATGAGGGGTCTAGAAGATCTAAAATGAAGTCGGCCCTTCTCTTGATTGGCTTCAGCCGATACTGGGACAAGAGCTAACGAACCCGGCTGGGGGCCAACAGATTCGGAAAGAGGCGGGCAGGGATGAACGGCGTCAATGACGACAGGGCTTGGGGAATGAATGCGGAGAATGTCTAAAATAACAAAGGAACGGTACCTGGAGTAAACAACGTTCACAAATACGAAAGCCAACTCGACAATGGCAAATTGAAGTAAATCTAAGACGTATGAGATGGAGAGTATAGTTCAATCAAGAGCCTCAACCAGTCAATCGCTGCTAGAACCGTCGGCGAGAAGTAAGTCTATTCGTCAGTGAAATGCACTACTGCGGCGGATATGCAGTGATGTTCACGATATCCAAGCTGCACCCCGCACCGGACCTACCCCAGTTCCCATGAGGTAACAAGGGACGGACGTCTAGGTTGCCAAGAGTTGGGGTAATAGACTAGTGTCCGGGGCCATACCCAAGAGAAGCTTGATTGCTCATTTGTTCGGCATCGTGACTTCCAGAGTTGGTAGTAAATAAACCGAGGCCCGGCTGTGTTCGCCTCTTCCACCAATCACCCTCGATTTGTATTCAACGGTCTCTTGCTTTCACCGATATAACTAATCTGCCGTGATCCACAACAAGTCCAAATTGCCTGCTCATCTCCTGACTACAGTCTTATTCATCATTGTACTTATGCTAGCGGGCTATCCACAGCAAGGCCAGACCTATAATTGATAGGGTAATGATCCATCGCGGAGTTTGGGACCCGGCATCGGAAGTAGTTGTCAATGTTGGTTTCGATGTTGTAACGGATGTTTCTGTTGTTCCTGTGACCAACCCCGTTTTAGTATCAGTCACAGGAATGACAACCACTGTCGCGGTTGGCGTTGTACTAGTCGACGTAGTCACGATGGTGCTTGAAGTTTTCTCGCTTGTGGAATAAGTGGTATGGGTCGTGACAGAGCTCTCACTCTCACGTGTTGTAGTCGCGAGTGGGATACCCATAATCGACGCGTAGTTCGTGGCAACCTCTTTAGGAAGAAGCTTCAAGTCGGTCTCCTGCCATCCGATAGTTATCTGATCGTGCCCTATCCACATGTTGGACAGCGTGGTGTAGATATCGGCGGTGCTGATATTCGGCAAGAGAAGGAAAGCCATCGGGGTCGAGACCATGGAGTTGCAATAATATTCGGCCATGCCAGTGAATCCGCTATGACGAATTAGCCCTATTCGCTAGAAAGGGAGAAAGGAGCCTCAACCTTTGGCAACATCCTCCAGTCCAAAGAGTCTTGCTACCATCTATATTTGAGGTAGTCCTCGCCATGGTCATATGATCGGGACATACCCCGGGGCTGATCGTTTGGAATTTCGTCGTATATTGACTTGGGACGCATTTAGAGAACGATGGGTCGACCCATCCACTTGAAGGCGATAGTGTACTCGAATGATATGGGTTATTGTCAATATAGACTTCATATCTATTCGCACACCATGACGGAGGCGTGAATACGGTAGTGAGGGCCTGCATCGTGCAGTATTTGCAGAGATTCTCTATTTCTAGGAAAGGTTTCCGAGGATTAAAAGACTCGAGGGAATTATTTGAGGACCTTGCCGTTCATAACCCACGAGAATAGATGGGCGAGATGTCCTCGTGGATGGAAACATTGTCCTAGGTTGCCTTGTGTTTCAGTTACAACAAAATTATCCAACCACCTTCTCTGAAGTAACGATTGTGCGAGTCTATTGATAAAGATCGTGCTTCCATGTTTTAAGAAGTAATTTAAAGAGACGAGAAATGTAGGTAGTTATGTCCGGTACATGGAAAGGGGAAGCAGGAAGGATGTACTAAGGCCTGGTTCGCTTTTAGGCAATGGGGACGGGCAGACGAACTATCATTCCTTCCTAAAGTTCTTGAGAAATCATACCAGGTAGCAACAATTAAATATCTGTACAACTCTACCTAGATACCTAGGTACCTAGGTAATTATTTCTAACTCCTTGCCTATATGCATCTGAATCTTCTGTACTCTATCGTGGCGACGCCCCTATTCTGTTCGATTACCCCTATATGTCGACTCAAGTCATTTTATAACTCATTCTACGTGCCCTGATCACTTACTCATATGAATGATTCGTGCTTTTATTTCCTTTATTATGGTAAGTTTATGATAGTATCCTAGAAGAACTTATGATGATAGATCTGGCCTATCTCTAGATCCTCGAACGGCTACTTACTAGACACCAAGGTAGGTAATTGATGTTACTTATGATGTTTTTGCTTATGGCGATGGTCGTATTATCGCTTAATAAAGAATAAATGAAATATTTCTAATAGGATTCTCATATAAATAAGTACCTAATTGACCAGGTTTGAATTGTTTTATTACTTCGACTGGCGACTTACCTCTTTACTGAATATATTCCTAATTTCGGACAGTGCAGCTATTGAGGGGTTGTATCTAAGCAAGCCTTGCCCCGCCATCGACGTGAACGTCTCCGACGTTCCCCGGTTCACCTCAAAACTTAAACTAGGTACCTATCCAAGGAGTGGCCAAAAGCTACCTAGAATTTGAACTTTACTAGCAATTGCCTGATAAAAAGGTAGTGGGTAGGCAATAATCATAAGTTGCGATACTAAAATGTCACCTGTTCATAAAGTAGCTCTTATTCAGCTTCATCCCAAGGTCAGTGCCTACTTCTGTACAGTATCGTATAAGCGCCGTTCGACCCCTCATCTGGCTCGACTACGACACAGACGATTACAAGTCTACCGTGATCGGGCTACCAGTCACCTTCCTTTTTGCTTACTTACTTTTATGCAGCCTCTTTCGCCGGCCGACAATTTTGCCAAGGCCGAAGCTTTTATACGAGATGCCGCACATGAGGGATGTCGTCTGGCTGCCTTACCCGAGTACCACCTCACTTCGTGGGTCCCGGATGAACCGAATTTCAAGGAATCATGTGCAGAGTCTGCAAATTACCTGAAGAAATATCAGCAATTAGCTAAGGAGCTAAACATCTGTATTGTTCCCGGCACGATCATCGAACTAGAAGGCGATTCCCTCCATAACATCGCGTATTTCATAGGTTCGAGCGGCGATGTGCTGGGGCGATACCAGAAGAAGAATCTCTGGCATCCTGAGCGGCGACACCTAGTATCGTCAGCCCATGAGCCGCACGTGGCTTTTGACACGCCACTGGGGCGCGTGGGGCTGTTGATATGCTGGGATCTGGCTTTCCCCGAGGCATTCCGGGAACTTATCGCAGACGGCGCGCAAATTATCTGCATCCCTACGTTCTGGAGCATGAAAGACGTTACGGACGAGGGGTATTCACTTAACCCGGATGGGGAGGCTCTATTTTTGCAGAGCACTGTGGTCAGTCGCGCGTTCGAAAATACGTGCGCGGTCGTGTTCGTCAATGCGGGAGGACCACCCGAGAAAGGGGAAAAGACTAGCTTCGCGGGCTTGAGTCAAGTCAGCGTACCCCATATCGGTTCACTTGGGAAACTGGGGCGTGCTGAAGGGATTTCCATTGTGGATTTGGACATGGACGTACTAAAAATAGCGGAGAACAATTATAAGGTCAGGGAAGATATGAAAAAAGAAGGTTGGCATTATGCTTATACTCAGATCAGAGACGGAAGCAAGTTGTAAGTATGCAGTGAATACGACAGTACACATGTCTAATATTCAAATTTCAAACAGGGAATAGGCGGTTACTAAAAGAACATGGCGTTGAACTTTTCATATTGTCAGTCTTCCTATTATTGGAAAACACGTACTAGGGGTAGGTAGGTGCGGAATAGGCCATCGGTGGCTAACACGCTCACTTGAGGTGGAATTGCGTGATGGACTAATGCTTAGATTTTGACTGCATTGTAACAAAAAGCTCCAAAATTCTAGACGTATTCTAGAATTATCGCGATCCCCGATCCCGCGCTGCCCGCCCAACGCCACGGTTCGGCTTCTTAATCGATAAGACCTCTGCCCTTTCAGGAGATCCCGGAATCAATTGCGGCATGCCAGTGGTGCAATCTGACATATGCTCAAACGCTAACCCTATTACGGACTAGCGTACTATTGCGTGATCACTTACTACGAAGACGAATTCTTAATTTCGCATTCCCTTGACGCGATTTAACAATTTCTCGCGCCAACCATCTTCCTCGACACCCGCTTCCTCGCCGCCGGTTCACCACCGAGAACCGTTGGTTGGCGAAAAAAGGCAGAATGGGTTCAGGAACAGTATGGACCGTCTTTGGCGTGGAGGTAGGTTATTTTCACTTTTTTTTCTTTTTTTTTTTCTTTAGTGCGCGAGTGGAGAGTGCTTAATAAATCCATATCGTCTCCTTTTCCGAAGGTAGTCTCTTTTTGGTGCCGATTGTAAAGCCAATTCGATACCTACCGTGGTATCTCCATCTCCCTACTCTTCCTCCCTCGAAGTAGGCGTTCCTAGGTTCGATCAGTCATATCTGGCATTGCCTGATCACCTGTTTCGAGATATAAAGCTTCCATTTACTTGGAAGTATCCTCATCTCCCTTAAATCGTCGCGATCTAATCTACTGTATCTGTGTTTCCAGGAGGAATTCACAAGTTCCTACTCCCATAAGTACCGGCTTCAAAGAAGCCCGACCCAATCAGTTAGGATGCATTTCAAACAACCTGAAAGTAGTGGCGGTGCTCTCGCCGACCAAGTAACTGTGCCGGAAACGAAGACTACTCGCGCCGAATTCATCAAGCAGTCCTCGACTCTGCCATTCGGCCAACCCGTTCCGTTATCCTCGATATCTGGACCTACCTATGTCACCGGTCAACTGCTCGTCCAGCAGATCGCTTATGCCTTGTCCGATAAGATTTTCTCTTACTCGCCTGAGACTTTTGACCTCGATGTTGCTGTGAAGGCTTGGACTAAGGATGGAGACAAGAATATCCACGGATATCCCACTGCTGTCGTACCCCTCCAAACACGTTCGGGAGCTGGTGCGTTCGCTCTCGGTTATATCTTCTCCAAGGATTTCGATCTAAGCAAGAGACATATTCCCCAGACTCTGCTTGCGCCTTCGCTTAGCTTGCGCCATCTTCGCTCTACCCTGGACCAATTGGCTTTGTTATACGGAGTTGCTAGCCCTTTTGTCGCTCATGTCGCCGCTACCGATTATACCTCCGATGCCGGCCTTGTCGCGGAGTATGGCACTGCTCTGCAGTTATCCGAAGAGCTTGGATTAGGACTTGTCTCCAGTGGTTCTGCCTATGAGGCTCAACATATCTCTTTGTTCGCCACGCTGATGGCCAAGGTCTTACCTACTATCCATCTCTATGATGGTGTTCGTACGTCGCGTGAGACCTTAAGAGTTATCGATGTTTTGAGCCAGGTTGGTGTTGCCGACATCTTCAACAAAGTCTCAAAGACGGCAGAGACCTTGAACAAGCGCCTCGATAGCGCCGGCAAGGTTGTCGAACTTCTTCAGTCTTTCAATGACGAGCTTGGTACCGATTACGAACCCTTTGAGTATGTTGGTCACGACGCTGCTGAGACTGTATTTGTGGTTTTTGGTAGCGTCGAAGCCCAGCTGGCTAAGCAGGTATTGCCTAAACTTGCCACCGACGGAGCAAAGGTTGGCGCCATCGTTGTCAGAATATACAGGCCCTTCATTGAAGAAGCTTTTATTAAGGCCCTGCCAGCTTCTGTTCAACGCATTGCTGTCTTAGGACAAGTTGCGAACGAAGCCGCTGCATTAGATTCTTCGGTTCAATCTGTCCTGTACTCCGATGTCCTGACTGCGGTGTCCTTCTCGAGCAAATGGGTCGCAGTTCCTGCAGTTACGGATGTTAAATATCCAGCTTCGCACGCCTTTACTCCATCGACATTTGCTGCTGCGATCACTCAAGCGACAAGCAAAACACCTATCTCTCAAATCCGGTTACCCCAGCTCGACTCTGTGCAGCAATACATATTGTGGGATACTGACAATTCTGTTGCCATCTCTGCTCCAACTGTTATCGGATCACTTTTATCTCGAGACTCTACTAGCAATGTTTATTTGAACGAATCTTACGATAACCTGGTGCAAGGTGGTGTCGTCCGTTCCGACCTGAGATCATCGAAGAAGACAATTGACGCGCCTTACGCCGTTGAGGAGGCTGACGTAGTCTTAGTCGGCGATGAGACATTGTTGAAGGAAGTGGCCGCGTCCAACAGCGTCAAGGATAATGGTAAACTTATTTTAAAGCTGCCAAATTTCAAGGACGAAGATGTGGAAAAACGAGTACCCGTTACGGTTCGCAGAGATGTGCACGCCAGGAATATTTCACTTTACGTCCTCGATTCCTCTTTGTCTCCGGCTTTCGAGAGCGACTTCAATGTTGCCAGGCTGCTTGTCGAACTTGCTTTCCTCAAGGTAGCACACTCTGAGCTTAAGCAAGACATTTTGGAGAAGCTGGCTGCTTTAGAGGCTAACCCCTCAGTTCTTGAAGAGAGCGTTGATGCACTAGACAAGTGCCTAAAGCAATTCGAGGTTCCGGAGTCTTGGGCGGAGACTACCGAGGAGACATCTCGTAATCTTCCTCGAGTACTTAAGACAAACAGTTTTGCGCCGTTCGAAAAACAGGAAGCAGAACAGGAACTACAGCTCAGCAGCTGGGAATCTGCTGCCAAGGGTCTAGTTTTCAAAGAAGCCTTTGCCACTGACATCACTCTGCGCCCTGACTTGACAGTTAAGACGCACACTATCCACGTCAAGGAGAATCGTAGACTCACGCCCATGACTTACGATCGAAACATCTTCCACATTGAATTTGACCTTGGCAACTCTGGCTTGACATATAAAATAGGAGAGGCACTTGGAATACACGCGGATAACGATACCGATTTGGTCCGCGAATTCATCGAGTCTTATGGCTTGAACGCAGATGATCTTGTCCAGGTCCCGTCTAGGGAAGATGCCAACATTCTAGAAACAAGAACAGTCTATCAGTCACTGGTACAGAACATCGACATCTTCGGAAAGCCCCCCAAGCGCTTCTACGAGTCACTGGCGGAGTTTGCTACTGATGAGCTTGAAAAGAAGAAGCTCCTTTCCCTCGGTTCTCCAGAAGGCGCCGAAGAGTTCAAGCGCCGCTCAGAAGTCGACACAAACACATTTGCTGATGTCTTTGAGGAATTCAAGTCTGCTCACCCTAGCTTCCCGGAGCTTGTTCGTCTTGTCGGGCCCCTAAAGCGTCGCGAGTACTCTATTGCTTCTGCCCAAGCCGTAACCCCGAATGCCGTTGCTCTAATGATTGTGGTTGTGGACTGGGTTGATTCTAAGGGACGAACGCGTTACGGCCAAGCGACTCGCTATCTTAGCCGCCTCCCTGTCGGAGCTGCCGTCACCGCATCTGTCAAGCCTTCGGTTATGAAGCTGCCGACACGTGATGATGCACCCCTTATTATGGCTGGTCTCGGAACTGGTTTGGCCCCTTTCAGGGCTTTTATTCAATACCGAGCAATGCAGAAGGCGCAGGGTAAGGATATTGGTGCCATCCTCCTATACCTCGGCTCTCGTCATCAACGAGAAGAATATCTCTACGGCGAAGAATGGGAAGCATATCTAGACGCGGGCGTCATCACCCTGCTTGGTGCAGCTTTCTCACGAGACCAACCTCAGAAGATCTACATTCAAGACCGCATGCGCCAGACCTTGAGTGATATTATCAAAGCATACATCGAAGAGGAGGGTTCCTTCTACCTCTGCGGTCCTACTTGGCCTGTGCCCGATGTTACCGACGTCCTTAAGGAAGCCATTGCGGCTGAGGCGAAGGCAACTGGAAAGAAGGTGGATGCGACTAAAGAAATCGATCGTCTTAAGGAGGATGGACGATACGTACTTGAAGTTTACTAGATGCCGTCGTTGAAGAGGTAGATTTGATTCAGTATTAGCGGCTTAGAGTTGTTACGAGTTGGGTGTCAGGTACATAGGTACCTACCTAGGTACCGAGGTATTTATAGAGGTTATGAACGATTTTATTTTTAGTATCTATCAATTCAATTTAACGATCATCCTTTTGCTTTATACTCATTATGTGTTAACCATCGTAGTGACCTGGTTCATACTTTACTAGGTATCTTCTAGACACTCCATCCGAAGTCGGCTATAAAATGTCGCGCATTTTGCTCAAGAGCTAGATGGATGATCTGTGAGGCGCCTTTTCGGCAAATGGACGCCCTAAGCTACAGCGGCTATCCACTAAACTTTAGCGGGGTGGTCACTGTATGGTTTTAGGCTGATACTTGGAATATTATAAAATTCAAATCTTACATAATCCATGCGCGAAGCCCACGTTCATATTTTGGGTGACACATTATATAAGCTTAATATGTATTCCTAAGCCTCATTACCTAATGTACCTCCGTCTCTTCCCCGTGAGAATCTAATCAGCACAATATCCCTCGTGAACTCAAGCACTTATTTTAATAGTTTTTCTTATCCAAAAAGGGCACTTTTGTAGGGCTACCTTTTCCAAAGAGAAAAACGCCGACGCAATAACGCAAGTAAACTTAGGGCAAAGATCCGTTAGCAATTAGCCCTGTGAACAAAGTAGGTACCTATAAAAACGGTTTATGCAAGTATACCGCGTTCCTTGGCAAGGGGTAGGTAATTTAAAAACCCCTGCTCAACAATATCGTTGTTTTCCAGCCTCTTAGATCCGCCTTGTGTAGGATGTCCGTACTTAGTATGACTGAGCCTCTGCTCGTTTATGCCGCCAATGCTTTCCTCGAAATAGCTCAGCTGCAGCAAGTGGGCAAACAGCCACACAGCCAGCCGCGCACACAGTGAATGCGAATCCAACCCCCAATCTTTCGATTAGAGGCTGTATGAAAGAAGTCCCACCAGCAGCTAAGAGACATCTCGATAGGTTCATTGTGGCGGTCACGCTGAATGCTTGACTTTCGAACAGGTCAACCACTAGGGTTGCTAGGTATGGATTAGTCTAGAAGAGATAAACAAATTCACATTTAAAAGAAGATGACCCACAGAAGCCAGCGAGGATGCAAGTATCGAAGCCTCCGATAAAGAAACCCAGGATTATAGGCACGCTAACATGGGCCCGAACATCGACTGCCCAGCCAAACCCAAGAACAGATATGATGTAGAGTATTGTCGGCAGAATGAGAGGTACAATACGGGCTCGCTCGATGTTGTCAATCTTGTCTTGCACTGTGTCACTCTCGTTGTTCTGATGTTTCATCTGTCTCGAGTACTGCCAATCAAGTGCTTTGCCGGTGACCAGACTCCCGCAGAGAGAACCCACGCCGTTCGAGATGTATGTCAATCCGATATCTCGCTCCTGGAGAGAGTACTTCTCTGAGTATAGAGTGGCGGCCGCTACCATAGTCATTTGCCAGACAGCGTAGCACACACCGGTGAAGACGACACAGCAAAGGACCTCTGGAGATGCCAACAGCCGAAACCCAATAGGAACAAAGCTGACTGCAGAGTGGTTGGTCTTGACTTTCTTGATTTGCTTAGGAGCATCGAAATACGGAAATAACGGCCGCCAATAAGGCGAACACTCTATTTGGCCGTTCCCAACGATGCTTCTTTTCGTCTCTGGCATCACTAACACCGTGGTGAGCAGCAGCACGCCTGTCAATGCAAGTAGAAACCAAAAGATGCCATGCCACCCTGTGTACTGCGCAAAGACACCGCCAAGGACTGGCCCGAAGGCGGTGGCAAAGCCACCAAGGGCACTGTAGAAGCCCATGTACTTCCCCCTCCGTCTCGAATCCACCAGGTCACCAATGACACCTGCGCCAATGGAAGTGGTAGGCGACGATCCGATTGCCTGCATGGCGCGTAGACCGATCATAAGCCCGAACGATTGACAGAAGCTGAGCCCGATGCATGCACCTAGGTATACAAGAAGGGTGGTGAGGTAGAGGGGTCGTCGGCCGACGCGGTCTCCGATGGTGCTCCAGAGCATTGGACTGATGCCTTGAAGTACGAGATAGGATGTGACGGTCAAGTTTATTGACCCCTTCGAGACGCCCAAGTTGTCCGCGATCTCGGGGATGGCGGGCGTGTATAGGTTTGAGCTCAATGGGCTAAGAAGGCCAATGATACTGGCAATGGCGATGATGATAGCTCGTTGCCGTGAGCCAAATACGGAATATTCTGGCGGAGTATCTTCAGGGACCCTTTCCAACGATGCTGGTGGACAGGTCATGATCCCGTTCTCGGGAACTTTCAATGTTTCCATGATTGGGGATGATGGGTGGGAGGTCGTTCAATGCCACTTGGTCGGAAGCTGATGAAATTTGATGATTCTAATACCTAAGAAGGCGCCCTCAACATTTTGTTTTTGCCTGCGAAAGATATCTGTTACTAATACTTTGATATAACTAGTGTGATACAGCATGTATCGACCCTGGAATCTTCCGTACAGACTCTCAAGGTCTAGGAGAATCCCCGGAGATGTGTTTATGCCCCTTCAAATGCCGATGTTTCACGACTGATCACGTTCATCTACTATTTGTTTAAAAAAGAGCCTAGAGCTCATGACGTCTGCAAGGCCACGTTATTGGCACCCCTATCCTATTATCGTGATGGCTTCTTATATGCTGACTCAGGCTCCAGATTTTAAGATTTTAAGATTAATAATTCGAAGAATGGACCTAATTTGTGTATTGAGACATCCGTCAGCTTACTGATTCATCCGTTGTAAGCTTGTCAAGCGGCCGCATTGCATACGTAAACCCAAGTGTCTTCATCATGATTTTATTTTTCGATTGGCCTGAACCCGGCAGAATGACGATGATTTTGCAGACGTCCAAGAGACGTTGCCTACCTATCTGCTAGGTAGGCAGGTAACAAAAAGTGTTATACTTAGGTAAAGATAATTAAAGTCTGCGTCAATGATGGTGCATAGGACACTTGGAGTGGCTTTTTGGTGGAGATCAGAGCCAAGGTTACGTGTGATCTAAAAGCCTCTAGCTGCAGATATCACGATGTCGTGGAGGCCGAGAAATTGCTCAGCTTTCAGCTTTCAATTAGAATCATGTCTTTATGCAACGGTCAGAAATCTCCATTTTTTGCTTCTCGAGTTCCCCGGACTCCCCGGATTCCCCCGAAGTACCTAACTCTTATATAGATTTTGTTTAGAGAACTAGTATGCGGAGAGTCCTTACACCGGCCTCCTATTCATGTAATATAAAGGGGCTGATAATGACCGAGGTTCGTTGAATCCAATTCCAGTGCTACGCATTTTTATGCTTTCTTAATATCTGCTGCTATTTAGGTTCGACCTGTTCTTTGTGCCACTCAAGATCCAATATGGAAACCAACTTCGACGTATTAATTGTTGGAATGGGCCCTGCCGGTCTTTCCGCATGCTCTCGCCTTGGAGTCACTAACCTGAGAGTTGCCATTGTCGACAGTGGCAAGGCCGTTTACGACCGTGATCGGCAAGACTTCAATGATGCCACGAAGGGTCATGGTGGAGCAGGGTTGTTCTCTGATGGGAAGTTCTCGTTTTTCCCTTCGGCTTCTGAGCTATGGTCTCTCAGGGGCGACCAACTGCGGAAAGCTTATGAGTGGACTTGCTCCGTCCTTCAAGCTGCCGGACTTGACACCCCGCCATTCCCTCAAAATATAGACCAATATTCGGGTCACGAACCAGGAGTAGATGAATGGATCTTGAAGGCTTACCCGTCAGATTATTTGTCTCTAGACAGCCGTTTAAAGTTCATCGACGGACTGGTCGCCAGCTCCAAAGCTACAATCTTCAGCCAGACGAACATCCGTAGTATATCCCACGACCAGGTTGCCGACTTATTTCGTGTAGAAACCGAGTCCACATCAGAAGCAGTGTCACGGCAGCTCACAGTTAGGCGGGTGATCATGGCCACTGGTAGATTTGGTCCACTACAAGACTCCCTGAAGCAATTGGCCACCGATTTCACTTTCAGACGGTTGGAAGTGGGGTTTCGCATCCAGCAACACAGCGACAAAGCTTTCTTTCGCGGCATGAAACAACTGGACCCAAAATTACGAATCAAACAAGCTGATGGGAGTATCGAGTGGCGCACGTTCTGTGTCTGTCGACGGGGAGAAACTTGTCTCACTAAAACCGGTGGACTGTGGACTGTATCTGGCAGATCAGACTGTCCGCCTACCGGTTTATCCAACTGCGGATTTAACAGTCGGATAACGGACTCGGAAATCGCCGAAGAAACGCTGAGACCCCTATTGGAATCCCTTAGCAATGCTCAGGTTCACTACAAACTCCAAGTGTCCGACGTTCTCAAAGGTGATCCACATGTATTGGCGCAATTAGACCGCGTTTACGGTCCCAAGCTTCGAGAGCTGATGGTCAAGGGGCTCACTTCTCTTGCAAATTCTTTTGAGGATCTAGCCTCAGATGTCGATGCAGAGCTTATTGGACCAACCTTGGAAGGCATTGGATGGTATCCCAAAGTTGATACCGGTCTGAGACTTCTCAACGCACCTGTATGGGTAGCTGGTGATGCCTGTGGGCTGTTTCGTGGGATTGTTGCGGCCATGATCAGTGGGCATTATGCTGCAACAGGTGTGTTAGAGGATCTCAACCTGAGATATTCAACTGTATCTTGCGATGTTTGCGACGGATTGGCTTGCCAGTGTGTATTGAAGCAAGTTGTCACAGCTTAGGTTTCAAGGAGGCCATATCATTGGGGGATGTTTAGATTCACTTCTAACGCCACTTCTTTTCCAGTCTGGAAGGACTGCTTATTGTCGTCTTAATCAAGCCATTTGGGTTACTTGTTAATGTTTCGTATCGGTGACCACGATGAATCTTATAATCGTATATTGTATCATTGCTTCCTTCCTCTTAGCAGCCGCTGCTCCGTCTTGGAACATATTGCAGATTTTCAAGCAGCACAAGCTGGTCGAACTACTTCTAAAGTCAAGTTTCGAACTTTATACCCAATGCAGTCAGTTATATCTGAATTTTCAAGTTGTCATCCCAGCCCTGCCGCGGTCTCCAATTGGACTCGGGTTAACTGCAACGCTTACGTTCGCATAAATTTTGCTTGGTTACTAGAGATTGTTTACCTCATTCTGGCGTTGTAAAACGTCTTTCCGCAACAATACCCGCATTCTGCTGCACTGCGATATACCAGAGGACTAAGATTATTAGTCCGTCCATAAATAATACCTTGAGCTTACAAAGGGATATTGTTAAAAGAATTTCACTACTACTTCAGAAAGAAGATTTCACTGCTGTTTGATTTGTCGCAGCTGATGCAGCCATGACGAGATTATGCTGCCAGCTCTGTGGTGCCTCTCGGGCTCAACTCCAAGGGGCGGCCAAAGTGTCCATTTTGTGGCTGGCTTCTAGTTAATGCGAAGTCGAAAATCTTGCCCTTAATAATACTTATTACATAAGAGGCTTTTGTGGACGAAGCTGATACATTGAAAATAGGTTCCCACCTAAGGAGGTACTTGCTAATCTTTTCTGCTGCAGCTGTTGCCATCAGTCAATGGCATAGTTTATTGGAAGCCACATAAGCCCTATCATAAACAAGGACAAGACTCGTAATAATTGGAAGCGAAATACTTAGGTCCGGACTGTCTAAAGGCACGGTAATCCACACTGACTACTCCCAACTCAGGTTAGTCTTATGGATACCTGATCTTATGATACAATGCCCATACAGATCTAAAGTATCTTTTCGACTTCGATGCTTTTGCTACTAAAAACTAAAGTCTTCTATCGTTGACTTTGCTGTTGCCCTTGATAGCCTTTCTCAAGCTGATTATTGCTAACGCTGCAAGGGAAGTACCAGCCTGTTGATAGCCCTCCTATTACTACGGCCAAAGGAGCTCTTTTAGGAGCTTAATAACAAGAGGGATTGCTAATAAATATAAGTAGATTAATCAAAGTTTTAAGACTTCCTTCAATGGCAACGCGTCGAAAAGATACTTGAATCTGTATAGGTCTTGTACTGTGGAGCAGGTATCTATAAGACTAGCCCGGGTTGGGAATAGCCAGTGTGGATTACCGTGCTTTTAGACAATCCGACTTACGTCAATTGCCTACATTACCTGGGTATTTACCTAACCCGTGATAATAAATTCGCAGTTCTTCATAATTTTATAACTACATCTTGGAATAAAGCCCTTGATTGTACTCTACGTTGTTATCGTATTTCTGTCATTATCCCTATCACTTTTTTCAATTGCAAGTCTCAAAAGATACATCAATACGGCAATAACGATTAAAGATCATGCCATTGAAGTCAGTGGCTCTTCAACAGGAAATGTCATAACCAATAGCATTGCCAGTAACCATGTCTCAACATATTGTCTCGAGTCACTGTGATAAGTTGGAATAGCTTGGAACGTATGTCTGAATTCAAGTAATAATCCTCTTGGCTCCTAAGGTTCTTGGCTCCTCCTTTCTCTTCTTCAATGGGATGTAGTGGACTTATTCAACTCTGGGCGCTGTTAATATATTTTAGTCTTACACCCTTGAAAATCTCATGTGCTTCTCTGCATATATTGATACAGTCTTCTGATCAGTCTCATGCCAATGAGGTTTAATATAACTTCCAACGCATACATTATGCTTCTTAACTGCATAGCCGATCCTGAAACCTTATAAATAGGTTCTTGGCACCTGTCCTCGTGTGACAGTCATCAAGTCGGTGAGCGCAAAATCAGTCCGATCTTGAACAAGCCCAAATTCGAGGATGTCGTTATTTCTGTAGTTACCTGGGCTCTGCCACGGCTTTTAATGTTTTTGAGGACTGAGACATATGTAGACAGATGATGCGTCTGATGTGTAGGATTCCACAGAAGGTGACTGGAAGAAAATCAGGTTTATGTTAGGCGGCTCATGCTGCGAGATTGTGCCGTGGACGGTAGGGTAGATGTAAAACCACACCACACGCCCCTGTTCGTTAAGATCATCACAGAGATGCTGCGATTTTAATGAGAGAACAACATCCCCGACTAAGATAACCATCCCATGAACGTCGGAAGTGGATCGGCCGCCTTATTCGTGACTCTGATAGAGCACGTCTTTTTGAAAATTGAATATATCTTGTCCGTTACAAGATACCATTCTCATTTTTTAAGAATTAGATCAGAACCACTTCATAAGCATAAAATCTCTCATAGTGTGATGATAGAAATATATATTGGATGACGGAGTAGGTAAGTACCTATTGATGGCTTTAAGAGTTTCCTTGTCCTAGCTCACCACCACCTGATGCGGAGAAACCTCGAAGGTAACAACTCCGCGAGCTACTAAGCTCGAGAGTTCCAAAATATGGCTTTTCTTGATTTAGGCCTTTTTACTCAAAGCATCATCAACATTTCTTTCTCGTTCCCTTGTAGACATTAGCCAAGCCAAAGCAGCTCCCGGACCAAAAATTCCTTCCACAGCCATAAGCTTCAATACAGGAGTATTAGTCCATAATCTCTCAGCTAATGAGCTGGAGGCTAAAGCCTTTTTGGAACCGATCATGTAGGCACCAATGGCTAGTATGGATGCAGACACAGTCATGTGGCCAAATTGAATGAAGAGCAGAGCAGACTCATGGATAAGGGTTGGGCCAGGCTGAACAGCACTAGGGCATGGCCAATAGACCCTACTCCAGCTAAGTTCCGGGTTCTGAAATGTCCGAAGAAGAACAAAGATATGGATAACCGCGCTGACTGTACCAACGATAGAGTAAGCAACAGAAATTGGGCTCCCAAACCCCTTATATACAGAGCTGCTGCGTGAGATGAGAGCGCTCACTAAGTCCTGAAAGGGACCAACAGCGACTGGTGCAAGGAACCAGACTATCACGCTGTCCTGGATTCGGAAGGGCTCAGCACCTAGTAATGCCGGAGCGAAAAGTGCGCTCGAGATGGCCAACATACAAAGCGCCGTGAAGGGTAGGGCCTGGGCTTGGTCACGAGATAGACCTGGACTATTGACGCATCGATTCATGACATAATAGCGAGAGAAGGTGGGCATAATGGAAGCTGCACCGAAGAAGTTCCACATGAGCTGCCAAAATGCCGGGCTACAATATTCGGACACATGTGATTAGCCTGAGCACTCAGCTTTTGTAAGTTAGACACAGGTAAATGGAAAGTCTTACAATCTTAGTGGACCTTTCTTCCTGTCCCGTCGGTCTTCGACTAAGGTCATTGTGCCGCAGACGGCAAGGGATAAGATTAGATCGGCAAGGAGAAGAAATGGTTCGTGATTGAGTAGGTCGGTTGAATCGAGAAGGCCCCCGAAGAACACAACGAGGATACCGAGAGTAAAGTCAATGGGCCAGAATCCCGTCCAGGTCTTGAGTGCCGAACCGTCCGGGAATGTGTTTGTCCACGAAGCCAAGATCATAGCAAAAAGTGAGCCATTCAATATCATCAAGATCCATTGGGCAATGAAGCCAAGGCCAGCTAGGGCAGAAAACAAGTAGAAAGGCTTGACTAGAGTCATTATGATCGTGAAAACAAGTTGGTAAGGCGAAGGCGACTTGAAGAAGATCAGCTTGACGTTGGAAAGTCTTTCGCCGTGGTCAAATTGTGGATGAGTGATCAAGTTTTCGCATTTCTATAGCGAGCGATGAGAGAGTCATTTTAAAGAAGAATTGATGTGATATAGCATGGTATTCTCTTGGTTTGTCATCATCAAGCCCCCACCAAAGGTTAGTATCGTAGAGCGCGCTTGGTTCACGTTGGTGAGTTTACTCATTAACTTATCCATGTTATGCAGAAGTTGTTGGTTTGAATAAACTTCCATCATGGAATTATTATTTCTGTATGAGGAAATTATGACTGCTGATCATAGCCGAGTAGCCTGTGCCAGGGGAGTCAAAACACGGTTCAAACGCGATATCACATGTCCTTTGCAGAGTACTCATGGATGAGTTCACCAATTAGCATCATAGTTGTTCTTAACTCCAGTTCCATGCGGTATTATGAGGCTGTCGGGATGTAAAACCCTTCCCTTTTTTTACTAACTCCGAAGGACCGACATTATTAATCACCTAACAAGTATCAGTGTGTTAATTCTAATGATAAAGGCAAGTGGACGATCCTCAGACATATTTCCAACGGTTGATCAGGGTTTATATGACTCACAAACATCTTACAGATTTTACCCCAGTATTAGGCAGTACGGGATCAATGAGGCGATGTAAGTAGCATGGCAATTGGTCTTAGAATGTATTAGTTAGTCACTTACTAGGTACTTGGCCGGTAGAAGGTGCCTTGATACAAATATACTCGTAGACATAAGATGAATTCCAATGGTACTTGCCACTGCGGTAAGGGAAATGTCATGAGATCATGATCATATGCATTCAGTACGGGTAATGCCCTCGAATGTTTAGGCCAATTTTGATTTTCGGTTCGCTCACATTTTCCAAAGAGTTAAACGAGCAACATCAAGGCACCTTCTGAACATTTTTAAGTATATAACGAAAGGAATAAGAGACTGCTTTGGTTAAACGTTTATCTTCAAGCTATAAATCATAATGACGGTAGCGAGGAATGCCAAATGCTGAATCAAGGACGGAACTGAGTACCCTAATGCTCAAATGGTGTATTAGATGATACATTGATAGTAGCGATATAAAAAGTAAATACAAACTCGCCTATCGTTGAATTTGAGTCGAGATTACTTACCTAAGTAAGGAAACTTTAACTTGACCATCCCCCTATTCCCACACGAGCCCCTATTCTTTATCGATAAGGAATAGGGGTAATCGCAACATTCCGTCTACAAACACATACCTGCATACCATTAAGTACCTGCTTGGACAGAAACCTCCCGTTTCCGCCATTTCATTAACTCCGGCACGCAATTGGTTTCTTGTAACGGGCTTATTATATGATAGCGCTGGTATCGTTATATGTAAATGGGGAGGTAGGTAGGTAATGGTGAGGCTTCCATGACTTTAGCAGGTTATTAAAGCGGGATGGAGCACCCACACATACATCGGTGCATTTCGTAAAAATCAAGCCGCCTAGAAATTTATGCCTAACATTCCATACCTCCGGTCTTACAAGGAGGTGTCCCGACTACAGTAAGTAAGTGGCACATTTTGGCGGGGCCTAGCAATCGATGTGGAGATAGAGCAGCTCCTCTTAGGTGTAACCATACGCGTACCTGTCGTTTAGCATAGGTGTAAAGCAAAAGATGCGCTTCAAAACTGCTCTCTATCAAGCCGAAATGTGGATTGGCCTGGGGAGATACTGCCAAGTGCTAAGAGACGGTGTGTGTATCTTAATCTGGATCAGGGCGAGATAGCTGTAGTCAAGACCCTAGATTATGGAGTCCCTCGGCTTAAGACTTCTACAAGAACAATAATAAATAACTAAGGTCAATTGCGCAGACAACCTTCAATCCATTCTAATATTTCTAAATTATCTGCAGAAACGTGCCGCGGACTGTAAACCTGGAGCAGCAAATAAACCAGGTACAATACTTCACCGTTCTCTCTAAAGCCTTATATAGGTAGGTACTATTGTTACCATAGGCGGCGCGGGGGCGATGGCTTATATCAATCAAAAGAAGTTCGGACATCGAAGCACCTAAGAACTAACATTTGGTTCATTTAAACCATGGGAAAACTCTGGCTCAGCTGGATAATGCGATGGCTTCATTAAACAATCTAATACTCCGATGCTTTCAAATATTCTATGCGTGTCGTATAAGAGACCATTCATCGCTATTATGATGATGCAATTACATGCACAACTGTTTTGGATAATTAGATGTAGTGGTCATATGACTAGAAGATCTTGAATGTAAGCCAAAAAGAAATGCAGAATGGCAATTGAAGATCCTCTCCATAAGATTCGAATTCCTAGACTATCGCCTTTCGCACTCCGATCTGAAGAGCGAGATAACGAAAGAGTTTTCTGACCGAAGATATATTATCGAGTCTTTCACATTCCTTCTTGATAACAAGTTACCTTCCTGATCTTAACCGACCATATCTTGCCATGAAACTGCCTTCCTTCTCCGATGCAAGGGCAGCGAGGGGATTCTAACTTAATGCGGTAGCCAGGGTAGTCTAGGACCCCTGAGCCCTGGAGCGCCGAGGACTGTGCGCTTTTAAGGTTATTTTCTAGTGTACCATTTCCAGCGCTTGGACTCTGTGACAGTTGCTATTATTAGAATGCTCGCTGGACTTAGCGGACAGGCGGCAAGGCAGGTTCAAAAGTTACTTCACAAATCTCGATACAAAGGGATGAGTCGCATGATTTTTACCAAGAGATATGCCGGGGTTATGACTCGAGAAACCTACTTCGTATATGAGTTATTATTTCGTAATCAAGTAAGCTGGCAGGTTTTCGATTCTAGACTTGCTAGGCCTGGATGCTGTGCCGCACGGCTTAATATCAACGATGTAAGATGTGAACCATAACCCCCCTCAGCTCAAAAGCACAGGCTTCTAGCAGTGCCGACACCACGGGCTAGGACAAGATAAGGTGCTATACAGCCCTGAAAGGACAATTAGGCGACGCTACGACGATGACTTAGCACAGCAGATGGACATACCGCGGACGGGCTTTAGTTTTAAACCGTTGCCCGCCTCGCGAGGATTCAAAGCCTTGTAAAGATAGCATGCTAGATCGGACGTGATGGTAAAATGCGGTATAGCCTAAGCTGACGTCAGGAACTAGTTCCTATAACCCCGCCCTATCAATTGATGAATTAGAGGAAATAATTAGTTCCCGTTCCCGTCTCCATAGGTAGATCTGAAGTGCCGTAAAACAATCCCTCTGCTTCAAAGGTTCTCGATGGGGGCGGGCGAAAAAGAAATTAAAGGGACACAAACTTGCTGTATTGCCTCTGAAATTCGACACGCGCAGCTGTAGCTATATAAGTCGCGTAGTATGTGGTGGATGCTGTGTAGGTGCCGTGCCGCACGTCGTGGTTGGTTCAGATCTCGCATACTGCTGCACTCATCGTGAATTGACGATTGGTTCCTAGGGGCTAAAATACTACTAGGCTACGCATATTCTCGCAATTCCTAGCCTCATCTAGGAGCAGATAGATAATAGGTATATCTTCGACCGTTTCTCTTTAAGGCGAGAATCGTTCCACGGAACGTGGCAATTGTCAATTTAATACCACCCTCTACACTTCCGGCCACACATGATTGACCAAAGCCCGCACGGACGCCTGCAACGGAATCCTTCGCGATGCGTTCTAACTTGCTTCGTTTGTTCGCCACTGCAACATAATATAGCCCGTGGCTCACCCATTCGTCCCGCAACCATGATGTTGATTATATCCCCCAAATGCGACCCTCCCAGCCAAATCCAGCAACGTGCCTGATGCGACAGAGGGTCTGACCAATGTGAGTCGTTCGACCTCATCTTGCCATCTTCTATATCCAGCAGTACAAGACCTTGGCAGCCCAGTAAGCCCGCAGCACCGCGGTGTTTTATAAAAAATAGCATAGCCTTTCGATGCGCTGCGTGATGTCACCCTACTGCATTTCAGCTGGGTGGTAGTGCTGACTCCCACGAGCTCCGTTTCCAGGCTCTGTATCCACTCACCATGCTTTCATCCATGTAAGTCAGCCGGTCGGCCACGCATCCTGCACCGAAGTAGCACCACTCAGAGCGAAGAGTGATCGTTGAAGCCTAACGTATAGATAGAGTTCTTATCCACTCGTTCGCGCGCAGGCATCGACCTGGATGGATCTTCCTTTCAAGATCACTGTTTGCTGCCCCGATCGCAACCAGCCATTTTCAATCCCGTTCCGGCCTTTGACCCTTTGACGTACGGTGGACGGCATAATTTGCCCGAAACAAGAGCGTAATGCCGGACCTTTCATCATTATCGCCGGCCGAATTGCAGCAGTTCCTCGACGGGCCGGCCCTCACGCCGCCGGACGGTGTCATACCTAACTTTGATAACCGGGATAATAAGGATTATATCTCTCAAGCAGTATTGCCGTTATGTCTAGTGTTGACGACGATAGCGGTCTTTCTCCGGGTCTGGGCCAGGATATTTTGCATAAAGAAGATTGAATTGCCTGACGGTGAGCCTAGCTTATATGATTGACATCAAATCGCCTCGCTTGCTCTAACATTCACCTTCAGTATTAATGACAATTGCGTATGGTTGTTATATAACAAATATAGTCTTTGGATACCGCTTAACAGAGAATCCGGGGGTTTTCGTTCACACATGGGACATTCGTGTGAAGGATATGTCGAGCGTCCTGTATCCCTTATTCCTCAGCGCTAGTTTCTACATCGGCGTCGTGTTGACCATCAAGGCGGCGATTCTCCTCGAGTGGGCCCGAATATTCATTCCGTACGGGGTACGGAACCGTTTCTTTTGGTGCGTCTATGCTGTGCTGGGCGCCAACACCATATTCTACATCATAGTGCTCTTTCTCATGAACTTCGCCTGCACGCCGGTTCAGAAAAACTGGGACCCCTTATTCGTTGGCGGATCTTGTCCGATCAATACGCAGGCCGTTAACATCGCATCGGCCGTACTGAATCTCTGCTCCGACATATTCATCCTGCTCCTGCCACAGCGCATTATCTGGGGTCTGAAGATGTCGACAAAGACGAAGACTGGTGTATCCATTATATTTGCCTTCGGTATCATGTATGTACTACACGCGCACGACTTAAGATTGAAACCTAACAATACAACAGATGCATTATCGCAGCAGGCTTCCGTCTCGGCGCAGAAATTGACTACACCAAATCAGAGGATGTCATCTACAATATTTCGCCCGTCTTACTATGGGCGTTAGCCGAAATGACGTGCATGTTCCTTGTCTTCGGTGTCCCAAGCGGCTCCAAGATCATGTCCGACCTACGCATACCGAGCAAGCTCGCCTCATCACTACGATCCCTAGGAGGCAGATTCCAAAGGAATTCCTCGTCGCGCGGAAGCGGCAGTGGTGCTGCGTCGTGGCCGCGCTCGAGCATGATCATGAACAACTCTCACGCGGACTCGTCACGGACGTACTACCGCAAGCTCGAGAACGGGCACGGCGGCATGCAACTTACGACCATCGACTCGACGCAGGGCCAGCCGCCGAGCGAGTCCACGGAATACCTCAAGGACCAGACGAACATGTTGCCCGCCGAACCCGAGGCCGGCATGATAATACGGACGACGCACTTTGTGACGCGCGAGGACTACGGCGGGTACGAGCACAACCTCGCCGTAGGCGACGGCTACGATCGCCAACATCCGTGGGCGAAGGAGCGGGTTTAGGGATCTGATCTGTCCCAATCTTGTAGAGTACCTTGTTTACGAGCTTGGATTTATGATTTTGGGTATTTTCATCTTCTCGTCACTGGCTCCCAGTGGGGATCGGACTCGGTAAGGGATCGGAAAGGGCGAGGTCTGAAGGAAACCTCTGAGAATCTGGCTGGCTCTCAATAAAACTAGGCTATACATCAATGTTCCTGGATGGGACAGTTATTAGCTGTGTACGGTTTGTACATATATGGAACAATGGTTACCGTATTTACATATTCCTTTTCCGGTTACCTACCTACTCACCCATGACACGTACCATGCGGATGTGGCTGGAGAGAGGTCAAGTACGTTATCCGTAACCCCCCACACCCCTGCCATGGCTCCTCCAACCCTTACAAGCCTGCCCTACGATCTACAGCACAAAATAATCATAAAAGTCTTACCGGAAGACTTCGAGAGCCAGGCCTCAACATGTAGGACAATCTATCAATTATACACGCCATTTATCGAGCGCCACAACCGCCTCCTCTCCTGGTTCCAGGATTTACATAGGTACATATGGGTCAATCGCGGAGCCTGTCAATAATACCACTCATTAGGACGACGGCGCGTTGCATTCGAGAGATGCAGACTTGAATTGCGACAGTATCCTTTTCGGTGGCAAGTTCCCGCCATGGTGACTGATGCCGACTTGCTCAAACATGCCCCACAGCGTTGGGATTCATATTTGCAAAAGCGGGGCTCTGGTCTGAGTCCACTGAGATAAAATCGAACTCGATGAATGGGCTTGGTAACGATGATTGCTGTGTCAAAGGTATCATTGATGGTATAGCTGGCTACTTGGTTTCGAAGAGCTATCCCAATGGTCTCACGTGGTGAAAGGCATTAGCTATCTTGCCTGGCATCCAAGGTTTCATGGTGCTCTCCTGTATTTCAATCAAGTAGTTTCCCTCTCGGCTCACCATCCTGACATGATAGTATGATCTTGCATTCATTTTAGTTATCTAGGTACATAGACCGCTCTCATTTGCTATCATGTGATTCATCTCAAGGGAAATGAAAGAATATACTATTCAAAGTCATAAAAGTAGGACAGAGAGGTTAATACGAACTATCCCACGAGAGGCCATTTGGCAATCTACGAAGAGTTGGTGTGGTCGGCGTAGATTATCTCAGCAGCTTGTTCAGCTAAAGCATAAGTGGCAACTTGTAGATGTCCGGTGATAGCCACAGGAAACACTGAGGCGTCGACCACACGCAAGCCCCTGACCCCTTTCACCCTCAATTTACTGTCGACCACCTTGCCCATTGCTGCGGTTCCCATCGGATGGAAGCTCGTCCTACATTAAATGTCTTAGCGATAAAATATACCCTGATTATAGGAGTTGTTATGCTGGGAGAATTACCCGAACCCGGCCCGTATGCGCGCGTCGATATACTCGTCGGTCGAGTTGGTCGACAGCACCTCATCGAAGCCAGCCGCGCCCGCCTCCCCATTGAGTATCTCACGACCGATGACCGTAGCGTCACTACCGGCGAACTTGATCTGCGTCTTGATGGCCTCGCGCGCTACGTAGCGGTCCACAGCTGTACCTAAGAAATTCGGATCGATGAGCGGCGCTTCTCTGATATCGGCCGATGCAAGCTTCACCGAGCCGCGAGCCGTCGGCAGTAACATGATGGCGCCGAACGTTACCAGCGATCCATCCGCTGCTCCGGCATACATGAAGACATGTTCCACAAAGGTGCGCTTATCAGCCAGGAGTGGGTGGCTGGACGGATCCGGGACTGCGCCCTCATCCTCGGCGATTGCGGCTGCGAGGCCCTCTTTACGTACGTCGCTAGACACGATCAGATCGAACGGAAAGCCCAATCCGTATTGCGGTTGGCTGAATAGCGGATTGGGAGACCCAACCGCCCACCCGGCACTAGGGTCCTTCACTTTCCACGCATGGAAAAACAGGCCGTGATCAGCGAGATTCTGCCCGACGTCCGGGTGATCCACGAGGGTTGGAATGCCGTGTTTAGTAAGCTCGCCAGCCGGACCAACGCCAGATAACATGAGCACTTGAGGCGTACGTACGGCGCCGGCTGCTACAATGATTTCACGTCCACGAATTTCGGTATTACAAGCCAGCCGGATACCAACGGCTACCGCACCATTGCCATCCTCTGCATGATCAGTTTTCTCGACCAGAACCTTTTCCACGAGGGTATTGGTTAATACGGTGATTCCATCGAGTGGGTAGATACTTGAGGCGATTTCCCGCCTACCTTCTTCCTTATTCTCGTTCAGTTCGCCAACCCCTAGAGGATTGCCCGCGTTGGCATCGAGGCCCAGCAAAGGGTCGATCCCAACTTCTGCCCAGGACCTCAGCGCGTAGTCACGAAGCGGAAACGCTCGGTCGGTTGATGTGGCGGATTGTATGAGCACGGGCCCGTTATGGCCGTGTTGGTCCGGATTTGTAGTGTTGTTCCAGAACGTCTCGGTCTTCCGCATGTAAGGAAGCTGTCCATCATAGCTCCAACGCGCGTCGTTCGTCAACGAGCCCCAGAGATCATAGTCATACTTGTCACCGCGGAGCCAACCCCCTAAATTGAGAGCTCCAAGTTAACATAGTTCAAGGAACTCTTAGAAACAAGAGTAATGTAACATACCACCGTTAATGACCGTCCCTCCGCCTAGGGCTTTACCGTTTGGCAGGTTGATGCTGCGACCATCGAGGTGCAATTGATTAACGCTATTGTCTTTCCAGTCAAAGTCACCACCAATTAGATTGGTGGAGTTTGGCCAGATGATGTCAGATCGATTGCTAGCATCTGGGCCTGCTTCAACAACGAGTATCTTGAGACTTGGGTCGAACTGATGCAGCCGATGAGACACAACCGACGCGGCCAATCCACCGCCTACAAACATATAGTCCCAAAAAATGCTCGATATTTGATCAGGGGTTTCACCCGCCATATCTTCCGAGGTATTGACGCGCAAAAGATACAGAATAATTTACAAAGGTAGAAAAGCTTCTTGTTCGTACTAGTTGATCCACAGGAAATTATCGGAAATAGCTCCACTGGAGTTGTCTAGGTACCTTTTGTAAGTCAATAAGGTTCTTCGAGACATTTGACCATACCGATTTTCCAGAGGTCTTGGTTATATTCGACAAGGCATCGCTCGCAGTCAATATGTGTGCACAATCTCAAGATATCCATAATAGACAACCCCTCACTTTGACTAATCACCTGGCCTCAGCCTGCTTCTGTTTATGCAACCGGCAACCAACAGCTTCGGGGTGTACATAGTATAATTTCGTTTTGGGGGGATGGGGGGCTGAGATTCTGTTGGTAGCAAAAGCTGACGTCGGACAAAGGGTCCGCTGCAATCTATATGGGATTAGGCCTTGTAGGCTACTATATTATAGTTGAATCTGGCACATACCTCCCTGTATTTAAGTGTTCTACGTTCCCAGTGTGTTAAACAGGTAGTAATATATTTGTCTACCAAATAATGATGTTATGAAAACTCAATCCCTCCCGCTTTCCCCCTGCCCCTTTACCCCCTGCCCCTTTACCCCCACCTCCCCCCCCCCCCCCCCCCCCCAAAAAAACGAGATTAAATCGAAAGCGTAGATAAGTAGGCAATTAGCTTCAAACATTACATAGGTAGTTGGTATTTCGTGTATCCCACGTCTCCTCTACTGTCATCATTCTTAACTTAATAGTAAACAGGGTTCTCCGGGTCCGTAAGGTCGAAGACGACGGAGGAGTGCGGCTTGGCTCCGCCGCGGTTGGCGAACTCACGCTGAAAATCGATGCTGCGGTTGAAGCTCAGCGACCCGTCGTCGAGGATGTCGATGTACAGGGCCTTGTAGTCGGCGGGGGTGTTGATGAGGCCGATGTCGCCCGTCTGCACGAAGTAGTCCGTGACGACGATGTGCTTTTGGTCCGGGGTGATCTTGATGTAGTGCGGGCCGATGGTGGGCTGGTCTTCGTCCGGGTTGTCGAGGCGCTTCACGTTGTCTAGGTCGGAAATGTCGAGGGCCGCGATGTGGTCTGCTGTTGTCAGGGTGAAATAGGCGAATTTCCCGTCGGATGAGATATCAGAGCTGCAGGGATGGAAGGTTAGTTGTGTTCTTGGTGCGATTACAAGAAGAGGATGCTTAGGTAATCACGGAGTGGTAGATGGTGCACTTACTAGATAGCAGTGGTGTCGCGGGCCTTAGGACCCAAGTCGAAAAGAAGCTTGGCCACGCCTTGCTTGCCGTTACTGTCCTTGCGGTGGGGATAGATGATCCAGACTTGACCTAAGTGGACCGCGGTTGCAAGAGCAGCTCCTTCGGAGTTACCGGGGATGAACTTGACGTCCTGGATACCACCACCCTGTAGAATTTGTTAGTAGAAGTCTTATGGCATGAATACAGTATGGATATACATACGTCAGGGATTTCAATTGTGCTGATGATTTCACGAGTTGGAAGATCCCACAGTCTAAGGGTGTTGGCCCTTTGAATTCCCAAGCTCGGCTTTAGGATGCTCAGGGGGACGATAAAGTCGGAAGTCAAAATGACATTTCTGTCAAAATCGACAGAAAGACCGTGCGGGGAGAATTGTTCCCCGAGAATGTTGAGGGTACCTTCTACGCTCTCTGGCCATTCGTGGATGATATTGAAATCAGCATCAGTTTCAATAAGACGGCCAGGAGAAGTGCCAAGAGCAGCTAGAGCGTATGTAAGCATGACATAGCGACACGAAAGGGATCCATAAACTTACAGCCCATGTATGTGATGAAGAAACCCCTATTCATATTATTAGACAGAATCTTACTAGAGAGTCTTCATTGGAAAAGGACTTACCCATCGGGCTTTGCGCGGATCTCATCCACGATAGACGAGAGGATTCCGCGGTTGCTCTTCTTAAAGGTAGGTTGATACGGATCAGAAACGTCAAAGTAAAATGCCGTGTCTTGCGTCTTCAATAATGAGAGCAATCCGCCACCAATCAGGGTCTTCCCATCGTAAGAAGGTCCAAGATGGTGGGGGCTGTTGCCGCTTGAGGGAACATCGGTTACATAAATAAGAGTTCCAAAGGTATCCTACGAAGTCAGTCATGAACGTATTCCAAAGATTGCTATTGCGGTAGGTGTAATGAAGACGGTGGCCTTGTAAGGGACGAAAGGGAGTTATCTTGAGAATGTCGAAAATGTCCTTATACGGACTGACACTTGGGCCACACCAGGGGGGTCACTCTGGTTCCGCGATAAGTCCATGCAGATTAACTTACATCATCAAGACTGTATGTCGCCAGGAAGTCTGTATACCATTAATAAGCTGTACTCTCCTATTCCTAGTCATCACTAACCTTTATGCTGGTTGTCCCCAGAGGCAGTCCAGAAGTAGCCTATCTTCTTAGGCTTGATGTTGCTTCCCTCCCAAGGGGGGCTATCTAATGCTGGAGTTGGAACCTGTAGAATGGGAAGAGGCGGAGCAATGTCATTCAAGGCCTCAGTAACACCAGGAATAGAAGGAATAAGGGGAGGCAAAGACAGAGCAGACACAGATGACGTCAATAGCGATGCCCCTAGTATTAGGGCTGCAGAGGAAGACATTTTGAATGCTGGTGACCAGGGTTCGAAGGAAGATATCGTGAGACTGGATTGTAGCTGCTGAGAGAATATGAGGAAGTAAGAGCAAATTACATGCCTTTATATACTCAAGATCATGCCAAACGCGTGTAGATGCCAAGGTTTCTTTTCTCTACCTAAACCATCACAGTCACCTACTAGAGGCTTTCATCACGAACGATGTCTTCACATGTTGCACAATATCCTACGACATGTTGTTGATCCGAATTTCACTTAAATGTTGTCATGGCCTGGCCGAATAGCGTCATAAAGGTCTCGATCGTGATAATATTCTAGCATAAGTTACTGAGGCCTAGTGCTATTGGGTAATATGATGTCAATGAAGAAGTTTTCTGATACTAACTCGGTATATTTACCTAGGGTGGGCAGTCACGTCAGTGTAAAAAACTGAAGCTGCATTGAGCTATAGCTGCTTACAGGTTCGATCAGCGCCTTGTATCCTATTTCGTGTCATACCAGAGCTTTGGTACAGCAATAGCTTATTTCAACAACCTTGAGCGTCAACGAACATGGGTGTATGTTGGTATAAGCTGAAGACTGCGCGATCCAACATCGTGGTTCTTGGTAAACCCCTAATCCACGTTGGGCCAAGCTAATTCCCCTAATAGTCTGCGCTGCAACCCCCGGACTGACAGGGCCCTTAAGGCTAGCATTCAGTTAGTCGGCATATGCGATAGTGGGGCAGTATGGGGTGATGCGATCGTTGTCAACAGCTCACAATAGCTTAAAATATTTTAGCGCCTAGATTGACCTAACGGTACTCGTTTACACATCAACTAAAGTTGCATGGGTCAAGTAGATCAATCTCGTAATTGTATAAGTAAATATGCTAATGTGGTAGAGTACCTAGGTAGCCAGCCCCTTTTACATACGAAAAAATGACATCACCTGTTACAGGGCTCTCCTTCCTTACCCTGAGGAAGGAAGGATTTATTAGCTGCGATAAGGAAGGGAAGATAAATAGTTAGTTAAAAGGGATAAAATAAAGCTTTTTAACATTAAGATAGTAAAAGAAAAATAATTTATTTTGCTTTGTAAAGATTCATTATTGCGATTATTTATTCTTATTATTATTATTGTTATTATTTAATATTACGTTTGTTTTTTATTAAAACGTGATATGGTAATATTTTTTTATTTAACGGGAACGATTCGGAATATTATTAATTATTTTTATTTATTTACTTATAAGAAAAAGTAAGAAAAATGTTAAGTTATACGATATAAGGAAATAATTTATTAAAATAAATTTTTTAAAATATTTTATTAAAGATATTATTAATTTAAGGTTTAAATTATAATTATTAAATAAATTAATATTATAGGATAAAAGTTTTTTATTAATTTAAATAATTTACTTAAATAATATATTTATTTTTAATAATATTATATATTAAAAAGTTATAATATTTTTCAGGTTAAAAATTTAAAACGAATTATATTAAAAATATATAAATTAATCCTTCCCTTGTTATTTTAAAAGAAAAAGTATAAGTTTTTATAATTTTTAAAAAGAACATTTTTTAACTTTAACATTTAAATTTTTAATATTTTTTTATAATTTTTAAAATTTTATTATTTTTTTATTTTTATTATTTAATAGGTATAATTTTAATTAAATAAATTAATTATATTATATTTTTTTATTAATAAAATTATATATTTAATTATTAAAAAATTATTGTTTTTTTTTTACGGATAAATCGAATAATTATTATAATATTTTTATTTTATTTTAAAACGTATTTTTTATAATAACAAGTAATAATATTTTACGTTATTTATTAATTTTTTCGGATTTTACTTATAATGCATAAAACGGTTTATATTATTTATAAATGAATTTAATAATGCCGATTCGTATAAAAAATATAAAAATAATATTATTTTTATTAATTTTATTATTAATTTTAATTTAAAATATTAACTTAAAGTTTATTTAATTTCGGTTATTTTTATTAATATCTTTATTAACGGAATTATTATCTTTATTTAATTTTTTATTATTATTAAAATTAATATTATTTTATTTAATATTTATTATAAAATTAATTAATGTTATAATTAAATTATTTTAATTAAAAAACGTATATTTATTTAAAAACTTTATAAATATAATTTATTTTATAAAATTAACCGTGTTAATTTAAGTAATTTATAAAAAGTTTATAATTAAATAATTAATAATATTAAAAGTTATTATTAATAACGTTTAAAACCGATGGAATAAAACTTTAAAAATTTTATATTTATTTAATAAGAACCGCATTAATTAATTAACCGTAAAAATTAATAAAAAAATAAATAAAAAAATAAGTTTTTTTATTATTATTATTTATTTCCGGAACGTTATAAAAAATTAAAACGTTAAATTATTATTTAAAACGGTATAATAATAAGTTAAATAAATATAAAAATTAGAAAATAAATTAATTTTAAATAAATAAAGTTTTTACTTTAAAATATTTATTATTTATACTTTATATTTAATTTTAACATTTTTATTTTAATTAACTTTAAGTTAATATATTATAATTTTTATATTAATAACGCTTATAATTTACTTGTTAACTTTTTTCCGAATTTAAGGTATAATATTAAACGGAATATAAAGTTACGAAATAATATTAAACTTAATTTATATATAAACTTTATATTTAATAATTTATATGTTAAAAAATTATTATAAATTAACAATAACTTTATACTTATTCGGGATAATGTTATATTAATTATTAAATAATTATTATTTATTAATTTTTAGTTATTATTTATTAATTTTTAGTTATTATTTATTAATTTTTAATTATTATTTATTAATTTTTAATTATTATTTATTAATTTTTAATTATTATTTATTAATTCTTAGTTATTATTTTTTAATATATATTTTTTTAAATATAATTGGTTATTATTATTTATTATATGGATAATATCTACCCCCCGCTTTATTTATTTAAAGTAAATATTTAATATATAATAAAATATTATTAAAATTATAATTACGGTTATTTATTAATATAAGCGGTAATAAAATAAATAAAAATTAATTTAAATTTAAATTATTTATATATAATAATAAAAAGATTTTTATTACGAAATATATAATTATAATTAATTATTTAATTTATTATAAAAGGGTAAATATTATTTTAAATGTTTTAAAATAAAGTATTTTAATAAAAAAAATAAATAAAATAAGTTTTTTTAATTTATTATTTATTAGTTTATAAAATTATATAATTATTAATTTTAAGTTATAAAAAGATATTTTTTTTAAGAAATTTTAAAGAAATAAAAGTGAAATATTATACGAGGTTAATAAATTAAAATATTTATTTAATAACGAAGATATTTTATTTTTATATAATTATATTAATTAAAAAATTTAATTTTATAATAAAATTAGTAATGATAATAAGAATAATTAAATTTATTAAATAAAGTTTTATTTAAATTTATAATTAATTTAATGTATTATATTTAAATTTAAAAAAAATATAATTTAAGATTTAAAATCTTAGTTTATGTAGTTAAAATACGTAACGCGCGTTAAATATTAATAAAATAAAATAATAAAAAATAATAAAACGGCTTACGTTATTTACTTTAAAAAAGAATTAATTAAAATTAAAAATATTAAAAGTAAGTGCGATAAATTTAATGTTTTAATAAATGTTATATATTAAGTGTGCGATAATGCGAAAAATAAATTATAAAACCGGGATATTAATGACTTAATAAAGGATAAAAATAAAAACCCGGATAAGAAATAATAAAACATTATAAATAAATCGGCCGATAAAAATAAAAATATTAAACTAAAGGAATTATAGTGGAAAAAGTTTTTTTATTAAAAATATTATAACTTAATATGTAAGGGAAATTATTATAATAAAAAAAAGAAAATTAAAGTTTTTTTTATTAATAATATATTAATTATTTTAAACTTAAATATAAGGTTAAAAATAATAATATCTTAAGAAAATTTAAATTATATGGTATAAAATTTTATGTTTAATATAAGTTTAAAAAATTAAAAATTAATAATTTAAAAAGGATTTTTAAGTTATTAAGTTATAATTTAAAACAAGGTTTTATATAAAAATTGCCGAAAAAAATATTTATTATATTATTATTAAATAAATATAAAATTATTATAAAAAAATATAAAAAATTATAACGAAGGGATAAATAATTAAATAATTCATTATTAGAAACGGAATTTAATTAAATTATTTATAAAAATAATAAAATAATTTTAAAAGGTTTAAATTTTTTAAATAATAACGTTTAAAAATAACGAAAAAATATTATATATTTTTTTTTAATAAATAACAATTTATATTATTTTAAATTTTTTAAATAATTTTAAGTTATTATATTTATAAAAATAAACTTTATAAATTTATTTATAAATATATATTTTTTATTAAGAATAATATTAAAAAATATTTTAAATAAATATTATTTATTTATAATAATAAAAAAACTTATTAACTTTTTTAATTTATCCGGGGTTAATATTAAATTGAAAGTAATTAAAATTATTATTATTTTTATATAATATAAGATAAATAATAACAAGATTTAATAAGAAAACGTTAAAATATATATTATTAATTTTTTATTTTATAGATTTTTTTTAAGAATATTTTTTTTAAAATTAAATTAATTATATATCTTTTGGGGTAAATAAAATAAAAATAATAAATTACGGATTAAAAATAACGAAAATTTCATACTTGTTATAAATATAATAAAAGGGTTAATTCGGAAATGCGTTATTATCCGGGTAATAATAAATATAATTATTTAATTAAGTTTTGGTATAAATATCGAAATAAATTTCTTAAATATTCCAATTTCTAAAAATAAATATTACGTATGTTTATAAATGTTTATTTTATTAAATGGTTTTATAATGGAAAGCCTTATTAATATAATAATAATAAAATAAAAAC